CTTTTAAAGAATCATTCGACGTTGAGATTCTCTGGGAACGAGTGAAAAAGGTTCCTTGAAAAATAACATAGAGAGAAAGAAAGTTTTAACATACATACGTCACAAGGGGCAGATCATGGTAGTGCTTCTGCCCCCTGACCTAAATGGTGCTTCAAAAAGCACTAGTGCTTCGTGCTTCTTGTTTCCTTCAAAACTGATTTTTTCCACATTTTTCGCTTTCATTTGCTTATTTTTTATTTTTACGTTCATAATCAATGAATGAATATTAAAATATTAAATATCAATGATGTCGTCAAATCTTTCTCTGATAAGTGTTCTAAGGAATGTTCTTTCTACTGATTATCGACAATTCTTTTGATTATCTTTTTTTTGTATTCATATGATTGAAAATCTTTTAATCTATTTTTGTTTCACTATCTTTAATCAACTTCTTGACATAATCGATAAGATATTTAATGTAAGTGACGTCTCTTTCTTTGCTGGAAACTATTTCTTGTTGTAAGAGTTTATTTATCTACATATAAAATATGATATAATATCATCAAAGGACATGTTTCAACGATCCATTTGCCTGATTCAATGTGGAGTGTTCATGTCGTGAAATCAAATATAAATTCGTCATTTCATAAGCACCGACATCTTTGCATTTTGATGAATAAATAGATATTCATTTAATTTATTGTTTAATGATTCAAAGCATTGAGAAAATAAAACTTATTATTCATGATATTTATTACGATAGTTTCCACATAAAGCATGTAACATTTCAGTTTATCAATAAATTTAATTAAGGAAACTGTCACGTTTTATAATCTCATTCAAGGCAATGAATTATTCACTTTTTACTTAATTGAAATTATTCTTTGAACCAAAAAAAACATTGGAATCTAAATCAAATAATCATAATTAATCATTAAACATATTTGTATGCATTTTTGTGATGATCGAATAATAAAAAGTTTGGGAACTGACGATCCATTATGGTAAGTTTAGATGAAAATTTGGAATGAAATGTTTTTGCATGATTTCTCTGTTCTTTTAATTTCTCGCTTAACAAATTTTCTGTCGCTTATTCTTCCTAAACTCTCTTTCTTTACTTCTTCCTTTAAATTATTTAACAAAATAATATTTTGTTTCGTAGAGTAATCAAACATTAATTATAGGACCGAGAAATAGTTCGTTGGTAGAGATTGGTAGCCCAAACATAAATTTATAGAAACACTTAGAAGCCGCAACATAAAGAAACGTATTCATTTTGTTGGATTCTGTTTATAACATTCTTGTAGGAACCGGCTTTCTTTGCATCGCTTACTATTCACATTCACATTTGGAATTTTTCCCAAAAAACATCTTCTAAAATTGATTTTTATTCAAGCATTTAAATTGAAACTTTTTTGATCTTTTAAAACTTTTGGGATGTTCATAAGTGATGTTCTCGGAATTTGTACCTTTTGATTACTATGAATTTATTTTGATAGTGTTGAACATGATTTATGATCATCTCAAAGCTTAAACCTCAAACTTAACTCATACACACTATCATTAAACTCCATTGCAAATATTTTTCACTCAATTTTTTAACCACATTTACTTTAAAATCTGAAATTTTTTATCATGAAAATTGCTTCGTAAATCTAAAAATATTTTTCAACTTCTAATCATCAACATGAATGAAATGAACAGGAGTAGCACATCAACAGCAGCTGCTGCTTTTGCAATTGGTAAGTTAAAAGAGAATTCTGAATTTAAGGCGAATTGTACAACTTTTTCATATAATGTAAAGCTACATCGGCATCATCAAACCCAAGGGACGAACCGCCTGAGGTTGAAGCAGCCAGAAATAGAAAAGAATCGGTTGTAAGTTCACCAGCAACAATGCGTGTGCTCAATGTTTTAAGGTTTGTTTAAATGAAAATTGAAAAAATGTTTTAAAACAATTGTTTGAATGTTTCTCGTCCTTTAGGCATTGGGTTTCTAAACATTTCCAAGACTTCGAACAAGATGAAGGACTTCGATCTCAAACAATTACTTTCCTCGATGAAATCACTTGCAGTCCAAATTTATTGCCGTCTGAACATAGAGCAGCGTCTCAACTTTTACGTCTTCTCTGTCGTGACGACCTCGATAGCGGAAGAAAAAATTTACAACTTTTGCTTGAGCCAACAACGGTAAGAAATTATTTTATTTATTTCTTTCATGATGAATAATTAATTTATTCTATTTCAGTCACCAAGCAAAGACAGCATCGAAACCTTATCTGCGCTTGAAATTGCTGAACAAATGACGTTTCTTGATCATCAAATTTTCTTGGCTATACGAAGCGAGTAAGTTTCGAAACTTTTTTGTTTGACTGTTCTTTATTTAGATAATGAAATTAAATATTTTTTCAGAGAATTTTTGGGTCAAGCTTGGATGAAATCTGATAAGAAATCAAGAGCTGAACATATCATCCAAATGACGAAGAGATTTAATGATGGTTCACGTCTTGTTGGATCGGAAATTGTTTCTAGGTTGCTTTTAATATTTTCATACACAAATATTTCTTTTGAATTTACATTTAATCATCAACAGAGGCAACATGGCAGCTCGTGTTGCGTCAATTGAAAAGTGGACAGCAGTAGCTGACATCTGTCGATGTTTACATAATTTTAATGGTGTTCTTCAAGTGTGCGCTGCATTTACAAGCGCTCCAATTTATCGGTTAAAGAAAACGTGGGATAAAGTCCCTAAAAATGTAAATTAAAGTTGAAAAAGTAGACGAAAGAAATTAATTTGATCTTTTACTTTATTAGATCAAATCAACTATTGCTAAACTTCAAGCTGTTGTTTGTTCTGATGGACGATTTCGTGTTATGCGTGAAGCTCTTCATCGATGTGATCCACCATGCATTCCATATCTTGGAATGTATTTGACAGATTTATCATTTATTGAAGAGGGCACTCCAGATTTCACACCCGATGGCTTGTTGAACTTTTCAAAGATGAGAATGGTGAGTTTAAGTGTTGATTATAAGACAAAAATAACCCAAAACTTTTTATTTCTTTTAAATTTTTAATTTCTTATATTTCAGATTGCTCACGTGATTCGAGAGATTCGACACTTCCAACAAACTCCTTATAAGATTGATCATATTTCAAAAGTTACTTCTTATCTTCTTGATACATCACTTTTACTTGATGATGATGAAATGTATCATAAATCATTGAGAATTGAGCCGCGAAGTTCACGGTTAAGTGCTCCTACTTTACAACTCTAGTGTAAATAAATCTCGAAATCAGGTATTTCTACGTAAGCGTTTTTCTAAGCAAACTGTAGAAGAAACATTCTTATGATTTCTTCAAAATGTGTCATAATCTAGTTATGAAGAAAAGAAGATTGAAAGTATTTATTGGATTCGTCTTGAAGTCGTTTGAATGTTTGGAAAACATGAAAATTGTCATTTATTATAAACCTTTAACTGTACAGAATATTTAGATAACTATTGCAGTGATTTCAAATAAAAATTTCCCCCGGGACAATCAAGTTATGAGACTCTATGACATGTTCGAATTTTTGGGTTCACTCGAAGTAGAATTGTTGATTGAAATATAAACGAAAAACATTTTAAGTAACAAAAATGTCTTAGATAACTTTAAATTATGACGATGATTAAAAGTTTTGGATGTAGTAAAAGAAAAAAAAGTCTATCAAAGCAGTTTAAAAAATGATTTAAGTGACCACAAAATAAAGTGAATGGAAAGTGAAGCACTTACTACATTAATACATTAATATGTATGCCAATGCTTAAGCTTGCGCAACATATCTTTAATTATTGATTTGAGTGAAAATTAATGACAACATGAATCATAACTTATTGTCTTATTCACGTTGACGTGCAAACAATTCTTCTTTGTGATATTTTATGTAAATGAATGCAGACATTAAAAGAAATCTGGTTGAATGTTCAAAAGATATTTATAATAATATTAACTCTATAAAGATTATTTATTTTTACCACAAATGGAAATATAAAGAAAATATTATCTCATTCAAAATGATAACATTTTTTCAGGGAAAATCAATCGCTTTTATTTAGTATCAAAGCTTAGAATCAATTTATGAAAACGAAGAGTTAAATTATAAGAAAAGTTTAGAATCAAGGAAATTTATTCAACAATCAGAAAGTAATAACATTAAAAAATAAACTGACAATCTTTGAAGCAGGATTTAGTAATGAGAATATTAACAAAACCAAAATTATTAAAATTGGCAATGAAAAATTAAAATTTAAATATCTAGATCGAGTCATATCAATTTTTCTTATCAAAAGTTTGTGTACTTTCAAATTTTGAATTAGATAATATTAAAATAGTTAAGAGAAATCATTTGAATTAAATTAAAATATTCTGTGAAGTTTATGAAAATTCTTATCAATTTAAGTGAGAAGTTGTAACTTACTTTTTTGTGTCATAAATCTATTGCTTGTTGTGATTGTGACATATCTTTCTCATATTTACCACGAATTTCTCAATTCCATAATGAAAATCAATTTACCTAATTCAGTGGAAACTTATTTTGTCGAAATCGGTTTTGAAATAATTTGAAGATAACTAACAAGGATTGTTGCTTAAAAATCATCTCTTCAAACATGTTCCAATATATCATCGTTTGTAAAACAATATCTTGTTATGAATCAAATGTAGATGTCTTTAAAGAATGGTAAATCAATTATCTATCTTGTTTAAATATCGGATTTTTTCCAATCAAATAAAAACAAATCAACTTTTTCTTCAAAGTATAAAAATTATTTTTTTAATTGCTTCAACTCGTAAGTATTTCACCATTTGTAACTTTCTTGAAACATATCACATTATAATTTAAGTTATAAAGTTTTAATGACTTTTTTTATGTTTCCATTGTTTGAAGTTTAGTGCAATCGTGACATAAATTTCCTCTTCAAGCATTTTTAATTGAAATTGCTTTTTTATTTCATGACTTTATTAGTGACATGACTTATTACAATAAAAATAGAATTGCCAAGTTCAAAAACCCTTTGCAGATTTTCTCATTTTTATGTTCAAGTTGGTATTTAAAATTGAGCCCTAAAAGCTCTTCTCAAATATTCATGGGAATCAATTGATTTATACGCTTTCGATCTCAAAGATTTATGGAGAAAGTCAAAAACTTTTACATTTTCATTTCGTTGCAACGAAAAATAAAACCCGCACACTAAGTAGAAAAGAAAGATTTGTTGATCTCTTGGGTAATTCAAGAAAAAAATTGACATAAGTAGGTTTTCAGAATGCAGATTCATGATAAAGTGAAGCTCATAGTCAGTAATTCATCATTTAAAATCCAATAACTTTAATAATCGGTTATAAAGCTCCAACATGACTTAAGATTTGTAATACAAAATAAACCTTCTGTTAAACACACAAGATATTGGTTAATAAACTTTTTAATGACATCCTTGATTCCAAAGCACCTGTCACCACTCGACACTTACATCAGCCAAACTTGACCTCAACATAGAACATTTCATGTTTCATTTTCCCTTTAATGTCGTTTGTATTGTTATGTCTTGCACAACTTCCTGATATCGAATACAATGGTGACACTGCATTCATGATTCAACTGTCAGAATAAAAATTGATAAACATTCTAAATTAATTTCAATTTTTTTCAAACAAAAGTAAATCAACTAATTGAACTCAACTTCAGTCACATTTTGAAAGCTTCCGTCAACATAATGTTGTGTCTTTTATTCTTTTTGATTTATTTTGCAAATATTTTCTCATTTATTTCGATGGAAACAAATGAAATCGACGACGACGATGGCATTGATTTGTCGCATTTCGGAGCAAAAATTTATGGACAACCGAAGAAACACGATGGCTCTGTTGAACGATATGGAAATCCAGAAGAACAAGGAGATTACTTGGAAGGTGATTTGCTGATACCAACATCAGCTAAAAACGGAATCAGAGATCAATCATATAGATGGAAACATGGAGAAGTTCCATTCGTAATTAATGGAAATTTCGGTAAGTTTTGCTATAGAAAATAAATCAAATTTCTTGTTAATTTCACTTCAGATGCGTTCATGATGGACAAACTTGAGCGAGCGTTCAACGAATATAAGGCAAAAACATGCATCAAATTCATTCCACGTCGTCCATCAGATCGGGATTATATTTCAATTGAAAATGCACCCACGGGTTGCTGGTCAAGTATTGGAAGAATTGGAGGAAAGCAAATTGTAAATCTTCAAACTCCGCTTTGTTTAAGTTTGATTGGAACTGTTTTGCATGAACTTTTACATGTTGTTGGTTTCTTTCACGAACAAAATCGTGAAGATCGTGACAGTTATGTGACGATAAACAGCAAAAATATCAGGGATGGCTATCAAGTTAATTTTGCGAAAATAAAAAAAGGCGATTCGACAAGTTTTGGTGTTGGTTATGACTATGGAAGTGTTCTTCACTATTCTGCCGATGCTTTCTCTAAAAATGGAAAGCCGACAATCGTTGCTAAGAAAAAAACAAATGAAGCTATGGGACAACGTAAAGGATTTTCTCAAAAAGACATTGAAAAGATCAATAAAATGTATAAATGTCAGAGATCAGCGGACGATTCATTTTTCGGAAACGTTCAACGACAGATACTCTCATTTAACAACGAGAATGAATAAGAAATGTAAAATCAATAGAATAATGTTTATTTTTTTGAATAAATTTAAAACATTTGATGCTTTATAAATACAGAAATTGTTTTGTTGTTTAAACCATCTCATCTTCCTCCAAATTGTCAAAAAGTTTACGAGACATGACACAACGAACGAAGAAGTAAGCTTTTTCACATTCGTCAGTAACATTTTCTGAAGCTAAATAAATAAATGTTTTATGATAAATATTTATGCAGATGACATTTAACTTACACATGTCGTCCGCGCAATCGTCATAAGTTTCAGAATCATCGTTCAAGTTATACAATTCAACAGCTTTAACTCTGTTGATCTGAAGTTCTTTATCGAGAACACCAATAGATTCAAGATAACATTTTAAAAAGCACATTGGGGTCATCTCAACTTCATCAGGGAAAGATCCAGTGTCATTAAGCTCCTGTAAAAATTCTACAAATAATTTAATTTTAATCTCTTTTAATTATTTCTTATCCTTTAATTGACTTTACCAGGGTTGATATTGAATGATTGATTGCATTGCCGCATTTCTTCATTGTCGTAAAAGCCTTTCTGAGAAGGGTTTGAAGCAATTTCAGATTCATTTGTGTTAATAAATTCCGATGCAAGGCCAATGTAAACGAAATTGAAAAATAACAAAAACTCGACAAACATTTTCATGTTTTATCTCGAAATGTTAATGAACACTGAAGTTGTTTGTCGACAATTCAGAACTTTATAAACAGATTTTGAATGAAACATTTTCATTTCAAGCAAATTAAGTTGTCATCTCTTCCCTAGCAAATATTAATAAAATAGACACAAAAACAATTTATGTTGGTTGCATGTGCATCAAAACTATTTTATTTCACTAAATTCCATTACATTGTTCAGCGACATTTTTTATTTTGTCTCAAATCCAGTCGAAGTTATTGTAAATCAATCATTTCCCTTAATTGATCCCCTGTGTAGTCTTCCCAATCGAGAACGGTTTTATACGGTCCTGAGCCTCCAGTTTTTGAGCCTCCAGTTTTTGAGCCTCCAGTTCGTGAGCCTCCAGTTTTTGAGCCTCCAGTTCGTGAGCCTCCAGTTCGTAAGTCAGATGAATTTTGATCATCTTGATCACAACAATCCATTGCCATTTTATTGACTTGAGGGAGGCCTAAAAATATACGAAACAATGATCATCAAATTCTTTAATTGTCGAAATGTTCACTCACTTGAAACAAAAGCTGCAAAAATAGCTAACAAAATTACTCTGACGATTATCATTCCAACGATTCTTTTACTCAAATCTTGAAGAAATTAAATGAAGCTTTGGCTTTAAATTATTGACAACTTTGACATGAAAAACTTTCCTTTTATACAAGAATCACAATGATCAATAAAATGGAATCGAATGCAATTAAAGGAGTTTTGATAACCTAAATCCATTAAATTGTTAAGTTTTATTGCATTTCAATTCAATATGCAATGAATGGAACTCAAAACTTTTTTATCAAATTCATTTTACATTAAAAATTTATGCGATTTAATTCTAAGGAATTCTATTTTGAAAATTAAATTCAAAACAATCTTTTAATAGAAAAACTTTCCTTAAATGAAATTTTATTAACAATAAAATTTTTATTATTGACATTTTTAAATTCTTTGTTTGAAAATTTATTGAACAGATCGAAGAATTTTTGCACTAAAAAGCTTAATTAAGTCATTTAAATATGTCACATTTTAAAAATATTAATAATTCTAAGCGCCCCAGGCTCGCTTAATTAAATCAGAAGCTTTCTCAGCAATCATTATAATTGGTGCGTTTGTGTTCCCTGAAGTCACTTTAGGCATCACGGATGCGTCAATAACTCTCAAGTTTCTTACGCCATGAACTTTAAGTTCATGATTGACAACAGCAAATGGATCGCGTGACGGTCCCATTTTACATGAACCAGCTTGATGATTTTCAGCTCCAGTATTTTGACGTACGGCACATTCCCAATATTCCTAAAAGCAAATGTTTAATTCGAATCAGTTAACTTCAATTGAAGTATTTACTTGAGATCCAAAAGGTTGATTACAACCAGCAACAGGAGTTCTATCAAGTTCCATTCCATAAGCTCTCATTGGTGAAGTTTCTGATAATTTTATAGCAAATCGAATTCCTTCCACCAACACTTTAATGTCATGATCTTCATCTAAATAATTGGCGAAGATTTTAGGAGCGTCAAATGGATCTTTCGAGTTGAGTGTGATATAACCACGACTTTTAGGATGTAAAACAGCTGGGAATATTTGAATTGATCTGGAATAGTTGCTTGACAATTCTCCAACTTGTCCACTAACAGCGCAATCAGCCAAGAAACCACCGAAATAGTATTGAATGTCAGGATCGTTGGGGTTCTCAGCATATTTACTTGCAACTTTAAAAGAAAAGTTAATTGAAGAAATGGATTTAAATTGAAGAAGAATTTACTTTTAGCTGTGACTGAAGAGACGCCAGTTCCGGACATTAAACCATCACGGAAGAGTAAATATTCCATAGCAGTTGCCCAATTCAATGATCTTGTGTCGGTATCATTAATATAAAAGTTGATAAAGTAAGCGACGTGATTATGAAGATTCTTTCCAACACCAGGAAGTTGATGAACTTGTCTGATTCCAAACTTTTGTAATTCTTCTCTCGGTCCGATGCCAGACAAAAGAAGAATTTGAGGGCTATTAACAGCACCGCCAGAAACGATGACTTCTTTCTTAGCATTAATTCTTCTTGAGTGACCTTCGTGGTCGATAATTTCCACTCCAGTGGCTGTTTTGGTGTGGGGATTGATGAGAACCTTTGAAGCAGTTGTGTTCACCATGATATGTAAATTCGGTCGTTTAGCTGCTGGTCTTAAGAAAGCTCGAGCAGCGCTGTATCGAATGCCATTCTTGCTGTTAGTTTGCGCAATCATAAATCCAGTGTTGTTGGCTCCATTCAAATCTTGAACTTTAAATCCCAACTCTTCACCACCTCTTAAGATTGCTTTTGAAATTGGTGGGGTGTATGGGAACTTCGACACTGGCAACATGCCACCCGTTTTATGGAAATCAGAATCAACTTCATTCAATTGTTGGTTGTCTTCCGATTTCATGAAATAAGGAAGAACATCTCTAAACTTCCAACCAGGATTTCCCATTGCATCCCAATCATTATAGTCATTAGGATTGCCTCGGATGTACATCATTCCATTAATAACCGAAGTTCCACCGAGGACCTAAACATTTCATACTTTATTTTTACCAAATCTAATTTATTCTGGAAACAAATTTACCTTTCCACGAGGCCAGTAACAACGATGTTCCGGTGAAGAGAGACATGCGCCTTTCTCAGGTTCCGTGTTGAATTTATAATCAATGTCACTTCCGAGATAATTTAAAAACATTGAAGGAATTTGTGTTCCAGTCGGTTCATCCGGCCCTTTAATAAAATTATAAAAACAAAAATTATTTACTACATTCATTTCATCATTTGTAATATGTTGCAAACAGTTAATCACAATACAAAGCTTAACAATGGAACTCATGAGACTTCACACATTAGATGTAAAAAAGAAAGCATACAAAATAAGCCATGCGGCTAGACAATTGAACAGAAGCATAAAAGAAGAAAAAAGCTTAATAACAGCACCAGTGAGCATAATTTGAGGCCGTATGAAAGAAAAAGTAATGAACATTATTCACGCGTTAGGGATGGCCATAAATTATATAAAAATACTATTTGGGGTGTCTGAGAAAAATGTTAACAATGTAATTTAGAATTTTTTGTCATGTCCAACCAAAGAAGGTTCCTTGATATTCGTGAAAACAATTTAAAATCTTTCAAATGAGAAATTCAATTAATTAGATATTGTCTTGACTTAATTATTTTCCAGAGTCGCGAGGACTTAACAACTTGTAATCATTATGAAGATTAAATGTGATTGAATATTTTAAATTAAATTACAATTAACATAATCCACTTAGAAAGTCATTTAAAGTGATTTAATAAATAATTTTTGTTATGAACAGAACAAATGCAAATGAATTAAATAAACGGTTCTTTAAAGTTTAGAGACTAATTTGTAACCTTATTCAATGAATATGTCTAATGCTGCATTGTTACAATGGAGATGTTGACGAAATGAAAATCGCTTGAGCTGAGCTACCTTAATTTGACCCTGTAACGAATTTTTTCCTTCTCGTCATTCGCAATAAGAAAAAAGAAGCAAAAGAAATATTTATTTCTATTATTTTACTATTTTGGTATTACTTTTTAGATGCTACAAGAGCATGAGTATTTCGCTCGGTCACGAATCAATTTTGCAATACATATTTGAAAAAGATGTGCGCCTCCCGTCATTTTCATCTTTTCTGTTTCGCTTTCATTATAATCTGGAAAATTCACACGATACAGTTTTTAACATTCACATCGTCTTAATCTCAAAAGCCAATTGAAAGATCTCACGAGGCAAACGTTGTGCGTTGACAGTAGAGGAAATTTATTTCATTGATCAAAACGTAACTTCATCTTTTTCATTCGAAACTCGAAAGGCGTGTTTTGCTTCTGATAAGAGCGGTGATCTTCAAGTTCAACAACTTCCACACATTCAGGAGAGAATTATTTTGATCCTAACTTTATGCATAAAGATATTGTGCAATTCACTTACCCGCTTCAATGAGCAGAACTTTCCATTCCGGTACTTCAGATAATCGTGAGGCCTATGTAACGAAAAAAAGAAGAAAAAAACGAAGCAAAACATGAAAAAAACTTTGAATTGTACTTGTACTTATGCGTTGCTTTATGCTGTTACTTGCAAATTAAATTGCGACTTATTATTCATTTAGTTACTCACTTACCGTTACACTACCACCAGATCCACCACCAATAACGATGAAGTCATAGTCATAATCAATTTCGCGTGCAAGTTTTGTCTTCGGTCGATTGCATGGATCTTCTAAGTCGCATTGTGATCGTATGAAAACTTCAAGTAAGCCCATAAAAAGCATGAATTGACCTCCACCGCAAAGTGCTGCCAAGGTTTGACCAGCGGAAGCTGCCCCTACCGGACAGTCGCATGTTACCATCGTTTTGCTGGAACGACACAGAAACAAACAAGACTCGCTTATGAATTCCGCACAATGAAACATTTTTTTCTTCTTTTGCATTCATGCAAAGACATTCACTACAATTCTATTCATCATCCACTTAGTCAACAAATGTACAAAGTTGTCACGATTTTTATAATTCAACGACAGAAATTGGAAAGATTAACTGAAGGTAATTTACCTTTGCATTAATTCTTCATCTGAAAAAGGAAAGTCAAAAATATTTCTTTTAGAAAATTTTGCTGCTTATTTTAGATTTATTTCTTATTTTGTTAGTCATAACGTTATGAACATCAAAGATGGATGTTTATCGATTTCGTGGAATATCAGTTTTGATGCAATGGAAAGTAAAACTTTCTCATTAGATTTTCGTGGAGATGGTTGAAGGAAAGATTTTGCTTATTCTTCAGATTCTCCAGCATCTTCACCTCCTTCTGAGTCACCGCCGCCGATAGGAAGATCAACAGGAAGGCCACTACCACCTAATGCAGGAAGATCACCTGTTAACCCACCGAGACCGCTGCTGTTTTTTCCTGATCCACCACCTGGCAAAGAAGGAAATTGAGCGCAGACTGCAACAATCAATGCGATGAAGACGAATAAGAATTTAACAAATTGCATTTTGAAGTTTAAGTTTTTTTTTTTCTTTGAAGTTTATGTTAGAACTGTTCAAACAAACTGTGATACTTTCCAACGAAAACTTTCGCCTTTTATACAACTTTTTTGATGTGATAAGAATTCGAAATAATTATGATGCATTGTGTGGAAAATATTATCAAAAAGTAATTATTAATAATTAGCGAAGACTTCCTTTTCTGTGTTCGCAATTATTGACCTTTACAAGTGATTGTGTCTGCTTTTAATGTTCTCAACAAACTTGTTTATTTGATATCGTTTAATGTTCAACTTTATGTTTGTGTTGAAAATAGTTCAGTTTCGTTTTCATGAGAAGTTTTTAAGAAGATTAAGGTTTTACTTCAGCAAAACCAGAATGTCAATGACGAACCGAGATACTTATTTAAGATTCGAATTCAAGTGTCTGCATAAGCTTCATTAGTCATGCACTCGAGCGAATCAAAGATACAAATTTACTGTTGAGCGTCATAAAATTTCCTGTTGCCAAAACTGTAAAAGACGTTGATGAGTTTTTTGCCTTTTTTTGGTGGTTTTAACACAGTTTGTTGACCATTAGGAGAAAGAAAGAATTTTTATGCATTGATCACGTCCACACCAACGGCACGAGAAAAGCTTTCAATGATGAAAGTTTAAATTTAAATTTCAATGCTTACATCCTGATTAACACGAACTTATAACAATTTAATGAGACAAAAGAAATTTAATTCAATGTTTTTGTTGTTCATTTAGTTCAATAAGTATGGAAAATTAAATTCTTCGACCTTTCATTGTATAAGCAAGCAGTTTATGTCACTAAATCTCTTTGTTTTGTTTTGTCTAAATATTGATCTAAACTCTTGACTTGTGTCATATCCAAGACGGCAACAATGATGAAATATCACAGAAAATGTTTGCTAAACACTATAAGATACAATAGAAAATCTAGATGAGTCGAGATGACGATAAAAGAATAAAGAATTGAATGTCGACAAAAGTGATAAAAGTGTTAATGCCCTCAGTGAAAGAAACAAGAATTTCAACTTGTAGACTTTGTTTCAGACACTTCGATCGATGACAAAAGCGTCTACAACATACTAAGTCATTCATGTTGTTCTTAAATGGACATTAAATGGATAAGAAGAACTACTAGGGATATTAAATCATTATTGACAGACATGTTTCTGTTATGATACATTAAAGCAATTTAAGATGTGGCTTCAACTTGAGCAGCTTCCATTAAAAAATGTTAGCAAAAAAAGTCACGATGGGAATTTAATTTATTTTCAACTTGAGATGTTTGAGAGTTCTAACGAAATTTAGTTTGGAAAACCCCACAGGCATTGATTCGGTTTAAATGGCAAACAACATAAGTCACTGTAGTGATGTAATTGGAAATCACTGATAAATTTACTTCTAATCTCTTCAACAAACGATTCACTGAATTGGATCTTCAATAATGTTGATATTCAAAAACCCACAAAAAAAAAGGTCAAATCCTATCACCTTTGAGATTTCGTTGTTCTCGTGCGATTGTTTTCTGACTTATTCAAATAAAAACATCGGTAGCACTACGAGATAACCTTTACTGATTATTCGTGTATATTTTAATTGAAATATATTTTTATTTTCTGCTTTTGAATCTTTTTTTATTTATTTCGGAACTCGTGAATCTTCTACATGAACACTTCACTTTGTTGTGGCTTTGAATCTCATTACAAAATTTATTTCCCTTTCATTTTTGATTTATAGATGCTAAAAATCAGATTATGCTGGTTATGTTTCGCAAAAATATATCAAAAAATATAACCAAATCATCAGTGCTTCACTGAAAAGCCACAAAAGACTAAGTTCAACCTTTCTAATCTGTTTTTTTTTCTTCTTCTTCGTCTCTTTCCTAAGCAATAAAAGTTGAAATTAACTTAAGTTGAATATTTTTTTTCTCTCCAATAAAGCACAACACAAACATTGGCAGCATGACGAACTAAAAAAAGTTATTTTGTTGCCAATAATGCATTCTTAGCATAGACGAATCCAAACAATCGCTAATTTCACAATCAGCGTTATTCATCTGAATAACGATTCCACCAAGATACTTATTTATTCAATCTCATTCATTTCTTTTTCTCTCTTGAGTAATAAAATTTGTTTTTTCCTTCTATTTATTAGCACTTAAGTTATCTGTTATCATTAATTAGTTTCACTTACTTTACCTCTACAACTTTTTCTCAAATAAAAACTTTGAAATTCACTTCAATTGGCCTTATTATGTTCTATGGTGGGAAATGTTTTTTTTTATTTATTTAAATCTCTTAAGTCTGCGTTGCAGTTCCAATGAAATGGATTTACGAACGACGAACGACACTCAAAGCAATTGCCCAAAGGTAATTAAACGAACTAAACGCAACAGCGGCTGAAGAAAAACTGAGAGATCTCATTCGAATTTCGGTTTACTTTATAATCTTTCTTCTCAAAAGCAATATCGTTTCAATCTTACTATTTCTGTTGAGTCGTTGAGTAAATGAGAGTTGAATGTTGAGCCTTTTTTTTTGTTGTTTGTTTCACGACGAAACAGAGAAGAAAGCGAACAAAAAAGAAGCAAAGATGAGAGGAAAAAAATATTTTTCTTGTGAGATTCTTACTTTTTAATGAGTTTGGTTTAGGTCGTGCTTTAAGTGGATAATAAAGTTATTAGGAAAAAAAGTTTTTGTCGATTAAATGCTCATTTAGTTTTCTTTTAGAAAGAAACTTGAACTTTGTTAATGCTTGTTTTAATTACTTTTCCCTGTCAGCGGCAGTCAGAAATCATATAAAAGTTTAGTGTAAGCTGCCTTTGATTTCATTTTCAATTCAAAATCCGACTTGTGTTAACATCCAATAAAGGAAAAGTTTTCTTACAAAGTTATGGATAAAGGAAAAAATTGGTTCACTTATCACAAACTTTTCTTAGAGATTTGTGGAATGAAGCCATTAAAATTTTCTTTTAAGTCGGAAAGAATGAAGTTTCTGAATTACATTTTAACATTTCTTTCCTACATTTTTTGGCATTTCATTATCATTCATTTGTCAGTATTTCAAACTTACTCAGTAATTTTGAACTTTGACAAAGCATTGGATAAATTCATTGATATCGTCATTAATTGGATGATTTACCTTTATGGATATTCAATTCTTTGTTTTTGTCAGTTAAACTGGAAAAAGCTTTCAGAACTTTTGATATTTATTGAAGAAAATTTCCGACAGCGTTCAGCGAAAGGTAAAATATTTCAATTTGAATGCACAAATCAATTATAAAAATCAACGAAATATAAAATGAAATTTCTGAAGCTTTTGCAAAGCTTTTACACGTGCCACTGGTTGTCTATACTTTCAGGCTTAACTTTTATATCAATTGACGAATCTATCAAAAAAGTTAAAAAGTTCATCTTGTTCTGGATATTTTCTTGTCTCAGCGGTAAGTTTGCAACATTGAATAATTTTATTTTTTTCCTATTCATCTGCCGTCATCCGAATTGTTTATAATTTTTTTAACGAAATTGAAAAGCAGCAGGTAAACGACGGAATTACTTACGGCAGATGACACACTTTGTCATTTGATGTTACTTCAGTTTAAATGTCTTTACAAATTATTTAAGGAACATTGATGTGGGTTGCTTATCCATTGATTCAAAATCCATGCTGTAAAAGTTTGCCCATAAAGACTTGGTATCCTGTGAATGTGGCAGAATTTCCTAATTATCAAATAGCTTACATTTTGCAATTTTTCGGGCAAATTTATGTAGCGATTGGTGAGTTTTACATTTACCAATTCTTTTAAAATTAATTTTCTTTTATAATTTAATCAGGCTATGGCATTTGTGGTGGACTTTACGTTTCAATTATTTTGCTGCTTTGTGGTCAATACGATATTTTGTATGCCAGTTTGAAAAACCTCGATGAGTTTCCTGATACTGAAATTTCCAATGATTCGTAAGATTGATTTTGAAAGCTATTTAAAAGATGTGGTTAAACCACTTACATCACTTCATGAACATAGAGAACACCGACACTTGAATGAAGATGAACAAGAATGTAATCAGTATTTTGTCTCTACCGAGAAGTACGACGATTCCGAGAATATGTTAAAATTTTCAAGCAAAGCAATCAAGGGTAGAAAAACTTTGTCTGATTGCGTTGAACATCATAACATGATTTTGCACACTGCAAAAATGATTGAAAATTACTTTAAATGGCTAATTTTACCGAGATTCACCTTCACAAGTAATTTAATTTTGAATTATTTTTGAACCTTTAATGGAATAATTTTTTTCAGCTCTTTTATTATGTACTTTGGCTTATGTTCTATCAACAATGGAAGAATTCTCAGTTGGTAAAATTGCATCTTTACTCATTTACATGGCATTAAGTGCTTCAGAGTTGTTGCTGTTCACTTATTCAGGTGAACTTTTGAAACATCATGTGAGTTCCTAATGGGGTTTACCTGAGAACATATTCATGTTACTTTTTCATTTTAATATGTAATCTCTTGACAGAGCTGTCGTGGCAGTGAAGCATTGATGAGAACAAAATGGGAAACTTTTGACGCTACATTACGTCGGGACATGGTGTTAGTTCAGAGAATTGCTGCAAAACCAATTATAATGACAGCTGGTGGGATGTTTTACATAAACATGAATCAGTTTCGGTCAGTGATAAGTTCTGCTTTTTCTGTTTTTACTCTGTTGCAGAACTTGAAAGAAAAAAGTTCTTAAAACTTTTGAGTAGATAAATAAAGCAACGATGAGTAAGTGCATGGGATGTTACGTACAACTTTTAAATGTTTTTCACGTAAATGACTTTCATACTTTCCTCACTTAATTTTGAAATTAATGTCACTTTATGATCACGTTTGAGAACTCAGAATATTGAGCTGACGTCAAAAATTTACAGTTAAACATTTTCATTTTTCGATGAGAGTTTGAAAACAAATTTAACAATGATATCTAATTAGTCCTGTAATTAGTTAATAAAGGAATATTGAGATGGATATCATTCGAATCGATTCTTTAATTACTTTTTAATTAACCTTCATAGGTTTTAAGATGCGTCATTCATTTATATCACTTGTAAAATGTATGAGCTGATTTGATTGTCGTTACAGACGTGATTGTTGTTCAAAAGTGCAAAATCAAAATGATTTCTAGAGCAAATGATAAACTTTATAACGACTTCAGCAATACTTCGACCTACCGACTTATTTAAATATGAACTTCGATACAGTAAGGGAAATTTGGCCAATATTGATGACAACCAATAATGAATTAACATAATATAAAATGACACAAAACAAATTGAAATAATTCAAAGTAAATCTAAAGAGTTGGCTTAGATTAGATATCGTTGAACATGGTGAAATTTACATACATCCAGAAATGTATAAAAATATAAACGAAATAATTCAATGCTTCATTTCAAGTTGAAAAACTTGGCACTCCCAATGCGAATAATCAAACATTTTACCAAATTTTGACAATCTACGTCAAACATCATCAATTGATTTTGAAATTTGCATAGATTTCATTTTTCTGATGATTTATTCGAGAATTTCATTCAGTGAAAGCGTGGAATTTAATTTAAAATCGACTGATTTTCATCAATTTAAATCAGTTTGATGGCTAAGTGAATGTGTGTACGTTTCAATTGAAACATTCGTCAATTTTGAAGCTCAATCAAAATATTTATGTGCTTGACCTTTTGATATTTTTGGTAAAAAACAAAACTTTAATTCAATAAAACTCTTAAAGTATCTTGTTATGAATCAAAAGTCTATCAAAGCTTTGTTTGGATTATTTTGCTTTAACAAGCACACCAAGGGTGCTGTCGCTGCATGCCAATAAATTAACGCTTAAAATAAGGTCAATTGTGATAACAGCGGGAGCAACAGTCAGCATAGTCAACTCTATGATATTGAGAAAGAAGTTGGAATCAGTTTTCATTTATTAAGTACACTTTATTAATATGTTTGGCGAGATTGTCGTGAAGAGTTACATGTAAGTCATGTTAATTAATGAGCCAGAGTTGCTAATTAATAAAAGCTACTGTTTTAAATTTATGTTATAAAAAAGTTTATTTGGATAATATTCAAGCAATTTATGTATGGATAACAAAATGTAAAAGCTACAAAATTTATGAAAATGTTTAGAAAATATTTCTGTGGTAATAACAGAACATCGTCGTCATATTGTGATGTGAAACTTTAATTAATTCATATTGATATTCTATCACATGTCAATTTCAAAATGAATCGATATTTATTTGTGTCGATAAACCTTTTGATCTGAATCCGTAGTATTAAGTAAACATAAAAAGGAATTGTTTGACATTTCTAGGACGGTAACATAGAAGAAAGGAATTTAGATTCTGCACTAAACAAACCAATAAAAAATAAGTAAAGCATCCTCAATATATATGTATTTGAATCCCAAAATATCTCCCTCAAATCTTATTTAATCAATGGATAGTTGACGGAAAGTTCCATCCATTCCGAAGAGATCATCAGCAGCTCTAGCTCCGCCAGGTCTCAAACTTTCATTAGCTTTTGAATTGTCTTGTTCTTTGAACCATTGAGTGTACTCCTTGAGTTTATTTCTCCATTGTTCTAAATAAATTAAAGTCATGTAAATAATAATTCATTTTAATGTGAAAAATTGATGATAATCTACCATTGAGTTCCTTGATAGGACCAGCATTGCCACCATATTCAGCTGGAAGCATTTCTTTTGGTACATACTTATAAAGATCTTCAATATTGCTGTGAAGGTGAATTCGTTCACGAATCTTTTCCTTCAAGAAAGGCTTGACAAAGCTAACAATTGTGTCGACAAGCGGTGAAATGTTAATCACATGAACTTCCTTGAGTTTCACTGGATAAGCTTCTTGAACACACACTAAAAACTTCTTAACAAGAGCTGGAGTGAATTTAGCAAAATGTGTGGGCGTTGCGATTGAAGCGTCAAGAATGTAAACATCACCAGCAACACCAACTTTTTCTTCATACAATCTGACGTCACCGATCATAAGCGCCAACTTCATACCGTCAGAAACATTGCTGGGTAAATTTTCTTTGTCGACAGCTCGTAAAACTTGAACACGACAACCTTTTGGTGTGAGACCAGGAAGTGGTGGGATGTCAGCAATGTCCATAATCTCAGCTAATTCACGATTTTCGATGTTGCGATTGAAGAAGAATTCTGGAACGGCATTTCTCATAGTGTAGTACATGTCGAGCTTTTGTTTAACTTTCTCAAGGCTAAATTTGCATCCACGTAAGAAGGTTCTTAATCTTCCGTCATCTAAAAGTCGCACATTTAAAATTACGTCAATGATAAACACAAATATTGATGATACAGCAAGATTTAAAATTTCTCACCCATATCTTTAGGTAAATGCGGTTGTTTCTCTAACCATTCGCGAATAATCGCGATATCCTTTACGATGGTAGCTTCATCAGGTTCACGAAGTTCCTCGCGGATCTTTGCTGACATTTCGCCACTTGGTTGAATGAGAGTCATCTGATGTACAAATGTGTAAGTGCACGGAATAATTAATGGAAAGAAAAGATTGAGGTCAATGAAAAGTGCAGAGCAAAAAGAATTGTAAAAGAAATATTGCATAAGATTCGCATATGTACTTCTGGTAAATCAAGGTAAACAGGTACGTAGACCTGCTTTTTCTTGTTTTTCTTCAACTCGCTCTTTTCCAACTGAAACAAAATTGCACAAATAACCGTGAATTAAACAATATTTGAACACAAAGATTTTTGTATTTTACTCGACTTTCATCTTTTTGATTTGGCACTAAATTTTGTATAAACTTAAACATGACAATAAGCTTCCGTAATGTGATAATTGTAATTCAATGTCACTAGACTATAAGTAGAGTTTATTAAACGGCACTTGAGAGAGTTTCAAATTATGTCTTTAACAGTTGATGTGCTTCTTGTTACTGCAGAATGGCGAAGCAGAGAAGTAAGAAAAGATCAATTTTTCTCTGTTCACTTTTAACATTGGTGGCGTATAAGTAAAGCGCATGAAAAATGATCGACGAAGGTCTTGGTAAACTCATGCCATTTATTCTCATTTACAGTGAACAAGCAGTGAATACGACGACACCTTTGAATCACTTTTCATTCAATTTTTCTCTCATTGGCTTCAAAGACCGATGACGTAATTCCTTTTTTATTTTTTGGAAGATTATTTCTCAAGAGATGAACAAATGATGTGAAGGTCAGTATCGTATTACGAGAGTAAATCGTGAGTGAACGAGAGTTTAATGACAAACGTAAAGACGTCTTGTCTGTAATGTCGTCTTCATGTATTAATGTTGAAGTCAGTTTTGCATCTTCTTCTTTGATTTTTATTTCAGTTTCAATTTCAGCTTCCCTGAGCGGCCATAATTACTCTTAATTATTTCTTATTATTATCTTATCGTCACCCCTAGTATTTTGGGTAATTGTTGTAATTGGGTTTATTAGGACATGAAGAAAGACCATTAAGAAACTTTTTTGCTTTATTATACATAAGGAACGCGGATTTGTGGAGAAGCATTCAACCGAAAGAAACACAAAATGTTGGGTAGAAGTGAAGATACTTTGTAGCAAGCTTTGTAGCGTTTAATTACTTTTAAAAATTTCATTCTTGTGTTGTGGAAAAATTTACTTTGGATTTATGTTTTATTATAAAATGAAAATCATGAAAAGAGAAATTTTTTCATGTTCATCTACGTCATTCATGAATAATTTACTTCAATTAAATAATATGAAATATTTAATTCATTGCAGACATTTCCATGAAGCACATCGCAAGAGTAAACCTTCGTAAGGCATTGAAAGACACACAAAGTTCAGATTCAATTTCATGATAATTACATTTTTCCTCACCTTTGTTACAATAATCATCGTAATTATTTATACGTAATATAAAATAAGAAATATATGCTCGCTTCGAAATTTCATTTCATATTTTACAATACAATTAAAGATTATTATTATTTTTTTTCTTCTTTTTCGTATATCAAATTATTTTCTAAATTACTTTTTATACCTCTTCTAATTAACATAAAGAAACTACAAATTGTGTGTTAAGCTATAAAATATTTTCTCATTTTTGAGTCTTTTGAGGCTTATGGGATTTTTTTGTTAAAACTTGTAATGATTCATCAAGTACGCATATGCTTAAAAATATCTTAAATGTTTCTCCTTCTTCTTAAAAGATTTTTCTGTATGTTGTATAATTTAATTAAAGGAAAAAGAAGACAGTAAGTTAATTTTTAAACAAGACAACGATTAGGCATAATTTTATGGAAAATAAGTTGTTTATGTGAATGTCGTAAGTTTTTAACGTTCTTATTTTATGAGAAATGTTTCTTACGACTTTTACTAACTTGGTTTATTCACTACACTTTAATTAATCAGACAAATCTCCACTAACTGTAGCAGAGCATAAAATTCAGGTTACTCGCTTCTTATTCAAAAAACTTTAATATTGTGCAAATTCTTCAATAATCGATTCATTATCACAATTGTGGATCTCAATACTTGCTAACTATGTCTCTAACTCATTTTCATCTTCATTTTCTATCATTTTCGAACAAATTTATGTGAAACTTTTAATTTTTTTCAATGAAACTTTCACAGTTGATTTACAAAAAAATTGGCTGCTCAAAAAAAGCATGTCAATAACATGCAATTTCATACCTTAATTGATTAATTAGCTAATAAATCCAGTAAGCTAGCGAAGCGATATATAAAAAACTTTTTAACACAATGTGCACTGATGGATTGTCGATGTTCAACTAAAGCTCCAACTATATATCTCTCGATCTATATACCTTCGTTAGACTCGCGAAAATCGGCAGCAATAAACATTTTCTTCTTGTTTAAGTGTTGAATATTTTTGTTGTTGTTTCTTCCTCAACTTATCGTAACAAAATTATTCGCTGCTTTTCATGAAAACAAGTGCTGGCATGCATGTCTGTCAAGATGTTAGGAAGGAAATTTTTTTAATAATGATAAATGGAGATAAATGCTTAAGGTGATACTGAAATGTTTTCAAATAAGAAGACACAAAACAGTGGAAACATTTCTAAGACATCCAAAAATATTTCACTAATTATTTCGAATAATTATTTACTCTTAAAAAAAATCACAAATTAAAAAATTTAGAATTTCATTTCAGTTATTGCTGTTTATGCTTCAGTCATTGAAGAAACTTTTTAAATAATTTAGGCACAAACGCATACATTCATCTACTCTAAAATAAAAGCATAATTTTAACATAAATATGAAACTTTATTCAAAAATATTTTTGGGCTTATTACAAAAATTGATTTTTAGTGACAATAAACATTTCAATTATATTCTAGTTAATACTTCAAAGCGTCATGTTTTCCCAGCTTCAATTGTACAAATCACTTTAACATTTATAGAATTTAATTGTCATAGATTTTTTGACGAAAACATTTAAAACTTTGATGTCTCTTTAGACCTTTGCATCTTCTTAAATTTATGTAATCTTATTCAACAAGGAAAAAAGTATTTAAATATTTTAATTTTCGTGTCGAAGTAATTGTTTCAGCCATCTGATGATTTCATTCCAAACTTAATATTAAAACAATGCAACAAGAATTGTATGAGTGTTAATTAGAATTACAATCCAAAATCAATTAACCAACCAAAAGATGATCAAAGTCCTTTGCATCATATGAAACCAAAATCAACTAATGACGTCGTGTTTAAAGTTTTCATGACTCTTTCATGTCTGATGATTTTAATTTTTTTATTTTTTTATTTCATGAAATCATTCAAAAGACCTCAGCTCATTGTCTTGCTCATTTCCTTCACAAATATAAAACTTTTATACATCCAAAAATTTATTTTTACGTGCGAAACAATTAAAACTGCTTAATTAGAGCAAAAATATGAACATTCATCCGATTGCATATTTCACATATTATTTTTTCTTGGTTTTTAAATGTTTTCATTTAATTTTAATTTTAAATAAAAAACAGAGAAATTTCTACTCAATTAGTAAACAGAAACATTGCTGAGGGTTTTGAACGACTTTGGGGATGAACATTCAAAACGTTTTTAAAATCTTCACTTAAATTGCAAAATCATTAAGTCAAATTTATGTGTAACTCGTTGAATTCATAAATCATAAATTTAATTACATGCAGACATTAATTATAAGAAATTATTGTTGCATATATACAACAATGAACTCACAATGCATATAATTGAACGTGTATAAATATTATTATAAATATTGAATGATTTGGTTATCAATTTCCACTCAAATTTTTCCTGAACATTTCATATGAAAGCGCTTTAAGGGATTTTATGGGATTTTCCAGCATTTTGATTGAGGCAAAATAAAAAAGGGCCAACAATGAATTGTCATCAAACATTGAAAAGTGCTTATAGTGCTTGATATCCTTTTAAAAAGTAGATTACTCATGACATCGATATGAACATCTGTTGAACATTATTAAACACACATCCTTAATCAATTTTTTTTTCCTTTTCTAATTGCTTGTTTGAATTTGATTTTTATCGATTTGTGGAAAGAAAGAAAAAAGTTTTGATTTCCCTCTCACGTATACGAACCGTAATTTGTTCAAGTAATTGAATTTCTTTAATCGTCTTGTTGAAAACAATAAAAATGATTGAATGAATTTACTTCAATTGTACCAACACCATGAAGTATGTTACAACAGCTCCAAGCACGCTAGCAAACAAATCTAATGACACTGTGAAGAACTTTGCACCAGATATTGTCATTGCCTTCTGACATTGCTGACAAACGATTTGTACGAAAGTTTTAGCTTCTTCTGAACCATCATACCAATGACAAGAGTAAGCAGCTTCCATCACCGATGAGCTCTGACGTTTCAATGTTTAAATGAAAAATATTTTATGTGACACGAAAAAACTTCAACTCACCTCTTCGATCAATCGATTACCGAAAATACAGAACAGGAAAACTTGTGCTAACGAATAGACTAAATATCCGATAACACTGAAGGCATAAACATTAACGCCGTCAATTTTCGTAGCTTGATAAGCTAATAAGGTCAGCATAATTGTTGATGTCAACATGTGCAAGAGTAATGCTAATCCATAAGTGTCACCAATAGCAGAAACAAGTCTTTAAATATTTTCATTTAATAGATTGTTTTGGAACACTTCCAAATATCAAATGACTTACCTTACGACGTGCTTATGTCGTTCGACCCAATACTTAATAGCACTTCTCACCATCATTTCTTGTTTTTCTGTCAAACCGTTTGGATTGTTATTGTTGCCTTTTCCACCATTGAAATTCTGAAGTGTTGTGGGTGCACGATATTGAGCTCCCCAATCTGATTTTGTGTTGTAAATTGTGCTGATGTTCAGATCGTAGTTGGAATTCTTCTCGTTTTCTGAATAATGGAATTTTTATTAAGGAATAAATTGAAAGGCGAATATTTACCGTCATTTAAAATTAATTCAGACTTTGAACTTGCAGAAACAGTACGAAATAATGCAGCAGAATTCGGACGGTATGTGTCGAGTGTTGCCGAAAGTTCCATCAATGGTCGCATGATTCCCTAATTGTTGAGAAGTTTTATTAAATTAATGAAATTTTCTGAAATTTAATTTAATTTCACCTTTAGATGTTGTAACTGTTCGCAAGCAAAAATGAGCCATGAACAGAATAAAACGTCCGAAGTATTGCAAATAACCATTGAGAACAGCAAGTAATAGAATTGAAATGCTAAAGACGCGAAATAAAGTGCGCCAACGGGATTCCAAGGATACCATGACTTTATCATAAGTCGAGGTATTTCGACAGTCAAAGTCTCGTTGTTCTCATGATCTCTCCACAGTTTTGTACTATCTCCAAAGAATGTTATTGTTGTCCAACAAACAGTTGCGATACATGTTGTAAGCATCACGAGCATCAATAAACGTCGCATTTTCGCCAAAGCAATTTGATGATATCTGAGTTGGAAAATTAAATTGGACAAAGGAAATTGGAAAACGATTAAATTCCTCCTTTCATTGCTGCTACATACCTTGAATTTGATTCAGTAAATAATGGATGACTATTGGATTGATTCCAGATTCCCAAAGTTCGACTGATATTTTCCGAGCTCAAAGCAACGTAAACGAATTTTGTAATGCAATGCGTAAAGAAAAGTACCGTGATTGTGTTTGCTAATTGAAGTAAAAGTTTTAAATGATTTTCTTGAAGTTTGATTGACTTTATCTTACCAGTAAGTTCACTAACTTCGTCAGTGTTTTGAGCCAAATTCAACAAGATGCAAAGGAATTGAAACAAAAGCAAAACTAAATGCACGGATGAGTAAACTTTTCTCAAGAAAATCGGTCCGTTGATGTATTTGAAAATGAAATGACCGAAACCTTGCATAAGCCGTATGTTTGGCAATAAATCAGACACAAGGCCGACATATTTTGATTCGATTATTGATGTCATCTGTCTGATGAGGTTTTTTCACCTTAAGAAATTAAATTACAAACGTTAATAAACTTTTAATAAAACAATTAAATTAATGTTGAAACATTATTTGAACTTGAATATCTTTTACACCGTTCAAAATTGTCTGTTTACTTATCGCTGACCAATTAATCTTTAAAGTTTTGAAAATTCAGTCAAACAACTAAAAAATGTAAACCGTGAAACAAAGTCAAACTTTATAGGATTGGAAAGTTTGAATATTTTACATAAAATACCCCAATTTTAATATTTTTCTGTTGACAAAACTCATATTTGAACAAGGAACAATTTTTAAAATTAAATTATCGATCATTTGTTGGACTTGGAAGTAATAGAGAAACTTCTTCCCTTCGTGACATTAATTTAAATTCACTTATCTGTCTCATGTTACCAGAAAATTTCAATCAACATTTCTGTCAAATTTACAAAGTTAATTTCACTTCTTTTTCTTTCTTTCTTTTAATTTAATTAAATTTTCTGTATCTGACAGTTTTCGAGCTCTTTTTATTTATTCCTTAAACTTGTCAAGTTAATTTTCACAGTCAACAGCAAGTGGACATTAAGCATTTTTCTAAACAGACTTTATCATCCTTTTAAGATCTTTGCGGTTAGTCTTTTAACTTGAAATATTTACAACTAAAACTTCTAACTTCACAAAAGTTGAGATATAAATTTTGAAAGGATGTTGACAGGAAAAAAAATATTTTTTCTCTACCTTAAGTAACAAAAATTCTTTTTACTTTCCCCAAAGGCGTCTGAACCGAGAGAACTTCAAAGAATATCTGAATTCTGAATCAACAAAAAGTAGAAAATTTCAACTTTGTCCATACCACGACTATTAAAGGAAATTATGTCAATACATGATACTTAGTTCGATCTAGCCAGGAACTTCGTTACACGTAGGATTTTTGAATAATTAAACTGAAATAATTTTCAAGTACAAGTTTAAAAGAGTACACGGGCTGGACTTTATTAACAGTTAAAGTGTCCAATCGCTTGCCTTTTCTCATGACTCCATTATGCATGAAGCTGGGAAAATGAATGAACGTAGAACATGGAAGAAGACCGGCAAAAAGGTGTTTCAAGGGTTAATTTATGAGGATTGATATTGACCTACATGAGAGTGTGTTGGTAATCCTTTTGAGGCCTAAAAATAAATCTTTTAATAATCGATATGTTGTCATCCAATGGATTTATGTTCACATTCAACATCTCGCAAGAGGCATCATGATAATTGAGGATTTTCTTTTCGCTTCGAAGCTATTGCCAGGATTTTATGATTTTTCTCTCCGACATGCAACATGTTACGCAACACATCTCGCATGTTTCATCTTCTCCTGCGCAACATAATTATGCTCAGCATCAAAGAGAGAAATTTCAATGAAAATGAAAAGGGAAAAGCTTTTTCCTTTTCTCGTCTCTTTCCCATTACATCATTTTTTATTCAGCCGTAATAAGGCAACAGAGTGAGTTTGTTTGACAAAAGAAAAAAAAAGTTAATTTTTGTAGCAATTTGCAGCTAATTTAATATCTACTAAAGTGCCCATAAAAATAACATTAACTTAGTGTTGATCAAGTTGTGAGAATAAAATTTAACGTAGTGATAACTGTTTAGTGGCGAAAAGTTTTTTTTTCTTCTTTAAGTTCTCAAAAAAAAGAAAGAAAAATTATAAAATAGAAAAAGGCAAAAAAAAAGTTGTGAAAAGAAATTCATAATCAAAATAAAAAAATATTTTTCATTCTCAAAATGAATCATTGAGAATACGTCCTTAAAAGTATAACAAAAGTGTTTAAAATGTTAATAGTGGGAAATCGAAAGCAGCACAAACGGATGCAGAAGCGACCGAATCTTCATGAAAATTCATTATAATGTAAATTTCATTCCGAGACTACAAAGTCTTCCTAGAAAGGTTTGGGGAAGACAAAAAGGGATGTTATATAACATTCTCATGACATACACAAGAGAAAGCGAGAAGAAAAAAGATTATTCAGAGAAGAAACCATCTCGAATCGCTCATCCATCCAGAAACTAAAGAACTTCTCTCGCTCTCTGTCACATCCCTTGCTCTAAACTCTTCCTAAGCTTAAGTCAGTATCATATCAACAGATTGTAAAGCTGGTGGGAAAAGCAGCAAACATATATTAAATATTTATAAATGAATCAAGCATACATTGTCGCCACAATGTTTCAACACTCACAACATGTAAATATAGAAAATTTTCCAATTTTCATAGAAAACAAGAATTAATTTCTCGGATCAAACTCTCGTGAGAAGATATTTAAATAATTTTGTAACTTTTCGTCTTTTTCCATCGCATCGTCAACATCCTCTTATACTGAATAATAATTTGAGGGAGAAAAATTGTCCATTGAGAGAGCTTTTGATGTGCCAGAGGGAAAAAGAAAAAGAAAAACGCGTGACTCCCTAGCACAACTACATAATCAACAAAACTCGTGTTGTGAAAATTTTCTTCTCAGTTGCAAAACGAGAATTAGTCATCGACATTCCTCGACGAGACTGAGATGCTTGTTGTTTTGGGTGATAAAGTGGACATTCTTGTTTGTGGATTTTTCATAATACAAAGAGAATATTTTAATCTTGACTCGTGTTGTGTGGCTAAATAATACTTATGTATAAAGCATTTATGTTGTCTGGCGTTATATTTAGAAATTAATGTCGAGAGAAAAAGGAAAGTTTTATCGCACGCCTTTATAGTTGCTAATAGCTTCTGGAAACATCATAAAAGTTGCGATATTAAATTCTATTGACATTTCGTAGGTTATTAATCTCATATCCGACCTCACACTAGCATTTGGTGTCAGTTTACACCTTTTTAGGTTCAACTTCATTGTATTCAATCAAATTTTGTCGATATCTCTGCTTCATTGTGTATGTCATCATAACTAAGTCGCTTCTTGTGCGCTTCTTTCAAACTTATTACTAATTGGCATTACATTGTCGTAAACAACATAGCAAAAATCGAAAGAAAAAAAGAAAGAAAGAATATATAACATTCTGGTGATCACAAATAATTCGTTCGTACATATATCATTTATCACTCACATTAATTTTCACCCGATTTTCATCGAATCACAAATCTCTAAAACTACAAACGTGATTAATAAAAAAGATGTGGAATGGGAAAACATTTCCTTTATCACCATCAACTGAAAAGAACTTAAAAGCTGTCATCATTAAGGGACAAACGCGAATTCAAAGCTATCCAAATAACATCAAATTCATTGAGAGTGTGAAGGCGAATCAGAAATGTACAAGTCGAATTTCAATTGATATGGAAGTTTTAATGCAGAAAAAGCATATCTCACATCATTCTGCTTAGCAATTCACTCTGGAGGGATCAGGGGAGAAAGAGACATCATGGCATCAAGGACCACTAAAAGTGGCCTTCCTAGGCGCACCCGGTGTTGGGAAGACACAAATTTTACAGGTGCCCATTGCTTGCTTTCCCATCATTTTAATCACGTGTCTCAAACATTTTTTTCTTCGCTTTTCTCATAATAAATTTACAGCAATTTTTCAAACATGATTTTTCCGAAAAACACGTTCGTACGGCAAAACCTTTTCGATACCGAAGTTGCTTAGTATGCGACACCATGATCCGAGAACTTATTGTTCTAGATGTGCCACCACAGGTCAGTACATTCCGCCTTAAATTTATGGACTCTGAATTTTACCATGAAAAGTGTAGCGATGACGATAGCAAAGCTTAAAGCTTAAAAGATCCTAAAGGGATTCTTTCTAAACATAAATTAAGATGTTAAGCTTTAACTTTTTGTTTTCGTCTTAAGATAAATTCCTGATTATTGTAGTTTAGTTTTGTTATCCCTAAGAGAAAATATTTTAAACTTTTCTTTCATTTCAAAAATGTTTAAACTAAATCGGGATATGCAGAAGAAGTTTCCAATTGATAATCTGGCTGAATGGAATCACAACAACAATCCTTTGGGTCTTAGGTGCATGCAAGTCTATGTCCTTGTCTTCGACATGGGAAACTTGGAAACATTTCAAGTAAGAAAAATGTTTGGAATTTATTGGAATTTCTAATATCAAAAAGATTAAATATTGAAATTTTTGTTATTAGTATTGTCGGTCGATACGGGAGCAGATCCTATCGAGCTTCACTCATCGAAATTTTAGTATCATGGTTGTTGGTAATAAATTCGACTTAGTCGTTGATTCGCCAAATTATTCTCAGGTACTTAACATGAATAACACTTTAGCCATCTGATGTTTTTAATATTTTTAATTGGTTTGCTGTTGTTTGTTTCAGGAACTCAAGGATATATCTGCGCTAGTCAGAAAGCATTGGAGATCGGATTATGTCGAGTGTTCTGCAAAGTAAGTGTTCTTAAAGAGCTGAAAAATTATGAAAAGTTGTTAATTCTTTACATTCAACCCAAACAAAGGTACAACTACAAAGTAAACGACGTCTTTCGAGAGATTATGGGGGTGTCAGGGATGAATGGTGGTTCCGGTACTGGTATAGAGTTCTCCCAATCTTCCAGACACAAAAGTAAATGTACGATTCTTTAATATGGCCTTTTACGACCACCATTAAGTCACATCCACGAAATAAATTTCACAATTTCTCATCCACATGGAAGCATCATAAAGCTAAATGATAAATCTTGGGGCAATAATGATGAAACATAAAAAAAAGAAGAAGAAACAAAAGTTTGAAGCATAAATTGAAATGCAAAATAATGTTTAGAAAGATACAATAATATGAATAATTTATTAAATACTTTAGATTTTCATTCTAATTTTTGCAAGATGAAATGAATGAATGAATCAAAAAACAAAAAAAGACTTTTTCCAAAAACCATTCGTTGTCGAAAAAAATATTTAAAGAGACAATTTGCATTAAAGAGATCCATGGAGACAGAGACGTATCATTAAATCCATTTCATTTCCAATTCATGTACTTTTCGTTTATTTATTTATCTAACTTAGCCATTCATAAATCGAAAGATAAATATTAGAGTTCGCGTCATGAAAAATCATTTTCAGAATGAAATTAAAGCTTGGAAAATGTCACATCTGTTTGAGTTTAAAAACACATGAAAAAGGACCTTCCATAAATTACGTAAATGATATGATTGCTATGTTGATTGAGAATATTGAATTCAGATGAATCTTTATTCGCTTTTGGATCACGTAGCAAACATAAATATTCCATTTTTGAAACGGAAGAGTCATTCACGTAAATGATGATGATCCCTGATGACGGCAAGAATATGTTGAAGACGCACAAAAATAAAAAGAGAAAAGAACATTTTTAGAGGTTTTTAAGTGATATAAAATTAACATTAAAGGTCTCAATCAACATGAGAACTCAAAATATATAAAAAAGAAGTTTTCTTGTTCTTGGTTAACTCGTTTGATCTTTCTGGAGAAGAAAAAGTGAAAGAAAGCATGAAAAGGAAGAAGGAAAAACATAATAAAATATTCAGTGCCAATTTTTTATCAAAACAAAAAAATAAAAGTGAAGAAGAAAAACAAGTGAAAACACGTTTTCAATATTTGACTGTGAATATTATTATTACATACATGATGAAAGATTATAAATGATAATGAAAAGAAAATTGTATGTGAAATTTAGTTATTAAGAGAGCTACATATTGTTACAATGTATGTAACTTACTACTCCTCAAAAGGCCTAATCTTTATTGTTGAAATATAGGATTATAACAGTGGTTTTTGACAAGAATAAAATGTTCATTGCTTGGTTCTTCATTTAATTGCTTCTCACCACGAAGTTAGAAAAACATTAAGAATAATAAAGAAAGCAAGGAAAAAACAAAAGCTTGAAACATGATTTAGATAAGCAACCATAACATTTTCATAAACATTCATTAAAAGTGAGATTTATTCGCAATGAAATGTCGTTTTGAAAAAGGTTTTCGTTCAATTCGAGACGCTCTCGGAACTTCCTTTTCAACTTGACAATTCATCTCGTAACGTCACCATTAAAATGAAACTTTCATTAATAACAATGAGCATGAGAAAAATGAAAAACACAACAGTAGCTTAAATTTAAGCTAAGGAAAAGGATACCATATTGCCAAATTAAAGGAGAAATACTTATAAGTTGAATAACAAGCATAATGTTGAAATAAAAAGAATCGATTAACGCATAGAACGTATACTTAGCTTAGTTGACAAAGTCGAGAGTTGTAGAGAATTTTAGCAGTAAAAAGACAAAAGAAAATATTATCGAAAATAAAAAAAAAAACAAAAAAATCAATAAAGTCCGTAGATAAACTGGTGGGAAATTTGCCACACTCGTTTGAAAACTTCAAATTCCGATATTTCATTTAAATTTTTTATTTGAATATTAAGGACACATCAGACTTTTCAAACTATTTAATCGATTGTTTTTTTGTTGTTGCCATTGTCATCAATACAAAAATACTAAATTATAGTAATAGAAAGCAATATTTTTGATTTCAAGTTCATTGCGAAAGAATTGAAATGCGACCGAGAAAAAAAAAGAATAAACAATCAAATGCAATCAAAATTAATTAAAGTTATTAATGATACGTCATCAACATAAGACATTACATTAAAACAGTTGGTACTTCAACACATAAATCCGCATTTTCATAAAACTGTTCATAAAAAGCTTCTTTATGAGAAATTAAATCATTGCATTAGATAATTACACAAAGTTATCAAATCATAGCAGCATATAACTTAAGCACACTACAGTTTAAATAAGTTGAATTGTTAATAATAATTTATTATATTTTAGTGCTGTACAAAAGTTTACAGAAATAAAAATAATAAATTCAATCGCTAAAAGCTCGCTGCTTATAAATTAAATAAAAATGAAGAATTTGATTCTAGGAAATCGTCTTACAAAAAAATTGAGTCTTTTCCTTTTGCGCTTAGAATAGAACATTTAGAGATCGCTTAGCATGAGTTCATAAAAAATTTATAAAAAGTGAAAATTGATTTCAAATTAACCAAATAGAAAGCAATGTTAATTAATACAAAAAAAAGTCATTAATAATCTGTTGAGACGACATTACAAGACATTACTACAAAGAAAAATAAAGCAAAATTAGTTTATAGAGATACACAACATGAACCACATTAAACTTAAAGCCATTTATAGTTTTAGAAGTGAACAAAATAAAAGTGGACGTTTGGAAAATGGAAAACATTGTTTGGAAACTTTTAAAAATCGAAAAAATAATTTCATAGGAAAAGCCATACAAATGTTTATGAAACAGTTGAAGTATTCTAAGGTTGATGCGTGTTATGTGTGGAGAGTTACTTCAGGACAGAAAACATTGATTTTTCAAGCAAGTTATAATTGTTCAGGTCATTGAATGTTTTTAATATTGAATGAAAAAGTTAAAACTTAGATTATTCTTGTTGTAAGTAACATTATAGTTCCATATTTCTGGCAAAAATGTATTGAGAATTCTAAAACAACTCAAATGTTTTAATGTTCAACAGCTGTGTCGGTAATAGAAACCCTACTATGCAAGGGTAAATGAAGGGTACCTCATACGAGTCAAAACAGCTTCTTCCGAAAATTATTTCAGTAGTGAATTTCGCTCGGTAAAGATCAATTTTTGTCAAAGTAAGTTGAATTAACATTTTTCTTGGTCAAGTTTAAAAGGTTGAAGATAGTTCCAAAGTGTTGTAAATCATAATAAAGTTCATTTTATGCGCATTTAAGTATAAAAATTTTAAAGAAAATTACTTAAAAATTTCACAATTTGTCGTCGGCTTTCACTGATAACATTGATAAGAGGATTCTTTTTTCTTGAACTTTTAAATAAGTCTGCTTATAATATCGGTTTATTGTAATAAAATTTGATTTCAAAGGATATTTTTCCACGCAGAATCAAATCGACATTACATAACATATTAGCCTTGTTGCAGCAACATTGGATTCACTTTGCATTGAATGCATAAGTATTTGAAATTCTCATCAAATTTCCCTTGATTTCTATTGAATCTTTTAAAAGTTTCATTTAAATTGAGTAAATTCGATTTCAAAACTTTATAAATCATTTGGTAAAAAGGTCAACGACACTGAAACTAAATTTCTAATCAGGCAATTTTCCTATTCATATTTCCCTTCAACAGTGCTTTGCAATCTTCACTTGCAATGTTGAAAGCAAATATTAATTTCTTATCTAACTTCCACTTTTAGAAGGATAGGAAAATCCCCAAGACTTTATTAGTTTATCATCCTTTAAGAAAAAAAAAGAAATGTTGACCTTGCTCAAGATCATCCGAATTTTTTTCCTTCAATTCTTTCCACGCGACAAAGTTCGAGATAAAATTGTGACGAGTGAAAGAAAAAATAGAAATTTTATTAGTCTTTCATAAATGCATGTGCTTTCAGATTGTCTTCTTCTCAGACAAATTCGATGTTTATTAATAATTAAATTGCATAATTTTAAATTACGATTCTGTTTTGAAAAGAACTCATTTTGTTTGTCGTTTCGTTGATAATTGTTGTGACGTGATCAGAAAAGAAAATGCTGTTTTGAATAATTCTATAACTCGTCTTATCTCTCCAAATTTCTTGTGCCAACGTGACAGGCACATCGAAAAATTCTCGTCACACGCCTTCTTTTTCAACCAATTGTAATCAAGTTATTAAATGATGAAACAAAACCTGTTTGTCTTTTCATAATAAACAGCTGAAGGAATATAGAGTGCTTATCAGTAACAATGTTGACCTTTAAAATGTTGATTTTTTAGAGTATTCCACTTAGAAGGCTTCAGTTAGCATAACAACAAGTTCATGAAATCGATTTAGCCACAACAAAATTGAAGTTGATCTCTCGAACTTTGAACATAACTTCATTATCAACTGTGAACGTAGACCAAGTCCAATATGTTATTGACATTGTCAATTCTTTTGTTTCAGTCGGATCCCGAAATCTCTAATCAATCAACATGACCACTTATTTCAACGACTACCCAACTGAATTGCAAGATGAATTGCGTCGCATTGCTAATGCCATCGTTGCTCCAGGCAAAGGTATTTTAGCTGCTGATGAATCAACTGCAACATGCGGAAAACGCTTTGCTGTAAGTTTCTCCATAATTTCTCTGATTATTTAATTAAATTTCAACATCTTTGTAGGACATCGGAGTGGAAAATAACGAAGAAAACCGTCGGGCATATCGTGAATTACTCTTCACCACTGAAGATGCTCTCTCAACAAACATTTCTGGTGTTATCTTGTTCCACGAAACTGTCTACCAAAAGACTGCTGATGGAACTCCATTCATTGATGTCCTTAAGAAGAAGGGAATTATTCCTGGAATCAAAGTTGACAGCGGTGTCGTTGATTTGATGGCCTCCGAAGGTAATCATCAAGTTTAATTGCATAAGTTACGAGAACTATAAGTAATTTCATAATTCTTATTTGATTTTTAGGTGAATGCACAACTCAAGGTCAGTAAACGACAAATGTTATTGTTTTACAATGTTTCCCAAATGTTTGATGTTTTTATATTTTAATCAATCAGGAATTTCAAAGAATTAAATTATTTTGAAATAGTAATCTTAGTGATGACCAAATTAAGTTATTCAGAAGCTTATTTTAATACTTTAAATCCGAGCTACAAAGTCCGTTTTGAATGAAATAAATTTTATTCGATTTTCATAAATCTTGCATTTCCGTCAACATTTAACTAATGAAACCTTGATCTTGGAACCTGTTTAAAGTTGAGACTTCTTTTATTTTTATCATCACGGTTTTCCTCAAAATAAAAGATAAAACGCGAAACAAAAAGTGAGAATAAAAACATTAGTTAGACATGCGGAAGTTAAATAAAAGCGTCAAATATTGCGCAGATAATGAAATAAATAACGGAAACCACTAACTTCCGAATTAATTTAGGTCTTGACAACTTGGCACAACGTTGCGCTCAATACAAGAAGGATGGATGTGACTTCGCTAAGTGGCGTTGCGTTCTTAAGATTGGAAAGAACACTCCAAGCTATCAAGCAATCTTGGAGAATGCCAACGTGTTGGCTCGTTATGCTTCAATCTGCCAATCACAACGTATTGTCCCAATTGTTGAACCTGAAATCTTACCCGATGGCGATCATGATCTCGATCGTTGCCAGAAAGTCAGTGAAGTCGTCTTGGCTGCTGTCTACAAAGCATTGAGCGATCATCATGTTTTCTTGGAAGGAACTTTGTTGAAACCAAACATGGTTACAGCTGGCATGCAATACAAGGGAACACGACCAACTCCTGAACAAATTGCCGTAGCCACAGTCACTGCTTTACGTCGCACAGTTCCAGGAGCTGTTCCCGGTAAGTTCACTAATTTGCAAACAATCAATTGAATGACTCAACAATTTCTTTTCTTCTTAACTCATTTCAGGAGTCACATTCTTGTCTGGTGGTCAATCAGAAGAAGAAGCTTCCGTCAATTTGAGCGCTATCAATAACGTACCCAAGCGCCCATGGGCCTTGACCTTCTCATACGGTCGTGCTCTTCAAGCTTCCGTATTGAGAGCATGGGGTGGAAAGAAGGAAAATGTTAAGGCTGCTCAGGATGAACTTCTTAAACGTGCACGGGTAAGTTGAATTGATTTTAATTTTTATTTCAGCTAAAATCCCGTCAATTAAATTTCAAGTGAAGGTCGATACCGTGAATTTATTTATAATATAACAAACGATTGATTTTGTATTCTCTCTTTTCAATTTGTCATGGTTTGCTTTAATACTTCACCGAAAATATTGTGATGGGGTTTACCCTCAAATGTGTCTGCGAAACGCCCAACAATTTTAATATTTCTGAAGCGAGTTTCGTTTTTATTTTTTGTTTCATCATCTTGATGAAATCACCGTACGATTTACAGTTGAACAAGTTTTTTGTGATTTTATTCACTCTTTATTTTCTTTATTTTTCAAAAAAGGCAAAATCAGTTTAAGTGGACGTGAAAAATTTGTTTAAAGCAATAAAAATCAGCTGGCCGTATGGTTTTCTAAATTTTTTCAACTTCCATAATGAGGTTGAGGGGATAAGAATGAATTAAAAGTTTTTAGAGTCTTTTTTGCCAGCATTTCTTTGTCAAGGTTTTTAAGACTTGAAAAGATTATCAAGTTAAGAGTTTGATGTTGATATCCCCTTGACATGTTAGACTAATGAACCACCAATGGATAGCATTCAATAATTTATCTAAAGAAAATCGCCTAATGATATTTTGCCAAATTCCCAAACGAGACTTTTTATATAAACAAGAATAATCAACGTTTGAACGCATAATGTGACCAATAAGAACAAAAAATATTTAAATCAACTCGCAAATCTTCAATCAAACCGGAAAAAAATTGTCGTTTGAGTCGTGGATCGTGCTGTTCGGCAGCTTTATTCTTCTAACCATTGAGTTAAAGTTAAAATTAAAATATCTAAACAAAGAAGTTTTAATGAGGTTTGAGAATGTTTATTTAAGTTAGCCGAACATGAGTGGAAGAACGTTTGAATATTTCAAACACGCTCGCTTTTTTTTTTGCTGAGTCTGAATTTAAACGAAACCAATTTTCATATCTTGCGCGCCTTTAAAATTGTCTTTCTCCTTCAAACGATTTTTTAAACTTCATTAATCGCTTGTTGGGTGTCAAGTGACTTCATTTACACGTTTTATTTTTGCATTTATAAATGCTTTGTTTGGAAACTTAATATCATATAATTTGTGATTATTTAATGTAAGTTTATTAGTCTCGTCATGCGAAAGATTAAACAGTGTTCAAGTTTCTTTCGTCTGACATTTTTATCAATATTAAATACCAGGACTTGTCTTCGTTTGATGTTCTAAAAATAATTCCTTCTATAGAACTTCTTGTTTGAATTAGTTATAAGTTGAGTTGATTTATGAACAATATTTTTCAACCGTCATTCCAAGAACTAACCACAAAGTACTTAAAGCGATTCTTAGAATTGAAATAATAATTTAACGTCAAGTTAGATTAAACAAAAGAATGTAATTAATGCAGAGATTGACGTACAATGTCCTGGGATTTCCATTCTTCACTATTTTATTAGAACTCAATAGTTGCAAGTTAATGGATTTGAAAGTTTCTCTTTTTTTCCTACTTTTTATTCATCATACAAAAGCTTTATTTATGACAAAGCTGACAAGCAGAAACTGAGTAAGACAGAAAAAAATTATTCGCAAGAATCACTCAAGTCCGCCCCGCGGCCTCTTTAAATGTTTTTATTTCTCTTCTTTCTTCAATCACAATTCTTTCTAAATAACTGTTTGCATTTAATTTGTTTCTTTGTTTAATGTTTGAATGATGAATTGGATTTTTGATTTTATTTTTGATTTCTTTTATTACAAACTAATACTTGTTGATTTATTAATTAGGCAAACGCTTTGGCATGCCAAGGAAAATATGTTGCTGGATCAATTCCATCATATGCTGCCAATGCGAGTCTGTTTGTAAAAGCACATGCTTATTAGATTGACTGATTGACTGACTAAACTCTTCAAAAACATTATAAAATTGCTATAAAACGCACACACAGACACACAGAATTAAATATGCACATGCACAACAGCACAAAAATTATCTGGAAGCAGCAGAATGTTTGATGTCAAACGAGCGAGAATTCCTGCAACATTAATATGCAACTTAGCTTATTCTATTTTATAGTTTGCTCGCCTTGCAATATTTTTTTATTAATTTTATATGACTTTCTTGTTTGATTTTTATGCATGATTTGTTTGATAGATAAAAGGGAATGTTCATAAGCTTCGTCTGGTTTTTTGTAAGTTAAAAGGTGAAGGAAAGGAAAACTGACGAAACTTGCAAACAATCCCTTTACAAATATTTCTTTTTAATTTCTTTTCAATTCAATAAGATTTATTTTTATCATCGCAACTTTTGATATTTTCTTCGTTTTAAATTTATTGCATTTAATTTTGTTTATATCAAAAAGAATTATTTAGAAGTTAAGTAAGAATGATTCTCTTGCGAATTGAAAATAAAAACAAAAATAATTGAATTGCTTTTATGTGAAATAATACACAAGTTAGAGGGAAGAAGAGTGGATTGTAAATAAATATTACTAAGCATTTACCACATTCTCCCAATGGCTTGAAAAATTATTAGTTTCAAAATTATCTATTGCACTTTACAGAGAGCTTTAATTTAGTTCTATGTTCACTTTTGTGCTGTGATAAAAAAAAAGTGTTTGGTCGTGGGAAGGAATTTGTGGACGAGGTAATTGAGTTTTAATTTTTTTTATTGCGTACTATGTCACTAATTTCTGATGTAGAACAAACGTTGTTGTCGCTGTGAGGTTTATTAGCTTTGTCATTAGACCTCGACCTAAACTGTTGCTCTTTCACTAGGCAAATGTCCTAAGTTAATCTTTCTTTTTATAATTTCCTGACTGACGTAGCAATTTTCATTCATTTATTTATTTTACTTTTTTTTTGCTGTATGAAAATAACATTTCACGATGAATTTCTCTTGCTTATTTACATACGTCGTGAAATAAATTGAATTTGTCAGAAACAAAAGTTAAGCATTTAATAATTTGATTGGGAATATTTATAACATTTCAAAACAGAAAAAAAAGTTAGAAATTTAAAGGCATAAAAAGAACTTTGGAAGTCGATTGACGTAAAACAACAAAAAGAGTATGAAATTGATTGAAATGGTTCAATAGAATTAAATAAAAAATGTATCGACTTGCGTTACTTATGACGCTCATGTAATGACATTGGTGATGTAGAAGGAAGGAAGAGTTAACGTAATTAATGAAAGAAAGCATTCACAATTAGATACGCGAGTAAGAAAAAGCATAAATTAACAATTCAAAAACGTAAACATTGCATAATATTTAAACGTTTTTATTTCTTTAACGCTTTGTCGCCCACCGACATTCAGCTGGTGAATGAATAAGTAAAAGCATTCATTGCCTTTCTCTCTAGCAATAAGATTTTTCTCACGTCATCATAAATATCGTAATTTGCAATTCCAATTTTTCTTGCGAGAGTGAACATAAAAAATAAGAGAAAAAATATAAATTTTGACATTGTTTCATTTGCTGACGACAAGCACAACGACAACGACGGTAAGTTAATGCCTTGCAACGATGCAAATCGCTCTAGTTTCACTTATGTTGTTAGATATGCAACTGCAATCACTTAAAATTACTTAATTTGTTAAATCATGAACAGTTAGCGAATACTCAAGTCGATGCAGTTGAGTGAATAAATCTGCATCTTCTTACTCTGTCCTTGAATGATTCAAATTTCCAATGCAACTTCGACCACGTGAGATAAAAAAAGGCTGAGAATCTTAAAGATCTCTCGTGAATTCAAATGATTGAAAGTTTGCAATTTCTGTAATGTTTCCTTTCAGGGTTATTCTGGGATTGACGCAGAATAAAACAGTTAAGAATGTCCAATGACGTAACAAGCTTCTAAAAATAATGCAACAGAATTTCCGTTTTTATCATTTTAACTTGAACATACATAAAAGCTTGTTTAGTGAAGTTATTAAGTAACTATTGAAGCTTGTCAAAAGTCAATGTCAAAGTGGAATTTTTAACTTCAAAGTATTTTTCAAGATTCCTCCGTACTTTGTTTAGCTTTGAAAAGTTTTGGAAAACCTGTTGAAAATATGATTTATAAATGAATTTCCGATATTTCTTCCATGTGAACGAGTTAAGTCTCGAAATCTCAAATTTATTTTTTTCTTCCTTTTTTTCCGAGTTTCATTCACAAAAAACGATAAGTTTGAGAAAAATCTGTTGTCGATGTGTGATGAATGAACAAATTATTCTCGAGCGAACAACTCCTATCATCTATTAACTCTGATTTCGATCACAGAGATAACAGCAGGAAGTTAATTTAAAAAGTTTGATAACTTTCACTTCTTTTCTTCATAAGGATTCCATTCATTGGGAAAATGGTTCGAAAGGGAATTGAAATGAATTTTCCTTTTCTTTTCTGTTCTAAGAAAAGAATCATCGATCGCTTTACTTATTTATTTTTTTATTCACTTCAATACCCTCAAGGATTAAAGCACCTGCACATGGTACTAGTACCACTAAATGTAGTTACGTTCTGCATCAGAAGAAAACGATTTTGATAATAAAAAATTTAATAAAATTTGCAATCGTTGGATATGTGGAATAAATGAATAAAGAATTTTATATATTCATTAGCTTCTTGTTGTGTTGGTGGAGAAGATAAGAAGCGAATATGCCACGAAAGAATGCAATTTATTGACTTCCGCGTGTAAACCTTTTTCGAATTTATTAAAATACTTTTTAGTTAGTCAAACAGTTCGGAAAAGCTTTTTTCACGGGAATACAAAAAAGAACTTTACGATTTCCAAGGCTTTAAAATAAATCTGATACTGAACATGAAAAGGAAAGCTTGAATTGAATTATATAAGCAACAACATGACAAGAAGACGTTTGTGAAAAGCTCAGCATTTATATTGAACATGAAAACCTTAACTCTATCGATTTACTTCCATTTTCTTTGTTGTCGACGACTGAATAATATTCTAAATTGGAATTGCAAATATTTAGTTCTATTGAAATTATTAGAACTAAACAAATAGCGTCATATTGGCGACTTTAGTTATTTCGTTTTATTCCCGATTGTCGCGACATGTTCTCGACGACATTCTATAAAAAAGCTTTTAATAATTGATTTCTAATTTCAATCTTCTCGTTGGGATTTGGAAAAGAAAATTGAAAGAAAAGCCAAACTCAATGTAAGCAAAGGGAAAAAGAGGAAAAACAAGTCAATAAATTCTCATTCGTAATGCAAACCTTGACCTTTGTTCGGGAACTTCGAGATATGGAAAATATTTCACTTGAAATCTTATATTTGAATAAAAAGCAAAAATAAATTACGAAAGTATTATTTCAATACCTTACGACGAGTCGTCGACGACATTATGTAACTTTAATGGAAAATTATTTTGTTTCCTAAATTACCGAAAGGTTTCCGAGAATTCTCTCTAAATAAGAAATCTTTGATATCACGTAACAATATCTTAAATTGAGAACACAAATAAATTAATTATATGTCAACATTCTCTTCCATAGGCAAATGGTTTGGCTTCTGTTGGCAAGTACACCGCTGGATCTGTTATTGGCGCTGGTGCTGACGCAACACTTTTCATCGCTAATCATGCTTATTAAGCAATTACCAGCTACAATTTATTAGCAACATTTCCATCAATTTTAAATATTTTTAACCCTCAATTGTTGCACATTTATGTAGAATTGAAGAGGAATCTCTGAGATTTCAATTCATTTTCTCATCATGAAAGTTGATCTTTTTGTTTACACTAAATTAATTAATTTATGATCCATCATAATAAGTAGCCATCACAGGATGAAACCATCGCATTGTTAAACAAAGTGACGTGTTGTGTTAGTCCGCATCAGAGGAAAAAAATATTTTAAAATTCACTCAAAGCTGAAATCATCAAGTCAAAAAGAGAAAAATAAAAATTATAAGAATCTAAAATTTAGAACAATGAACATCAACGAGACTTTCTGCTTATTGAAATTTATTTACAAGACAAAATAAATTTACAATCGAGTGGATAAACTCTTGATGTGAATTCTATTGATGTGAAAAAGAATAAAAAACATTAATCCTTGACATTATTTTTAATTTATTTAATTTACATTCGCACATGCGAATAGAAAAATTCATTATGTTGAACAAAAGAAAAACAAAAATAAATAAAAGTTAAGTTAATGGAAAGTTAAAGAAATTGATTTTCATTGTTTATTTTCCATTTTTAATTTCAGGCAATTAGTAAAAGCTTTGGTTCATCAATTGATAGCTATAATTGAGATTAAATGCGTTTAATTGAGGTGGGAAAATTAGTTTTGATGGAGAAACTGATGAACTTTTGTTCGTATGAAGCATTTGAATGTCAAATTCAAGTTTTCTTGGAAATAGACGACTTAAGAGCTTGAAAGTACTTAGTACACCTCTAGTCTAATTAAAACCAACTAAGCAACACAAGAAATTGACGAGAAATCCTTTAAATTACAATCTTTGGGTGAGTCTTTAATCTTAATTTTCCCTTGATGGAGAAAACTCTTAGAAAGGAAATCTCTAAAGCAATAAAGACAAGATTGAAATTAAAACCACTATACAAGGATTCATGCCATGAGTTAGAGATAATCCGCATCACATTCAGATTTAAAGACTTGTGGACAAAGTTTCATGTATTAATTTAAAAGCTTTCATCATCATCATCATCATCAACATCTTATCTCAGTGTCATGTGAACACAGAAACTTATTGTTCAACTTTTCCAATCCCCTCATCTTATTGTTTTTCTATAAACATTCTTCGTGTACTTAGTCTACATAATGTTGACACCTTGAAACAATGGTTGTCAATGTCAACAAATAGAAGAAAATTCTTTGAGCTTTTCGAAAGCTCATTTAAAGCTTTGAACAAAGTTTAATGATGGAAAGTTTCCATTTATTCTCATGATTTCAGCTGTAAAATTGAGTTCTCCATTTATTTACAAAATTTCGCATCTCGTGAGATGATTTACTTGTCATCTTATCAACACGGTTTAATAACTGTCAGAAGTTGAAAATCTTCTCATTTCAATTCAGCAGCTCAAACATAAAAGTGTGAGAAGAAATATTAAAGTTATTTCTAAAATTGGAAATTGTGAAGATTTATAAAATATTTCAATAAAAGAAATGCTTCGCTTGAGAAGAAGTATTTTAGATGCCTTCAGGTTTAAAAAGAAAGAGTTTGTAAGATGCTTTTCAACGCCAACACTTCCAGAGTTTGCTGATGTCGTTATAATAGGTAAAACAGCTGCAGCTGGTGCAGTGAATTAAAATACTTTTTGCCATGACTGAATGTCTTTAGCAAAGTGAAACTTCTTTGCAATTTTAGTGCAATGCAATGCTGAATAATCTTCGTTTCCGCATCTTTGACTTTGAAGCTTGAATTAAATTTTAAATTGATATTCAACCATTCGACTAACTTTAAAAGTTAATCAAACTTTTATCAACAAAAGCAAATAAAAAAAGTTTTCGGAAATTGATTTCTTTCAATAATGAATTTTTCATGGTCACGTTTTAAGATTTCCACCGGAAATAAAAGAATTTTAAACTTTAAGTAACAAGAATTGCGCGTGACGTTGAGTGATTTTATTTCATGTTTTTATTCTCAATCTTTGCTTTTGAAATCTTGACCTTCTTATCAAAAAAGTTTACTTTGATATGAAAGAATTTATTTACTGTGAGTAAACTAAAGTTGTGAGCATAATTTAGTAATGGAAAGTGAAATCATTTTGAGGGTGAAATTTCTATTTTGAGAGTCTCAAAAATTTGTTAATTCCATCGACAATAAGTAGTGACAAGCGAAAACTTTTGTTGTGTGACGACATTGATCTCTCTTCAATAATATAAAACTCATAATGAATATTTAGCCTTGCTGATTATCGGAACTCAGAACATTAACTGCGTGACCTTAAAGCGCCGGTCGGTTCCTCTTTTATTTATTTGTGTTTACAAACACTCGCGAGTTTTATTGTTTGTATTAATAAAGATAGAAAAGCAAATAATTGATTGATCGATTTCCGTAGGCGGTGGTTCGGCAGGCTGCAACACCCTGTATCAGCTTGCGAAACGTAATGTTAATGCAGTGTTACTTGAACGAGCTCAAATGACAGCTGGTACAACATGGCATACTGCGGGCTTAGTTTGGAGACTTCGACCAAACGATGTTGAAATTCAACTTCTTGCAACGACACGCGATACATTAATGAATTTAGAATCTGAAACCGGATTAAACTCGGGATGGATTCAGAATGGAGGATTGTTCATTTCGCATTCAGAAGAGCGAACAAACGAATACCGTCGTTTGCAAACATTGGGAAAATGTTTTGGCATTGAAAGTCACATTTTATCTCCCGAAGATACGCAAAAAGTTTTTCCACTTCTCGATCCAACATCTTTCGAGAATTCCCTTTATTCTCCTGGTGATGGTGTCGTTGACCCAGCTATGATGTGTGCTGCCCTATCGAAAGCATCATCGAATAATGGCGGTCGTGTAATTGAAAATTGTCCGGTTGAAGAGATTATCGTGGGTGAAAACCATTTGGGACTTAAGGATGTTCGTGGTGTTCGTACGTCTCATGGTAAGTCTGACAATGATTGATGAGGGAATTGTCCGCTAATTTTCACCGAAATGATTTAAAAAAGATGTTAAAACGGCTCGAAAGAGACAAATGATTGAAGTTAATTTAACTTCCATGTTCCAAGCCCCGCTTAAAGTGAACACTTAAACGAATGAACGAAACAAGGGTGAAACATAAATCCCAAATAATTTTATAATATCTAAAACTCGTTCTTATCTTTTAATGTATTTTGTTTGTGCTCATAAAACAGGTATAATTAAAACCAACACAGTTGTTAATGCAACAGGTGTTTGGGGTAAAGATTTACTTCAACAGCACGGAATTCATTTGCCACTCGTACCCATGAAACACGCTTATGTCATCTCAGAGACAATTAAAGAGGTGCAAGGGATGCCAAATGTTCGCGATCACGATTATTCAACGTATTTTCGTATTCAAGGTTTGCGAGATTTGTTTGTTCGATTCAATTACTTGATATTAAATTGCTTCTGAATAGGCGCAAGCATTTGTATGGGTGGCTACGAAAATAATCCAATTTTGTTAGACAAAGTTCCAAATGACTTCAATTTCAGTCTTTACGAACTCGACTACTCAGTGTTTGACACACATATTGAAGGTGCTATAAAGATTTGTCCGGCATTTGGGAATGTGGGAATCAAAAGTACAATTTGCGGACCTGAAAGTTTCACTCCCGACCACAAACCTCTGATGGTAGATACTCAAGAAAATGAAATATTTTCATGAAATTTATTATACTTATCAAGATTTCCCCAAACAGGGACCAGATCCACATCTAAGCGGTCTCTTCCACTCATGCGGCTACAACTCAGCTGGCATGATGTTAGGTGCGGGATGTGCTAAACAGCTAGCAAGTTGGATCATTCATGACAGACCGGACCTTCATATGTTTGCTTATGACGTCAGACGATTCACGCCAAAACAGAAAAAAGCTTACGATTGGGCCGTTGAACGAAGTCATGAAGCTTACGCTAAAAATTATAGCATTGTGTTTCCAAATGATCAGCCATTAGCTGGTCGTAATTTCATTCAGGATCCACTACATAAAGTATGAAAGTAATTTCAGGTTTTGATTGGAAAAAATCTTAATTTTCACCTTCGCATTAGATTCTCGTAAACTACGGAGCCGTTATGGAAGAGAAAGGCGGTAAAACATGATGATAAATTACACATAAACTTTATTAAAATGTTCTTTGTAAAGGTTACGAACGTCCAGGCTATTACGTTCATGATGGCACGGCTCCTGTACAAAGATATGACTGGTACGGTTATTATGGACATGAAAAGAATAAGAACACTTGTTACGTTGAGAAACTTGCTGGTGACTACAAGTTTGGGTTTTCTGATCATCATGATTTGGTAAATTTGAATTATGACAAAGAATTTTAACAGGTTTCATCGTCGAATGTAATGAAACAAAGAAGAATCTAAAAAAAAATTGTTTATGTCAATATTTAGATTGGCGAAGAGGCTCATTCTTGTCGTGAGAATGCTGTCGTGTTTGATCTAAGTTATTTCTGTAAAGTTTTTCTCACCGGAATTCAAGCTGAAGAAGCAGCAAAGTGGATCTCTACTGGAAACTTGAACAAGCCATACAACAAGTAAGATGAATGCTGCATGTCAGCAAAAATAAAAGATTGCAATTAAAATGCGCAATTCAAAGTGTCTGACTTTGACTTGAACATTTGATATTCTTGCATGTTTTTTGTTTCATTTAAATTGTTTCAGAAAGCAATTTAGAGAAACCTCGAATGGCATTTCATTTATTTCACTTTTGTTTTCGTTGTCTCTTAAGAACAATTTATACATGTGCATTAAACAATCGTGGAGGCGTCGAAATCGATCTGACAGTGACACCAGTTGAGGCAGGAATTGGAGAACTTCACGATCCAATATTCAAAGGGCGAGGTAATGAATGAATAATGAAAGTTTTAATGATTTTCTTTGTTATTAGACATGATAGCTTATTAATTATTAATTATGAAGGTTTCTATTGTGTGGCTGGCGGTGCATCATATTATCACACAGTGTCACATATGCATGAAGCAATAAATGAGAAGAATTTCCGTGCTAAAGTCACAGATGTGACAAATGAACTTGGAATTTTATCAGTACAAGGTCAGTTGCTTTTCCATGCTTCCATCAACAAAGTTTTTCATTTTATTTATTAAATATTTAGGACCAAAGAGTCGAGAAATCATGTCAAAGCTATGTGATTATGACTTTTCGAATGAAAATTTCCCACCAAACTCAGCGGCGATTCTTGAGATCAAAGACCTGAAAGATGAAAAGATTCGCATCCGTGCGTTACGCGTCAGCTTTGTTGGTGAACTAGGTTACGAGCTTCACGTTGCTAAAGAATCATGTGCTAAGTTATATGAAGCGTTAATGCGAGTTGGGGCATCATTCGGATTGAAAAATGGTGGATACAGATCAATGTACTCGTTGAGCAGCGAGAAAGGTTGGTGAACTTTTTGCCAGATAACTAAATCAGTGTCGACAGTTCAACAAAGCAAATGGTAAATTTATTGTTTTTTATTAATTTATTTGCAGGATATCATCTCTGGGGATTCGATTTACGTGCAGACGACACGCCAATTGAAGCAAATTTGGGCTTCACATGTCGAAAACAAGGCGAATATAAAGGCAAGAATGCGGTGATTCAGCAACAAAATGATGGCGTTCAAAAGCGTTTAGTTTTTCTGACACTTAAAGAGAAGTTGCCGATATGGGGTCTTGAGGCTGTCTATAGAAATGGGGAAATTGTTGGACATTTAAGAAGAGGCGAGTGGGCATACACTCTGAATTGTGCCATTGGACAGAGCTACATTCGTCGCAATGACTCCGACAAACCAATTGATATCAATTACATCAACTCGGGAAAATATCAAATTGAAATCATGGGGAAACTTTACGATGCTGATTGTCATCTTCGCAGCCCATTCGATCCTCAAGGTCGGAGAATTCTTGGTGATTACAAAACTTTGTAAACTTTTGACTTTCATTTATTTTCTCAAATCAATGAAAAACTTTTCACATTGAAATATTTTGTTAAGCTTTTAAGTGAACTGATAATCACCATTGATGAAGCTTTCCGTTTCGTAACTTTTCGATGTTTCCATAAATAAAATATTCTTACAAGTAAAAAAGACAAATGAGAGAAAAAAATGTTTTCAGAGTGTCATGACAACTGCAAAATAAAAAGAAAAAAAATTCAATTTAAGAATAAATTTCTTATTTGTGTAAAAGTTTCGTTTTCGTTTTGTCATTTCCACCATGATATGGATGGAGAATTCAAAGAACAATTTGTCATTTCTTCTTGTCTTGTTGACTTATTTCTCGTATGTCATTACAACGATATGGATGACAACCCTCATAATCATCCAACGCGACAATTGCAGATGAAGATATTAATGACGTCGCTTCCGATTGAAGTTGTTCTATATTAAAAAATGACTTTTGTTTCTTGCTATTAATACATCTTTTTAAATATATAATAAGATATAAGTATGTTGAACTTCAATAAAGCTTTTCAGATTTACATCAAACATGTTTAAAATGTCGTGGTTTAAGAGGATTTATATTTGAAATGAATTGTAATCCTTAACGACGTGCAATGCAAAATTCTAAACAACGCCTTTTCAATCATATATTTGCAAGTGACGGTAACATCATGTACATCATGTATCCTTGTGTGGAGAGCTTAGAAAAATTGTTTCTTATGTCTCACGTTTATTCAAGTATTCTACAAACACAAAAGACGACGATGGAGATGATGACATAAGAAGAAATGTTGTTTATATTAAAGAATATCTAATTAACGTTTCTTTTCTTATTTGATTTTGGTTCTTAATTCAACATCCTACACTCGACTGCTCTTAGCCACGATATGGAATAAAATGACAAATCAAGATGAGGAATAAACGATGAAGACGACTTGAGTTTCATATTTTATAACAGAAATCTTTATAAAGACTGAAGCCGTTCGATTACAATAAAATCTTTTATAAATGGAATAAATTTTTCTCAAGCGAACTCTTAAATCCGTAAGAAAAAAGCAGCAAGCAAAATTCCCCAAAAAAATTATTGTAGACTCAATGTCGTCCGATTTATGGTGACAACAATCAATTCGAAGCACGTTTTCCAACGACGAATTGTTGTTTCATTTGTCTTCTTGTTAGTATTTTATTTTTCACTAAATTCGATGACTACCCAGTAGTGTGCGATGATGTGGAGTTAAGTGTGTAGTTGCGGAAACATTAGCAGAGTTAAAACAACAGAAGAGATTCTGCATGCTGCGTTAGACATAGTTTTCGCTTTTCTTTTTATAGACTTTGCTTTCATTCATTTTATTTTCGGATCGATTTGCTTTACGACTTTGAAAATGAAAATCTATTTTTTTTCCTTTGTTTTTAATGATTATTACATCTTGTTTTGCCAGTCAAGCTTACGCCGTAATATAGTTTAATAATATTAAAAAAAGATTTAACAAGTTTTCACGTCAAAATAGTTTTTCTAGAATCGATATTCGATTCTTCCTTTGTTCGTTTTTAAATTTAGCGCAATTGAATGTAAGCAAGCAACATATATGTCAACAATAATAATGAAGATTCACTTGAAGTACTACTATTAATGTGCGTTGTCTTATCAGCAACATTAAACAATCACGGAATCCAGGCGCAAACAAATGTAAATACACAAGTAGAGCGACAACGACCGTCATCCATCGTACACTCCAATTCTGATGATTTCATGCTACGATCTGGAAGAAAACTTAAAAATAATATTTTGTGTGTGTATTTCTTTTCAATTGCGCAAGAATATTCAAAAGAAGAGATCAGTCACTGATCTCGTTTGCATTGCTTTATCACCATACATAGCTACTTAATAAAAAATCATTACATGTTATTTTTTAAGGAAGAATCTTCACTTCCTATTCGTTAATCATTTTTAATTCTATCTTTATAATTTTCGACTTTTTGAATAAGTGATAGAAGTATTGATATTACAAAGTTTCCTTGAAAATTAGTGTAAGAATTTATTAAATTGCTAGACTTTGATTTCTTTCTTACTTAAATTAATCTTTCAACAAGGGGTAAATCATCGGAAAAAATTGGAGGGCAAAAGCACTATTGCTGCATTGAAGCACTAGACAAATTCCAAGAAAAAGTAAACAAATTCTTGGAAAAAGGCCATTTTTCTTGAAAAGCACTAGTGATTTTTGATGCTTCATTTGAAGGCAGCGGGCAGAAGCACTACGATGATTTACCCCTTGTCTTTCAAGATTAATTCACAATGTTCCAATGTTTTACATGTTTTCAATGTTTTGTTGCAATGTTGTAGCATCAAACAGAGCATTGAGATATAACTGAGACATTCACTTCTACAAACAAGTCAGTTGGTGTACGACTTCTACAAGTCAGTCAGTCTTCGTCTACGGTACTAAAAAGATGAGGAAATGAAAAATAAGATTTTACCGAACTAAAAAACATTATTCGTTTTGGTTTCTTTTATTATTTCATTTGCTTGAGTTGAAACAAAACTGAAGAAATCTCCAAGAAAAAAAAAAAATTTTTCGTTCCAATTTTGTGGGAAAAATTTTTGTTTTTAAAAAGTGAAAAACGAATTTAATATTCAATCAAGTTGTTGCAGCAATCTCGCGAGGAAAACGAGTTAATGGATTAATTAAAATTTGCTTAGTGATAGTTTTTTTAAACAACACAAAAAAAGAAACTACAAAAAGGATTGAAAAAAGATCAAGTGAGCAAAAAATAATTATAATTAAATCAACACTGCTGTGACTGATCAGCATACTTTGAGCATGAATTGTGATTGAGTTGAAGAAGCAAACACATAAGTGGAAAATTTTTACAAGAAAGAAGCAAAGAGAACATAAAAAAGTTGAAAAAAATATTTGTGAAGGCTCTTTTATGATTTTTTCTTATTTTGAAAATAAAAAAGTGCACAACTACCGAGAGACACTTGGGCTTCAAGCGAGACATACAATCATGAGAAATATTCACTTTATTTAATAGTTTTGAGTACACGAGAAAAGCCTGTAAAGTATGCGATTGTGATTTTTTCGTACAGTTTTAATTGCTCCGTTGATGGCTAACGAAAGTTTTTTTCAACGAACAACAAAAGAAACTGAACTAAAGTGAAGCTAAAAGTGTTTGAAATGAAATATCGTTTGGCCTAAAAAAGAAATAAAATACATCAAAAATAGATTTGAACTTTAATAGTTTGGTCAGACATTCGTGAAAAAAATTAAAAGTCGCTGAACAGACGACGACAGCAGTTTTTGTAATAGCAAACAGGTAAGGGAAATGAACTTTCATTGACTTCCCTACATTAATAGCGAAACTTTTAATGAATTAATGGAAATTAATTCTTGGGGAACACTTGAGCTTTGTTGTACTTGTAATGAAACTTAAACCTAAAAAATTATACAATTCATTGACCCTTTTTTGACACGACGCTAAAAATTATTCCTGGCTGTTAAATTATTTTATTTTTATGGCGAAAACCTAACGCGTCTTGACATGTAGCAGTATTCTGATCTTTTGGCTATGAAGCCAAATATATAAATGAGTAGATTAAAGAAAAAATGGATGCTTTCAGGTGTGCGATGAAGCCGGATCATCAATTTTGTCTTTCTTGATTCATCCATTCATTAAACTCTGACTAAAAAATGATTAAACATTACTGAAAGTTTCGTAAGTTTTCGTAAACTATTTTTAAACTTTCGCGAAGTTTATCTGGCCTCTTTACCAATTTATGACGCAAGTTTTTTCCTGATTTTTGTTTGTTCTTTGTTTTTGAACTGAATTTATCATGACAAGATGAAATAAAAAAGTTGAAATGTATACGAAAGCTCAACTTTCTGAAAATTATTAAACTTCTTTTTTTTCTCCTATTAAATGAATTAACCCGACACATCAATCAAATAATTATTAAAACTCATTTTGCTGACGTTGGTTCAAGATTTTTATTCGTTCCTGGTCAAAATTTACGAAAGCAAACAACAAGGAATGAAATTTAATGATCAAAGTTCAACAAAACGTTAAAAGGAAAACATGTAAACATATTCGGATTAATTAAAATAAAAAAAAGAAGTTCGGGGACATTCTTGATTTGTTTCTTTCTTTAAAAATTTTAATGTGTTGACAATTATTCAACTACAAATCGACTTTCCCGTTTGCATGGGAATTTCCTATTCAAAAACAGTTAAACCAGTGGCAGAATTCTTTCTCATTGTATTGATGTTTATGAGTTTTGACGTTTAAGTAACAACTAAAGTCAGTTTTGTTCTATTTTTAGCACAACAACGCGTTGTTGGTTTTAAATTTATTTCAGCCAATGTCCAATTGCTTTTGTCAAGTTTCGCTTTTTTATTTGTTATTGTTTGTAGATTTTCGTAGTTTTTGGAAGCTTGAAGGTCTGTGAAGGCTAACAAGAGTCAAATTATCGACGAAGCGAATGAATCGATTTCCATATTTGTTTTCATTAATCAATTAATCCACTAATTAAAAGACGAGACCGTTAAAAAGTATACGATGCGAATAATAAAATCGAATGCAGTGCAAATTCTATTGGAATTTTTCCACATCGAAGCAAAAACTCGTTTAGCGTAGTGCGATCAACTTTTCATGGGAATTTTTATCTTTTTTTTAATGCCTTTACCTGCAGTCTGTTAATGTTGTGATTTTTTCTCTCTTATTTGCTGTCCGCAATTTGCAAGGCTAGAAGTGGAGTTGAGATACGTTCCTGTTCGAGAGAGTTCTTGAAACATAAATTGCTGTTTAATTTTCATTTTTTTTTTTTGTCGTTCTTTCTTGCCTCTTTTCGAAAGTCAACCTTGGCGGAATATCTTTTTAATTTTTTTTTGAAATTTTCTTTCTTCATTCATTAATCCGTTTGAAAAATTTCCTGACAAAATTCATTCTCTGTGAATGGCACGACAATTGGCAAGAAAATGAATAAAGACATTGCCGAGAAACAGAGTTGGGAAGTGTTTCATAATTCCGAGAATGATAAATTCGAACAATCTCAAGTGATTTGAGAATTCAAATTCTAAGCCCTGTTTAACAGATTTTGTATCATATTTTTACGACACGAGTCAATCAGTTAGTGAAGAATTATGACAACATCTGGTTAACATTCGTAATAACAACTGAAACTTCAAATATCACATTCGATCATAATAAATCCGTCGGTAAATAAGTCTGTGAGTGCTCAAACTATGAATGAATATTCTCAATTAAAATAATTAAGCAATAACAGCACGAGCACAAATTAATCAACAACAGTAAGCAGTAGCAACAAAATTTACGCCCGCAATTCTTCTATCGAAGGAATAAAACCGCACAAAGTAGAAACAATGAGATTTGAAAATATTTTAATCATCTCGATGATGATGAGTTGTTGATGAGGGAATCGAATGCAATTTCTATTTATTTCATTAAATGTCATCAGCGAGAATATTCCAAAACACGTTTCATTACATTTGTTTTGTTCTATGAAATATTAATTAACATAAATTATATCACAGATTGATGACAAGTGAAAAACAATAATCGAACTAATTGCGTGATATTTATTGCGCCTAACATAAAAAGTAATTTCAAATACGACAGCTTTCGACAGTAATCATGACAATTTATTGCGATTGGAATTCATAATGTCATGGTGAACTATTATGTAAGATTCTATTTTCTCAAATAACGCATAACATATATTCAGTATTGCGCAATATCTCCACCAAATACTTTGAACACCCAATCAATGGATTCTTGAGAAACAACGAAACAAAAAATATACGACGAAAGTTTCAAGAGCATGGCGTGCAGATTTATAAATAAATGACGATCTAATATTATTAATAATAAATCAATAAAATGTTCCTATTAATTAACTGAAATCAGATAAACTTGAACACCAAAAACATTGCTTTATTTATTTATGGATTAAATACATCAGATTTAGATTAAAAATTTTATTTATTAAATATTCCAATGAAAGTCAATATTCGAAATTGATTCCATCTCATTTTCCAACTACCAAGGGAAATCATTTCTTATGTTTAATCTAAAAATGAAAAAGAAGCGAAATATTTAATCAAAGAAAAACATTTCATAAATTTAATCTATTTTCTTCATTTTCAGATTAATTATTAACACAAAGAAGAAGCAGCTTTCTCTCTCTATCTCACTCACAATTGATAGAGATCGCAAAACACATTTCTGACACAAAAAGAGAAGAAAATAACGAACCTTATGCTGTTGTTTAAGAAATCTGTAACATCGTAAAAACAGCTGTGACGACAAGAAATCGATCGACAAGTTAATCAGTGCTATGATAATCATCCTAATTGTCTGAATACAATTAGCAACTTTAAATATTTTTAAACTGGCAACAAACTAATGCGAAATCCACGAAAAAAGATAAATAAACAACATTGTTAAAAAGTTGTGATCTGATGATGTAGTCAAGACGAGATGAAAAGTTTCAAAACGAACATCAATTAGAGAAAAAGAAAACGAATGTGAAGAATGTAATTAAAATGTTTAAAATTTCATTTTAAATTCACGAGGAAAAACTTATAAAAGAATTTAATGCAACAATGATCGGTGATATTTTCGTTGGTGCACTTCTAATATTATCCGGATGTATAAATCTCCTTGCCATCGGCGCTTTTTGGGTGACGCCAAGTCTACGAACAACCGCAAATCGATTCGTCATCAATCTACTGCTAGCCAACTTTATAAGCTGCTTGATACTCTCACCATTTGCCTTCAATGTCAAAGCAACATCATCATTCAATAACAAATATATCGCTACAAATGTTAGTGGAAAGGTGGACAATAACAGTTTTGTTGTTAATTCAACGACCGTTGAATGCTCCAATAAAACTCGTGAATGCCTCGAGATCTCAATTAAACTCGTTAATAGTTTAACAAACCAAAGTTTAAGTGATATAGTCGCCATTGATAATGATGAAAATGCCAACAATGTTCAACGAATTGAGAACATTCTAATGAAAAAATATCAGAGTTGGAGTCTCGATTTGGTTGTTGCTTTAAGTGTACTCTCAGTGCTTTTAGTAGTGATGGATACATTTATTGCCGTCACTGACCCACTTCGATATCATTCAAGAATTTCCGATCTCAAAGCTTGGCTTTTGATTGCCTTTTGTTGGGTATTCAGCTTGAGTTTCGGTGTCGCGTCAGCATTGCGCACACACGATGGCGATTTGGTCTTATCAAGTGATTTTGAGAATTTCATCGATAGAAATGTTTATAACATTTTTTATCTTGTTATCTACTTCCTATCAATTGTCATACTTCCTTTTCTATTAGTCATTCTCATGTACTGGAGAATTTATTCTGAAGCTCGCGAAAGCGGACAACGAATGAGACAAAACGGTTCGTCACCACTGCTTCAAAGTGCTATTAATCTTGCAGCAACCGCTGCAGCACATCAACAGCAATCAACGATATTAACGAGCCCTGCACATTGTTTACTGTTAGTTACTTCTTCGTCGCCTCATGGAAGTAACAGCAAACATCAGATGCGTACGATGAGTAAACATCAAGCGACAAATGATAATGGAGGCGCGTTTTTTCAGCATCAGCCCACCAATGATGGTTTAACTATGAAAATAGATAAACAAGATTACAATACAAACGTCAATAATAACATCACAAGTCAACAGATTAATTTCAATAATAACAACATTAGTCATTTGTCATGTGTCAGCAACAGTGCTTTTAGTGATACGAGAACCTTTTTGTTGTCATCACCGCCTAATGAATTGACTCCTATGTTGACGACTGTTGATGAGAAAGCGTCTTCAACATCCTCAATGATGACATCAAAATCACAACAACATCAAAATATTTTGCTGACATTAACAACAGCTTGCGATCCATCAATGAAACGCAATCAAAGTGCGAAACATTTGTTGCTTACCGAAGAGAATTTGATGAACAATAATGATGATAATAATGACAACGATTTTCAATCAACAAATCTTGAACTTCGACAAGTTCGATCAACTCCAAATTTTCAAAAATCTGCCGAATCATATTCTGAAATGAGTCATCATCGACAACAACGACAAGAGCAAACATCGTTGGAATTGCCGTCAATTCAAGCGTCGCCAAAAGCACTGAGATACATGACGTCACTTCGACATCGTCTTTCAAATGCGTCGTCGTTGTTCAAATACAGAGAAGAAGGTAGAGCGGCAAGAATCAGTATTTTAGGTGAGTTGTTATCAAACTTTATTTTAATCTCTGACGACATTGTTGATGAGAAATTTAACCGACCTAAGACAACGATTTACTACAACGCATCATGATGTCATTCGCATATTTTTGTAATGTTTATCAAAGTTTTTAGATGTAGATTGCTAATATTCAAGTTTTTTTCTTCTTTCTCTTTTGATGTGAGTTTGTTTTGTTTATGAGATGTTTGATATAACATCAACAAGAGAAAAACGTAATTTTACGGCCAATTTATGGTTTCACAAGAATTGCTAAGAGCCACGAAATATGGAATGACGAACAAGAAAGCAAAGTGAAGAAACGAAATTTATCTTTAATTAAACTTTTCTTTCATGCTGTGACGTTAACTGTTCTAATTAAATTTGTCAACACTCCTTGTCAGTGTTGTTCTGTTGAGAAAATCAAAATGAACTTCTTAATTAAACACACAACTTTTGTGTCTTCTCATTCATCATTCAAATTTCAATTATTTTGTTGATCTTGTCCTATTTTTGTGAATTTGCAATTGCATTGAATCATCTAAAATGATGTTTGTTAGTAAACATCTGCAAATATGAAAGTCATCAAGATTACATCAGTTGGTAAATCCCGATTTAATGTTACGAAAAATTCCCCTTGAACTTGAAGAAAACAAAAATAAATTTCCAGAATTCTATTCCGTTTTTATTTCGCTAATCAAATCCGTTGAACGGAAATTTTTTAGCAAATAAAAATATTCCGTGATGGAAACATTAAAAGTGAATGAGATTTTAAAATTCCCAGATACCCGTGTTAACATTTGATGGAAAAAGTATCGAAAAACAGTTCGCAGGGTTATCAAAAGATTAAATTTTTTGTATCAGTTTAAAAATGTAACAATTTGATTATTTTTATATATTCTCAAGTTTCTTTTTTCTTATTGAAAATCTAAATATGAACGATGATCGACATCCCTATAAGTATCACGCCTTCATGCTTTGCTTATTGACTACAATTGTCTTGTCTTACTCTCGCATGACTTGCGTCATTCAAATGTCAAATCAATATAAAATTGTTAACAAATTTTTTTTCTTTTCTTTTATTCAACAGTTGTGATAATGTTTTTGTTAACATATTTCCCATACGGATTACTTTCACTGATTCACGGTCAAGATAGCATCATCAAGGAATCAAACATCACTCTCTTGTCGGTTCTATTTGTGCTGCTTGCCAATCTTTGTTCGCCTTTTATTTTCGCTTATCGTAACAAGCGCGTGCGACGAGGTGTTCGAAGACTTCTTGGTATTGATAAGAAGACAAATGAACGTCTCGAGAAGCTCAACAGTTTAAAGCGAAGCTGTAGCATGCGAATAAAGAATTATCGTCAAAACAACTTACACAAAAGCTTCAATTTGGGTTTCAAGAGCAACAACGGAATTAAAGCAAGCAACATTCGTCGTACACAATCGTTTGTCACATGCAAGTATCTCACGCCTCCAGACGCAGTTAAAATTGCTGCCTTGAGTAGCTCCTACGAAACTGAAAAATGCCATCATTCCATAGCTAATAAACATCATCACGACACGACGACGGTCAAAGAGAAGAAGTCAATTCTAAAATTTGTTTGTGATAGCTCAAAGAAAATTGGTTGTCAATTCACGAATTGTCAGATGGGACAATCAGAGACCACGACAGTCACCTTACCAGTTGAAGTGTGAAGTACAACGAAATGAAATTTATGCGGTGCTTAATACACATTTAATGTTGCAAAAAAAAAAGAAAACAAAAAACCATTCAAAATTCAAATTTTGTGCCAAATACTTCAAATTTTTGCTTCGTTCATCGATTTTAAAGACTGAAAAGTCCAAACATCAAAACAATTTGCATGAAAATCAGATTTTATTATAACTTTAATTTTTAAAGTGTGTGATGGGGGAGGAGAGGGGGAGGGAGGTACATGTGTGTGCCGACCGACATTCACAAAGTTAATTGTTTTAAAAACTGCTGAATTGAGCTTTTAAATATTAAAACCGTTTTAATGTGAGAAAGAAAAATATTTTTGTTTTGTATGTTTTTGGGAAGAAATGTTTTCTTTCTAACTGTGATGAAAGAAAATGGAAAAAAAATATTTTCGTGCTTGCGAGTATAAAGAAATTGAGTTCGCTACAGTGAAGTGAAGTGAAGTCAAGACAAGTCATTCGATGATGATGTCAAACATGTTGGGGGAAAGTCCGCTTGATCTCAATTTTTTTCTTTCTGTTTTTGTTTTGCGAATGATTTTCTAATGTTCAACACCACCCCCACGATTCCCATTCAATCAGATGATTACAAACAAGCCGGCAAATCTCAGTATTTTTGGGTCATTAAAAGATTTGTTTTTTTGACATAGAAAACCTGTGTGCTGATTTTGAATTGAAGATTGTCATCACTTCTTTCACATCTTTTACTGTAGAAAAAGAATTGTTTCGATTACTCGGTTTGGATTTGAAATTTTTTTCATCACATCATTCAATTGGAACCGACGTATAAGAAGAAAAAAGTCACTCGCTTTAGCAAATAAAAGGATCGTAAATTTTTAAAGATGAGAAATCGAGTCGATAAACAGAATAAATTGTTTACGAAAAAGCTTTTAAAGATGAAACTAAAGCACACATAAATGGGCAGCATACGACTTCAAAACAATTTTAATTCCCAGAATAACATGAAAGAAATGCAAAATTATATGAAAGAATTTTTTTATGACAATAAATAATCTTTTTTTTATGTTTAATTCAACATCCAAAAGATAATTATGATGCATGTTCCGAAGCTTTCATAAAGCGGGTGGAAAAAATTAAAAGAAATCAAATTAAATTGTGCTTAGGGAGGAAATCCCTCCAGTCATGATGTAAGCAAACAAAAACCTCCCCATTAAGCTTCTATGGAAGTTCACATGCAAGCCAAAACAGTTATGACAATGTAGATAATAAGAGAAGCTGATAAAAACAGATTAAAGTATAATTTTCCTCTCTCTCGTTTCTTAAAGATAATTAAGAAAAGCTTGCTTAATTCTTGTGTGATAAATTATTTTAATTAAAGATTTCGAATAGTTTAGACATACATATAACGATGTTAAGCAAAGAAAAAGGAGAATTGTCGTGGGTGTTCCATTAATTACGTCACACAACTCATTAATCTATGAACCAAAAGTTTCCTTTGATAAAATATTTGTTTAAAGAATTTATTAACACCATCATTGAGAGAGTATTTAGCAAATATTTATTTTACGTAATTGATGTACATTCCATGTTGATATTCTTCGTGTTGCAAGAGAAGAGATTTAATATCTCAGATTATAAATTTGTAGAATATTTTTTTTCCATAATTAATCAACAACATGAGGGTTTGTCATCCTTTTTATTTTTGTACGAAAAAAACTGAAACTAAATTAAAAAAAGATAATTAAGCCATGGAAACTAATATGATTGAAGTAATTTATAGCTTTATAGATAGCACGAGAAGTTGAATACTTTCCTATCCCATTAAGATGATAACAATGTTGTAGAAAAAATGCAAATTTAAGAAAGCTTAAGTAACATCTAATTCAGGTTAAGTTAGAAAACATTTCGCTCATGTTTATCTCTTCTTCTCAAGTGGTGAAAAATAAATAAAAATTCTGTGATAATTTCAAAATGATAGTTTTTAAGTCAATTTAATTTGTATGAAAGATTGATAATTAAAAATACCTTTGTGAAATGAAAATAATTTAGTTTTTTTAAACAACATTCTGTATTTTGTTAAAAAAATAAAAAAGTTCTATTTATGTTAAATTTAATGACTTGCACGCTCTTTTAAGTATCACAAGAGTATAAGAAGGAAACAAATCTGACTCAAAATGCTAGTTATGCAGTTTAAATAATCAATAAAAAACACAAAGTTTAAACAATGGAAAATTCTGTAGTTTATATTGAACAGCATAAAAGTATCCATGTGGTGAACTAGATTGTTGGATTTCAGATAATTACAGCTTGGTGTATGTTACAGTTTTATTTTCCTTCCCCTTATTATTCTCATTTGCAGACATTTTCATTGCAGTTGTCTTTAATGAGACAACACCTTCATAAACTAATTATAAAGTCATTTAAATGTATCAAGTATAATTAAAAGGTTCATTAATGTATGCATAAATTTAGTTTTGTCAAATTACTTTGAAACTTGATGACGCTATTTATTATGTCAATTGATGAATACTCATTTGAATATAAGCTTATCCTATCAGACAGCCGGCGATGCTCCAATTAATGTAAATTCTAAATTTAGATTCATGAAATCACATCCGCAAGTGGGTAAAAAGTTTGGCATCACATGTGCTATCAATCATCAGGTAAAAAAAATATTATTTATATTTTTCAGCTGAATTTCAATCGCAGTAAAGTGAACGTAAAAATTATGAGAAAAAAAATCATTTTAAAGATTGTTAATGAGCACTTAGCTCAGTTTTCGAGGTTTTAACTTGTCTTCTACTTACTTTGGCGTGTCTATGTTGCATGTATCGTTATTGAAAAAAGTTTTAGGTTTCATTTTATGAATTGAGGGAACTTAAAATAAACAAGAAATATGAAGCATCTTCTTCTCCGTGTTATATTTAATTTAAGAACTGAAATATTTTTTTCTCAAGCCGTCCATGAGGAAATTAAATTGCTTGAAGTTCATGAGGCAATTTTAAAAAGAGGGAAGTTATAAAATTGAAAATGTTTATTTGCAATCGTGATAATTTAAACTACACAATGATGTACAAAAAAAAATGTTTGAGTAGATAATTTCTTGGCTGATTCAAATCCTATTGAGAGAAGAAAAAAATATGTTAATTAGTTGATAACGACAAGGTTGTTTTGTTTAATCAAGTTTTTAAATAATATCTTGAATGACAGACTCCAGATGGGTCGAATTAAACCGCACCTTCTACGCACATACAGGTGGTCTAAATAAATATATAAAGTAAATAAATTAGTATTTATTCAAACAAAGAACTCCATGTTCTATTAACTAAAGAGCTAAATAATTATGCTTGATCTTCTTTGCCTCTAGAAACTTAATTTAGCGGTTCTTATTTGAACTTATCAAAGACACTTTCAAAATTTTCAAGTCGTAGCTTTGCAACGTCGAAAGCTACGATTTGTTTACGTTTTTTGAAAATAATCACATGGAGAAACAATTAGAAGAATTTATTCCATTTCTTGAAAATGAGTCAAGATTGGAATTGAAATCTGTTGCATTATCACATATATTAAGTAATAGATATTTAAAATTATTGTGAAAACAGTGAAACAAAAGCATTAATTTAACTTTTTTTCAGGTTTAACTGGAAACCACGATGGTGTAGAAGTTCTTATATCAAATGAAAAATTGCTTCGTACACTTGTGAAACTTATAAAAGATCCAAATTATGTTGTATCAAAGGATGCTTGCTTCAGTAAGTGACTTTATTATTATATTTAAAGTTTGTTATTTATTTTTTTCTTTTCAGCTTTGATCAACATTTCAGCTGACAGTGAGTCAGTTTGTGATGCTCTTTTGAAATCAAGTTCAACAAACTACGATGAATCAGGACTCGTACAAATTCTTCTTCGGAATATTCTCGATCCCGAATCAAAAGTCACAGATCCAGTTCTTTCGATATTTTCAAACATAACTCGTTCGGAAATGTTGGCGACGAAAATTACACAACACATTCTTGAAATTGATGAGAACATTCTTGATCGACTGGTGGCTGCTTTTACAAAAATAAATTACAATAGACATAAACAGACGTTGAATTATCTTGCGGCAATTTTCAGTAATTTGAGTCAAGCAAGCATGTTTAGGAATTTAATTGCAAAGTCTGAAAGTCGACTTCTTCAACGATTATTGCCTTTTACTAATCATGAAACAAGTTTGATACGACGTGGTGGCATTGTTGGATTAGTCAAGAACATTTGTTTTGACTCATCACTTCATGAATGGCTTTTCAGTGGCGATGTTGATGTGCTTCCATTTATCCTTTTGCCTTTATCAGGTCCTGAAGAGTTTGACGATGAAACAAATGAGAAATTTCCAATTGAGTTGCAATATCTTGACTCGGAGAAAAAACGAGAAGTCGATCCCGACATCAGAACAATGCTTCTTGAATCACTGGCGCAACTTTGTGCTACTAAAAATGGACGAAACTACTTGAGAGAAAAAGGAACTTATGAAATTCTTCGCGAGTTACACAAGTTTGAATGCTCAGCGGAAGGTGACAAACGTTGTCTTCGTACATGTGAAGATGTTGTTGATATCCTCATAAAAACAGAAGATGAAATCGGCCATGATAATCTCAAACAAGTTGAAATACCCCAAGACATGATTGAGAAGATTGAAAAGTTAATTGAATAAAAAAATGAAAATGAAATAAAAATTTTTTATGAATATTTGAGCGACTTTTAAATTAAATTCTGAAATTGAAAATTGTTAATTTTAGTAGGAAATATGAATCATTAAATATTTCATTATTTTAATATCAAAAGATTCTAGGAAATAAATCCAATAAACCATCAAGTGGTGTCGACAAGTAGATACAGTCAATTGATATCAAACAAGTTCTCAATCTGCAAAGTGCAATTAAGATACAACAAATAAAATAGATAGAGCAACAAGTGAACTAAAATTAGAGCAGTCGATAAATCTTTCATACTATACAAATACAACAGAATTTTTAAATGAGAAATGAATTTTAAATCGAATTTTGCAATTAAATTTGATTAATGTTTTAATTTCTCCAATCACAATAATGTTCGATTCATTTGCATAATGTAATAATGTAATTCATTTTCATCCTTCGATTTGATTCGGGGAACTAAGAGGAACCCAAAACTGATTATTGCTAAATGTTCAATGAACCTTTCACTATATTAAATGCATTATTAGAAAACCTTGTTTGACCATGTTTGTGACAATTCACTGCAATTTAAAAATTTCTCAATTCAGCTTATTCAGCATCAACAGTCATGTTGATTTATTTATTGTCTACTTTTATTTCATTTAGGGAATCCCTTTCAAATTTCTATAACGTTGAACTGTTTTTCTTTCAAGATATTTTCACTTCTTCATCTTTATGGTACAAAATAAATTAAACGTGTAATAATGGCGAGGTGATCAAATGACGCGTCAATTTGTAATTTCTTGATGTAAAACCTCTCATTTGCTTTATAAACTTTTGAAATGTGCCACTAAGTACTCAGATATTTAACAGAACGAACATCCTAAATATCAAAGAAACTTTTTATAAAATGAAACTTTAAATCGAATGTTTTTCAATTTATCAATCATGTTTTGATTGATGTATTATAATTTGTTTTAATTACTGTAATCATAATGTCGAGCTGATTTAAATGAAAAGTGAATGAATAAGAAATTAAAGCATATGAACAAGACAGAGGTCTGAAACATCAACTCTCTTCATGAATCGTCATCTCGAGTCCAATCTGAAGTGGTTTAGTTTTGAAATTCTTCTCAACCGATAAAGTTTGATTTTTATTTCTGAGACATGAAGTGGAAAATCTCTGACATTAATCGATACTTTTCATTGGATTCGTTGTCAAATATTGACATTTATCATAAAATTGCAGGAACTGTTAATTCTCTTGGTGGCATGATTGGAGTTCCATATTTGACCACAGATTTCAAATTTTTTTCTTTTCATTGCATTTTAACCATTTTCAACGTTTTTGGGTTTTTTGCTTTATCATGTTATGATTTTTATCTATACCGTGACGATACTAATCGTTGTATCTTTCTTATTGTTACGTTCTTACCTGCAGTTCAAGCAATACCATTAATCTATGTGTTTGCTTATAACCATGAAAGGATGAAAAATTTGTTGCAACGCAGTGAAAAGTTCATAAAGAATTCGGATTCGATCACTATCGAAAAAGTTTTTCATTTCTGGTTGATAATTGGATTCAAACTTCTGATATTGACAGTTGTTATGTTCAGTTTCTGTTGTTTCTTGGCATTTATTTTCCCAATAATTTATTATTTCATTATGGGCGAGAAAATTTTACAGTTTGGATTTGAAATTCCTATAATTGAATGGGATTCTACTTTGGGTTACCCATTGAACTTTTTCTACGGAGCTTATTTAATTTCTGTATTCTATTTCGCATTAACTTCAACTTTGGGCTATTGTACAGTTTGTGTTTTAATGGCATTGGGACAGTTCAGTGCTTTAAAAGTCATGTTCGAGGATTTGGAAGAGATGATCGTCAATAATGATGATGGAAGCAAACACGGAGCTATAAAACAACAAATAAAACTTATTGCGGAAATGCATAACGAACTTCTTGAGTAGGATGTGTTAAAAAAATACTGTTTGACATAAATTAACTTCTTCAATAATTTTTGTATGAAGATTTTTGACATGCTACGATGAATGGTTCCAAATTTTGTTCTTTATCACTATGGGTTGCATGATCCTACAAAATACTGTGACTTTATATGCAATTGTTTCTGTAAGTCGTCGTAGAATCAATTTTATTATTATCATTAGTTATTCAAAATACTTTCACAGTTTAACTTCATCATTGGCTATGCTTTTCTTGTGGTCACAGCACTTCAAATATTTTTCCCTAATTTATTAGGAACAGTTTTAATCGTTGCTGGAGACAATTATTATAATCATCTCTGCAACATTTCATGGCACATGCTCTCTGTATCGGATCAAAAATCAGTGTTGCTTCTTCTGGTGTCAGCTATTAATCCAAAAAAAATTACAGCGGGGTTAGCCGTATTACAGCTTCAAACATTTATTGAGGTAGTTCTCTTAATTATTTAATATTTGATTAGAAATAAAAATTAAACTGACATGATTTTCTTTCAGATTTATAAATCTATTTATTCATATTTCACTTTGCTAACGGGAGGAGAATAAATATCGTGAATTCAAATATCGATTTTTGAGAATATATTTTTATCAATACTTTAATATTTGCACAATTATTTCCACAAAGCCCAGTGCAATTATTTAAATAAAAAAGGTATTCTAGATACCGAAAAGCGTGTTTTGCTTAATTTGAGTTAAACTTAGTTTTTTTTTGCTTTGCTGTTATGCAAGCAATTCCTTAACAATGATGAAGAAATTTATGTCCTTCAACTTCCTTTAATTGATTTTGTTTCATTTGTTGGTTTTAAATAATAAAACAATTATCAAGGTGATGTTCTATAATCTAACAATCAAGTTTGATTGATGTATTAATATCTTTAAATTCTTCCAATCGGAAAGTGCAAGTGTTTTGCTAAGTGTGAGGCAATGAAAAAAATGAATTAGTTTTGAGACTGTTTTTTGCCGATAGACACCTAAAATTTCAGTTTTCTTTTATTTTTTTTAACAAAGTAGTAAAGTCATGATACTTAACCACAATGCCTAATGTGGCTTTAAATCTTTATTAATTTCATAATTTTCAAGGCAATAAATTATTTTATTGATAATGTTCAATTTGTATCTACTAGAAAGGTGTTTAAAAGAATTTGTATCAGAAAATTGCGAATTTATTTTTATACACTCGGAAAAATTAATGTTTAAGAAAATTGTTTTCAAATTCATGACATGAAAACACAAAAGAAAACAAAATGACTTAATTGTCATGTCGTGTGAGTAAGTATTTAATTGCATGAGGATGATTGTAGAAAACAGATTTATTGTATCATGAATGGCGAAATTAAAAAGAAGAAAATCATAAAAATTCACACGAAAAACAAAATTTTTATTATGTTGTCAAATTTAACGACTCTTTTTATTTTGAAAAAGAAATTTCAAATTTAACTAAAACCGTTAAAAATAGGAAAAAAAAATTTCGTCTAAGGTCATGAAATGATTTAAGTACAAAACATTTAATGAATCATAAACGATTTACGACACCCAACGAGCGAAAGAGAATTCCTCAACGCTTGACTTCCAATCGTCGCGCGATCATTCAATATACTTAGATACTAAAAATAAATTGTTTATTAACAACAACATTCAAAGGAAGCTCCCGAAAAATCAAATATTTTTTTCATTCTTTCTGTATATGCTTCCAGTCAGTCGTCTTTCGAGTTTCGTTGAGTGTAAACGCGGAAAACTAAGTTAGATATTTTCTTATGTTATTTTGTGAATGAAAGGGTTGGAGAAAGAAGGAAAATAAAAATGTTTTCAATTAAAATGCTTCTGTAATATGGCGTGGAATATTAATGATGTGTTTATAAATATAGATTGATGTGCCGTGATCAAAATCAATTTACGATTAATGTGAAAAGTTATAAGAACACCAATCAATGTATAATTTTCAATCTGATTTTTAAAAAAGAAACAAGAGAAGAAAATTTGTTTCTTGTTTGTGAAATGTGTTGTTAAAATTAGAAATCAGAGCAAAGAATGCTTGTCTTGTGAGTGTTTTCGATGCAGATGAATGCAAAGAAAAGTCTTAAAAAGCATCATTGAAATGACATCTCATTAAGAAGATAAACTTGTTCTCTTTTCTTTTATGTGAAAAATAAAAGAAAAATTGGTAACCAACGAAAATCAACATAAGAAAAACGTTTTTGACGTTGAACGATGGCATAATTGTTGCCTATGTTGATCGTTTACCCCATGGGGGAATTTACATTTCTATGGTGAAGCGCATAAGTTTTACAGAATTGGGTGAAAAATGTAAAGAAATTTCATAGTCAGTAAAACGGGAAAGACACGATTTTATGGATTGCTATGATACCGTCATGGACGATAATGGTTGGGAATCGATTAAACAATGAAATGAACCCTGGAATTATTAAGAAGTTGTGGATGATTTGAATGAAAAATATTTGAAATTCCTTCACAGAATTGAAGTGTGTGGGAGGGAAAAAAGAAAAAATTATTCAAGGGAGCAAGAATTTAATGAAATTGACAAGGAAATAATGAAAGACGAACGCGACAGCTGCTCGAGTGGAAGCTCATTTAGTGGAATATGTAAAAACATTCTCAATAAAGTGAGTCGATATTGCAATTTTTTTTCAATGCGCTTTTGTTAACTGGTGCAGAAAATTAATTTCCTTTATAATCTTGAAAGATTGAAATGATGTTAATTATTGTTGTCGTAATATTTCTTTTAATATTGAACTGATTGAGTTCGGTAAGCATCACGTATCATTACAATGCACAAATGAAACTTCGCACTAGTCACTAGATGTGGATTAATAAAGATTACCGCCTCAAACAGACATAAACAGAATAAGTCAACAAATGTTTAATAAGAAAACGTGACTTTCGCTCGATACACTCAACGAAAACAAAAAAAAAATCCTGAACGATTTTATGGCGAAGTCATTTTTCTTCTTCTTTCTCTTTCTCTCGCTTTAATTTTTCTCTTTCGCAGACTCCAACGCCAATATGCATGTTTTATTTCTCCCATCCATTTGGGATATCAACGCCATCAACCGCAAACAATGTTGACAACGATTTGGGAAGAAAAAAGGCGACGAAGAAAAGTTCCAAATACACGACAACAACTTATTTGGTGACGGAAATTCAGAAGAACCACAGTGATGAGTCGCAAGATGAATGTCAAGGAAAGAAACAATCATATACTGACCGCGATCTGATCCCATGGCCAAAGAATTTTTTATTGCCACCACTTGTTCAATTACTAGAAAAAAAACACGGTAATTGAATTGCATATTTATACGTTTCATGTTCTCTTCCCGCCTACAAGATTAAATATAAACATTCGTTCATTGAGAGCGAACAAACCGGCATTGCATTTAAGTGTCACTCAACGAAAATAGTAAACAGAGAAAATCATAAAAGAAAAATAAATTTTCCCATCGTAGAAAGAAAAAAGAAAAACGTCGCGGAAAATGAAACGCGAGAGAAAAGAAATCTTTTAAATGCTTCAGCGATATGAACAGTTGACTACGAGTCTTCGATTCCATAGCATTGTTCTTCAAGGCTTCACAGTAACTCGATTGATTATTTTCTCTGATCAAACGCATGCACATAAATATTTAAATAGTTCGACCATAATTCACGAAACGAAATATTTAAACATAGAACGTCGCACAAAAACAACTGATTGAGGAAATTGCCAATGAAACATTGCGCGCCTATTTTTATTTTGCAAGTGATAAAACTAAATTAAGTTCAATGGAGACAAAAATAAAAGAGAAATGAACTTTTGATAGTGTAGAAGCAAATCAAATAAAGAAAAAAGTAAGAAGAAAGACGAAGAGAATTTGCACAACATTGTTCTCGTAACTATGCTAAATATTTTTGACCTTCAAAAGTAAATAAACATTGCTACGTTCGAACATCGATTTCTTGACTTGTTTTTCTATCATTATGTTGAAATTTTGTGCCGGTCAGTGTCAATAACCCGTTGTAAGTGTGATAATTAGAATAAGAAAAATCGATTCCTGCTAACTTAATACTTAACTTTACGTATGCACATAAAAAGGAAAAAGGATTAAAAAGTACAGAAAGTTTATTTTTTATGACTACAAACATGACATGGAATGCATTACAATGAATCATAATGAAAGAAAAAAATCGATTGCTTCTATGAAATTTTAATTTCGCAATAACATTTCGCTGTCTAAAACGAACATCTGCTTCTACTCTTCATTACTCAAGAATTCCATAAAAAATAGAAAATTAGATCATAAATTAATATAGAAAATTTTCTTACATATTTCTTGGCATCGTCGTGGGTGTACATAGGAAAGAAGCCACCAGACATTGATGCAATATTACGACAAGTTCGAAAGCAAGCATGGAACACTCCAAAGTCTCATCAGTCGTGTAATTTCTGGAGGTAAATATTGTGGTGATTAATACACGAACATTAAATTAGTTTCGATAACAAATGTTTTAAGGGTGCGAGAGATTTGTGATAAAACTACATGAACCTCTCCCTCCCTTGCCCTCAAATGTAAAATCTATTAACGTGTTCTTATGTTATTATCAAAACATTCACAAAAACGAAAAACATCTCTCACGTTCAAGATAAATGGCATCGTAATAGCCACTAAGGAAGATGTTTCGTTATCTCCCAAGAGACTATAAGCATAAATAAACAATTTGAATTGCGTTCACATTGAGTGATAAACGACAAGAAGTTTTCTGATTCATTCTTAGAGCGAATGTTAATCTCCGTAAAAGCTTTTTTACCTGCAAAAATCGAGTTAATTTTTTTTATTGGATGAGACAGCATTTGTTAGTGAAACAAAAGTCGAATTGAACAAGACGTTTTGAAAGGGGGAAAACTTCTTCATTTACTCTAACTTTTCTTCATTTCTTTCTCTTTTCCAGTCGTGGCTCTTCAGTTTCAAGCGACGACTTCTCGTCGTTGGCATCGCCTGACTCAGTCAATGACAAAGTAAAACTGAATCGAATGAAATTGAAGCAAAAATCTAAAAATACAAAACAAAAAAACATGGAAACAAGTGAAAATAGCGGAAATGGCCGTGGAAAAAGTCAACAAATATTCTTGAAGCGTCGCTATTCAGTTCCAGAAATAATCATGAGAAAGTAAGAGAAAATTATTCGCCCTTTTTCACAACCGATTCATAAATCGCTGTTTTGTTGACCTTTTACATAAATTTTAACCGTTGAAATGCTTACAATTTCATGTTTTGGACAAAAATCAATCGACGGCGGTTGACTTTCCGAAAGCACTTTACAAAATTCCCTTTCGCTTTTCTTCATATTTTTATAGCTTCCTAGATTTACATAATTACACAATGGATTATCCTTTTATTTCTTCTTTCAATATTTTTGTCGTCATTATTATGAAGGTATTCGTTGGCTCAACAAAAATCATCGGACGAAAGCTCAAGCAACATTCAGACAACATCGAGTGAAGCTTTCAGAAAAAGTCGTAATGGTCAAAGCACCACAAACAAGAAACCAACACCACCTCAACCTGCCACCACTTCCAACACTCGCACATCGACTCCGATAAAATATTTCATTCCACTTTCTCCCCAACAGCAACAACAACAACATACATCGTCGTCGTCGTCAAATTGTATGAGCGGTGGGGGAAGTGGAGGCTTCCTCAACACAGAAATATCGATGCGAAAGCAAACATTACTTCGACGAATGTGGAGTCGCGAGTTTCAACATTCGAAATATTCGGGCAGTTGGTCACCGCCTTTAAGACGTTCAAGTCATCAATCGCAAAGTGGTCTCAAAAAATTCAATACATTACCGGAAATAGCTTCAACATCTTGTGAAAAGTGTAAGGAACTCGGCGTACTCGCCAGAAATTTTGATGAAGAAATTTTCGAAAATAAAGAAAATAAATCGCAACAAACCGATTTTGATTTGGAAGGAAATTCCATTGAGATTAAGAAGAGTCGTCGATCAAGTGAATCGTCGCGTACGTCAGACGCCATACATTCAACTGATGTAAATGTTGTCACAGCTGCTGCTGCTGCTGATACTTCACCATCGAAGTTCGACACAAACGGCAACAATATCATCATTTGCATGACGGCATTGCAAGAACCACGACATCAACCTTGTGAAGATACGTTGAGAGTGGAAATCGATAATAATAACAACGCAGACATGATTAGAGAAAAGATTCTTCGTAAACAATTCAGCACGCAAATCGATGATCAGGAAACGACGATAACAACCACACCAATCAACTACAAACGCTTAAATGAAGAGAATCTCAACGAAACGGAAATTGACGAATACATCTCGCAAATGTTGATTCAAAACCTCGAAACTGTCATTAAGACTGTTAATGAAAATCTGCAAGCAAATGGCGAACGCAACCTTGTAAGAATTGATTATCATTCGAATGGCGACGAGGACGGCTACCACAATAATAACAACAAAATAAATAATAATAAATTTGGAAACCAACACGAAATTTCTATTCAAATGAGAAACGCTAAAAATGGGGACACCATCAAAAGTAATCGAAATTCAAATGAAGTCGTAAGTCCAAGCAACGACGACGACGACGTTGCAGTCGAGCGTGGTTTGTGTGGTGATTCGGATGGAAAATCGCAGTTGGTTGCGACTTTTGATAATAATCATCAACATTATATTGTGTCTAACGAGAAGACATCAAGAACAAGCGAAACTGGAACTGACACGTCGGAAGATCAACAACATTTTGAGGTGACAGCTATTATTAATTCAGGAACTTCTTATCCTGAAATTGACAAACCGGAATCGATTTACGTTCCACGCTTTATTGGACCAAAAACAGAATCAATGGAAGTGAATCCATCGTCATCATCTGCACAGGAAGATGATGAGTTTGATGGTGTTGAAGAGTCTGAAGAAGAAGAGATTAGTGATGTTGACAGTCTCGATGATCTTGTGACAGTCGAAGCGAGAAAGCTTCACGAGCTTGCACATCATCAACATAAGAAAGCTCAAGCATTGTTTCGACAAACACATCTGAAGGGTCAAGCATTCTTTGTTCCAATCGTTGACACTGAGCAACCAATTGATGAACATATTGTCGTAGCTGAAATGATGCCGGAAAAGCTCAAAGAGAAGTTAATTCTCCGTCAAAGACGACGTGACATGAAGAAACAAAGTGAAATGAAAATCAAGCAATGGCGAATGCAAAAGTTTATTGAACGAAAAATGGGTGAAGTGAAATTAGTTGACGACTACATTGAAGACTTCTCGAAAGGTGGTGGTGGTGCTTTTAAGATAATTGGAATGCCATCAAAGAAATTGGGACCAATTCAGACGAACACTTATCGACGAGAATCGAGTGGTGGTCAAGTGAGTGGTTGGATGCCAAAGCCACGTTTACCACCATCAGCACTACCAACACAACTCGAGACAGTTAACGAAGCCGTCGTTGAAAAAGTTCCCCAAAAACCTAAGAAACTCCGCAACGAAATTGGCATGTTGGAGTCGTATAAAATCGATGGCCGTGGCAACATGCAAATACAAAATCCAAATAAACCGGAAAAGCCGACCACAACTAAAGCGAAGATTAAACGGAACACAATTGAGAATAAAAAGCCAATAAGAGTGAAAACGAAAACAGCTTTAGAAGTGCCATCGAGAAAGTCAAATGCGTCTTCCAAAAGAACGACGACAACATCATCATCAACAACTTCAAATGTTGATGTACGAAGACGACAAGTGATGAAAGATGTCCAACAAATGTCAATGTACAAAACCGATCTTACGCCTGATCCCGACAGTGGGCCTTCGAGAAAAATGTGGAAAACTGAAATACAAGAAGGTGATAAGCACATTGAAATCCTAGAAATTGTTGAATGTGTCGACGGCACATCATCAACTGCACCTGATAATAATAATTTTAATCACATTTACTCATCACCGTCAACATCCACTCAAAACCATAATTATTATCATGTTACACCATCATCAGATCATCCTACGATTGTAAATAAAACATTTAGTGTAAGAACGTCGGGTTATGGCGACAGTCGTGATAGTTTTCCATCAAGAATTCCAATCCCGATTCATTACCGAAATCATTTCTTGCGGGGAAATCATCGTTATGAGGCTCGTGAAAGTTCGCCAAGTAACAACAACTACAGCTCATCAACTGACCCTGAAGATTCTCTCACATCAGCTGGAAGTTCACGAGTCAAGCAAACATCGAAAGTTGATCGAATGATTGCTAATCTCTTAATGGAAGCACTTAAAAGTCCCGAAGATTTAGGCATTGAATTTGTAAATTCGCCAAAGATGAGAAAACCAAAAAGACGTTCACAGCCATATTCGCCAGGTGGTGTCGATTCATCTGGCTATTTCACTGCTGACAGTTCTAATCGTAGATCAGCAAGTAATAGTGCAAGTAAATATCAACATCGTTTTGAAGTCATTCCTGAAGAGAAGAGTAGCTTCTCGGTTGACTCATCAAACGATGATTTCATTGAAGATGATGAAGTCGAGCAAGAGAGGTTGGAAAATATCAACAGTGATTGGAAGAGTCGTAAGAATCTTCAAAATAATGACATTAAAACGAGAAGTGTCACGCCAAAGTCTGAGAAGGAAGATGACATTCAGGAGAGTGAGAAAAGTATGTCGTAGATGTTTTCTATGTAGATGTAGTTGAACAAGTATTTGAATAGTTTAGTTGCTGATCGCATTATTCATCACATTACGAGTCGTTAAAATTCAATTTTCCTGATTTCATTTTTTCAAGGTAAATCACAGAAAGTTTCACCGTCAGTTTCAAAGAAGTCACCCACGAAAAGCAACCAGAAGTCATCGTCTGCATTAACATCCTCGGTCGTTAAGTCGACATTAAAATCGTCTCCCGCTAAGAGAGACATCAAGACGAAGAAAAGTTCGTCTGGTGGTGAATCATCATCAGCGAATGCATCAACAGATAAAAAGTCAGAACCGGAGGAAGCAAAATCTTTCATAACATTCTCGGATAATTGCGAGCAAGGGAAAGAAGATGAAGAGACGTCACAAGCAAAGACGGAAGGTATTGATCTCATTATAAAGTAAAAATAAAAAATTTCCTTCAACAGCTCTTGACTTAAGTTTTAATTTGTTTTATGAAAATTTTTCTTTATGATTTTCCTTTTTTCTCTTTCTTTTCGTAGACATTTAGACATAAATACGTAAATATAATATTTGAGATATCTCAAGTGCACATTTCTTATGTTGATAAAAATATATTTAACAAAAAATAAATTGTTGAAGTGTTGTTTTTGAGAATAAAATGTAAGCGATTATGAAACCAAATTTTCTTTTTGAATTTTGACGGCCTTCATATGTTTGTTGTTCACCTCCCCTTCTCCTCTACCCACTCAAATATTTCTCAAGCGCCTTGACTCTTTTAGAATGAAATGAAAATGAAAAGAAACAATTCACGAAAAAGAAAATGTGTAACCTAATTATAATAATCGATTTTCCCTTTTTTCCTTATTGCGTTTCATTTCTTGAATTGTCGTTTCGTGAAAACGTTCAAATGAGTCGTTTAATAACACTAACTAAATGTACCAAGTTAAATACATTAACCCATTGCTTCCGACATTTTTGACTCACACACAAAAGTGGCAAAAAATTCTCAATTCGACGATATGTTTTATTAATCTTTAACATAGCATGACTTATCATTAAATAAATGTTGTCGTTTCTGGTTTTATAATATAAGGGTTTGTTCTCGTTTTCTTTATCAACGCGTTTTGTAGTTTTATTTTTATGACACAAAAGAATAAAGATTGTTAAATGATGTCACGATGAGAATGAGTAAATTATTAACGATCTTTGATTTTATTATTTTCCTTACTCAATTATCGTTTTCTCATGAATTAAACTTTCATAACAATGAAAAACTCTTCAATCATATTTAATGTCAGTTTATTTTGAGTTTGACATGCGAGTTGAATGAACCCTTCGCATGAAAATTTCATAGCTGAATTTAAATACTTTTCCTTACCTTCAGATGCATTTCCTTCACCACATCTCGAGCACAAAAATTTAATTCATCATTTCATGAACAACAAATCATCATCATCATCGTCATCAAATAATCATCATTTCCACTATCACTTGTATCAATATCAGACACACAACTGCTGCTTTAATTTGTTTGACCCCTGCAAAACATCATCCACAGTAACGACGGAAGCTTCGAATGAAAACTTTTCCAGTTTGCCAACACAGTCGATTAGAAATTCGTGTCAAACCGCGGACTTCATGCAGTCAAGAAACACAAAATATGATGATGAAGATGATGATAAATTGAAAACAGCGGCAAGCTCAAAGTTCACTGAAAATTCGTCATTTTTAAAAGGCTCAGGTTCGGATAACAATCAAAGTCGTATAAATGAAGCTTCCAGTCCACAATCTAACTCCATTGAGAAAGTAATTGAAGTGAAATATTCGAATGAAAATTACAAGAAACCTGAAGACGATCAAGATAATTGCAGTTGCACTAAGAAATATTTTCCGTACAAAATCAATGAGAAGAATGTTTGGCAAGTTTATGAGACTAGCGATTGTAAATATATTCAATCAAAATATGAAGTTGATGAGATTTTTCATCGTCCTGATTCAAGCGATGGCAATCAAACACCATCCACTTGCAATCCACTGCTTCATAGTCGTTCAAACTTTAATAATTCAATCATTTGTCACACGATAAATCACGAAACAGAACACGATGAGAGTTCACGGGAAAATGATAAAAATGAGTCTGTAAATAACAGCACGCCTTTCGATATAAATTGCACAGATGAGAGTTTGTATACACCTTCATTTAACATCAAATCAGCAACGATTGAAAGTTGTAAATGTATAGACGAAGAAATGACAGAAGATAACAGTTCGAAAGTGATTGACAACGACGATGACGACGATGATGTTGATGTTGCAAGTATCGAAACCAAGCAAGACGATCTCATTCTATCATCAAAGGGATCATCGTCCTTCATGACAAACACAAACTCATCTGGCAAACTCCTCAATCGTCCAAAAGCAACAAACAACATTTCGCGTGATCAAGTTCAACCTGTGGAGAAAGAAATTCAAAATGAAATCACGAGAAATGGGGTGAAAGTGAGTCCAGTAAAGACTTCAGTGCCAATTCGACTACCAAGTCCAATTCCTAATAAACATCAAGAGACGACATCGAAAAGTAAGAACTTTGATAACGATGATGGTGACTACTCTGAAGCAGATTATTCTTCAGATGGAACTGTGATTGAGAAGAAGAGAAGTCCAAAGGTGAAAAGCAATCAAAGCAGTCCAAAAGAACATTCAAAAGTCAGACAACCGAGTAGTTTGGTACGACAAGAAAATAAAAATGTCGTCATTCCTAACATTCATCAAGGATGGTCTGTAACTGTAAGTAATCAAATTTCAGCATTATATTTAATCATAATTAACACAACATTCTAGGTCGCTGGCACTCATCCCGACCTTGCACCAGATGTCGAAATGAAATTGAGTTTTCCTAAAGCGAAAGGTGCGACATCAACACCTGACAGCAAAAGCGAAAAAATGAAACAAGATCATCCTGAAGTTTTCTATTATAAAAATAATCAACTTTTGCCGCCTCCAGTTACGAGAGAAATTCCAACTCAACTGCAATATGAAAGATTTGAACATAAACCTTATTACAATCATAGAAGATCATTGTCATTGGCAAGAATTGATAGTGGATTAAGTGGTAAAAAACTTATTTTTATTGTCTTCTATTCAAATAAAAATTTACTTTTTTCTCAAGGTATGATCAAGCCAAAATCTTATAAACTTCCAAATCTTCATGTTCCACGTTCAACAGCAAGAAATGCTTTTAAAGTAAACATTTTAAAATTCTTTCAATGAGTTAATAAAATTATGTTTAATTAGCAGGTTGAATGTACAACAATATCAGCATCAAAGACTTTCATACCAAGTCGACGATCAATGTCTCTCGATGTTGGGTAAATATTTAACATCACACAAAAGCATGAAAAATACATTCAAACATTTTCTTTTCTTCTTTATTATCCACTTAAGAAATCGGCGGTTGTCATTGGATAGTCGATCTCAAGCATCACCAAACACATCGAGTGACCTGCTATCTGTTGTTGGATCTGAAATAAAGAAAACACTGAAACCTAAAGTGAAGACGATGAGTGAGCGGGATTTAACGAAACGACACTTGAATTGCTTCACGAGAAATAATGGAATGTTTTAAGATTAGTTTAAACTTAAGTCGTGAATTAATAGTATCGTCATTTATAAATGCCAATGTGTTACACAATAACTTGTTCATTCACCATTTCTTTGGTTTTAAATTTGTTAATTTTTATTGATCACAGCGCCTCTATCGATAGGAAATAAGATTCGTTAAGTTGAGCTTTTTTGAAATGATCGTTTGAAATTTTCCGCCACTTGGTGCGCTGATGTCAGTTTGTGTAGATCAGGTTTTGTTCACACGATTCGTTGAAGTCTTTTATTGCTTTTCTTTGCCTCCCATTCGTCAATGATAAAGCAAAGTGTTCAACATAATGTTAAGTTTATGTTTGGATGTGTTTTGTTTTCTTACACTTAACACCAACACTAACGTATGATGTTTATTGTTTATTATGTCGTTTCCTTTGTAAGTTTAAACTTTGTGCAATATTAACTTTTTTCATTCGTCTGTAAATCGCGGATTCGCTAAGACGTACGACGTAGTTTTGTCTCTGTCTCAATTTTTGGAGACAATAATAAGAGTGAATGGTAGTAGTTAAATTTTTGTATTAATTTAAAACTATTCATAGTAAGATTAATGAAAATATTTGTGTTGTCGAAAGGAAATTTATAAAACTCAAATCCAGGATAATTAAAGAAAAAAATAAAAGGAATAAAATATCTTGAAAAAGGAGAAAAACAAATTTATTTTTGTGTAATACCTACCTATTCCCGTGTGATATTCTTATCACTAGAAAAAAATAAACTTGAAGAAGAAATTAAAAGTGAAGTAACAAAGAAAATCGTGACCAAGAAAATTGCACGTTTGAGTATTAAAAAATTATTTTATTTAAAATAAAGGAATATGCACTTATCAGTTGCATTATTTAGTGTCGTTAAAAGATGTTCCACAAAATACTTGCGACACAGTGTCAAGCAAGAGGTAAAATAAGCAAGAAAAATATAATTGCTAAGCAAGAGAATTAGTTTAGAAGTTCATGTGGCTAAGTGGTATTGATAAGACTGATTCTCTTACCGCATGCAATAGTAATTGCAATTAAAAATATGTATGAAGTGATTAGTCAGTCGTAATTGCAGTGATGAAGACGTGAAAATAAAAATTATCAAAAGAAAATTTAAGGAATAACGAAAAAAAATTAAAATTTAATGTGCAAAAATTCTAAAATTGCGAGAATTGCTTCCGACGGTGAAAATTCCCGCGGAAAAAAAATTGTGGTGTTATGAAAAAATGTTTTCCAGGTAAGTTGTTGACTTTTGTTGGTAAAATAAAATGAACGTGTACGTGAAAGTGAAAGAAAAATGTTCAGAATGATTCTCGATGAATGTTCAGCACATGCCAATTAAGTTTGACATTAAAATTGATAGAGAATAGAGAATCTTCATCGAAGCAACTTTAAATTGGTTTTTCTCACCTTGAACTTAAGTTGAGTGAGCACTGAAAACGATAATTTGTAAGAAATCAAAGAAATGGAAACGGTTTCCAACCTGAAGTTTACTTTTGAAATCAACTATAATTTTCTTTTTCACTCCTTGAAGTAGATCACAATTCAAATACCGAAGCTAATTCTGTCTAATTCAATATTCCAAACTCTTAAGCAAGAATATGTCCAAAGCAGTGAAGACGCTGCTGTTTGTAGATAAAATAAATTAACACTGACTTTCAAATTAGACTGCAATACGAGAGCACATTCATCAAACCATAACACAAAAACAAACATAAACGTTCTGGTAGGAAAACAAATAAATAATTACGCGCTTGTCTAATCGAAGGCGATATATCATTCACCGTTTTTCTTATTTCGGGTGAAAAACTGATTGAAACTACATGTGAGTTCGAATTTCTTAAGAGAGAGAAAAAAGCTCACACAAGGTGATCGCACTTGGGTAGTAATCAAACATTTATCATTATGATAAAAGGAAAAGAGAAAGAAATCAAATTAATCTTTCACTTGGGTCTATGAAAATGAAAAAAAAAAACAAAGAAACAAAACAAACAAATCGAAACACTTTGCAGAGGAATGCGAAATCGAAGAATTAACAAGGAAACAGCATGAGCTTAATGATATTAATAATCTATCTAGTTGGAGTTGTTAGCTACTTTAAGAGTGAGCTTATCTGCAGGAAAACAAGTTTTTAGTGTGAATCGATACTTTGAACAGTCGCAAGAACAAAGCTTTGTCATTTAAATAGTAAAATGTCTTAATCCATACATTTACACTTCCTTCTCTTGATCTGAGCACAAATTTAATGACAAGTCATTTATAGCGAGTGTAAAATATCTCAAGATTTAACAAATTTCAAGCCAAATGTGACACGATTGCATGTCAGAAATTCCGTTAATTGTTCAAGCCAAAATGTTTCGTTATCAACAAAAATGTTGACGTTTATGGGCAGACAAACAGTTTCTGTTCATTGTGCAATGAAAATGTTAATAAATTATGTGGGAAGATGAACTAATTGTGGTTGCTTTATTGTTTAAAAGAAAGAAAGGTTTAAGTTAATGACATGAAGTCGGCGACAGTTTCGTTTAACTTATCACACTTTTAAACAATATTTCCATTCATTTAATCTCTTAAAAAATGTTGTCAATGACGAATTCATCAAATGGTCTTTCAAAAAGTCTTCAAAAATTTCTATCAAATCCCGAAAAGTTTCATTAAAAATTCTTAATGAGTTTCAAGAGTTGAACGGAAAAAAAATTAACAAAAAAGTCAAAAACATCGAAGTTGCCACCAAATAAAATAAAAACAAGAAAAAACAGTAAACAGTAGAAACATGTCTTTTGTTTTTAAAAAGTCCAAAAGGAAATAAAAAAAGCAGTGAACATGTTGCTTGTCTCATTTTTCTTTCCTTCAACGAGTGATAAACTTAATCGTGTTAATCGATATATTTCTCCATCTAAACATTAGAATACAATAGCATGTCGCTTTTCTTTCCTTCTTCATTATTCTCGTCTTCATGTTAAGCTCGGATAACCGAATGAATATCGAAGCTGCCTTTTAATTCTCTTTGCTTTCGTCTCGAACAAGTCACAAGTCAGCTAAGCTTAGCATAGAAATAACTAACAGAGAAAAAAGATTGACAAAAGAATTATTTTTAATTTTTTGTTTTGAACGAAACAAGAATGAATAAAAAAAATACCGAAAAGTCGATTATTCATCATCACTGCGCAATACTTGCGCTAACAAACATCAAGCGCTAGAGAAATAGTTAAAAAGTTATTCAAACAAGAGAGCCCTCAACTCCGAAAAATGTATCATTTGTCTTTGTGCCCTCGTCTTCGTCTGCCCGAGATGCCATTTGCCGTTTCGTGAGAATTTCTTCCGAGGCCCATATAACTTCTTTCAAACTTGGATGTTCTTTGAATCAAACCGCGATATCATATTTTTTTCCTTTTTCAATAGTTCGAAACTTACAAGATCATCTCGACAATACACAATTTTTTTTTCATTTAAATTTCTTTTCTTTCGCTTCGTCGACAAACTTTGCCGCGACTCAACAATTCAATTTCAATTTCAACAAAAATGTTTCTTTCTCTCCTCCTCCTCTAGATTTGAAACCAATAAATCAACAAAGGGAGCATCAAAATTGCGAAGAGACTTAATTAACGCCGAAATAGCCAATTTGCGGGACTTGCTGCCATTGCCACAATCAACACGTCAGAGACTTTCACAGCTTCAACTAATGGCGCTCGTTTGTGTTTATGTGCGAAAAGCAAATTATTTTCAACAAGGTAAATAAAGTCTTTAGAATATTTTACAACAAATCTTCTATCTATTTAATTTTCGGAACTGGAAATGATGAATTATGGCTCCGCAAATATCTACGACAGAAAAAAAAAAAAGAAAGAACGAAAATAAAAACACTTTTCGAGTGTCACAACGAACAAAAGCTTTCTAGCGGCAAAAGATAACAGAACAGCTTTCAATCAAGCTCAGAAAAACGATTAAAGGAATGAGTCATTGAAAATAAATTTGGATCAGAGTTGATCTACATTTTGAGCTTATTCATAAATTGAGTCAATCATTGGTTAATTTTTCTGAAAATTTCCAGTTTTCGATTCGTTTGCAATGCCAAGTTCAAGTTATAATCGCCGTGTTTCGTTGACAATCCCAAGAAAAAGCTTTTCGTTATTACTTTGATATCACTTTAGTGAGTAATGAGAAATCAAATTTCTGCTTAAAAATCTTTAAGTCAAAACCTGAAAGCGAATTTCGCCCGAAAACTGACAAATCAAGTTGAAAGGTTCCACCAACTACAATGTATAAGAAGATCAAAAGTTAATATTATGAAAAAAACAAAGCATTAAGCTCTACAAAGTATATTCCACCATTCTCAATGACAAATATCTTAAGCCCAAATAAATCATAACGTTAATTTGTTTCGTAAGCGAATTGAATTAAGATAAGAAATCAATTAGGTTTTCTTTTCTTTTCTTACTTTTCTTCTTTGCTTAATCGGATTCAAAGTGAAATATGAACCGCAAATTTTAAATTAGGCTTACATAATCACTGTCTGTATGAGCTTGTTTTTACTACGTCTGTCTGGTTATTGTTGTTAATAGCAATCTATCCAGATGAAGTAACTAAATAACTGTAAAATTGGTGATCTAGTGGAACAGACACTATTAAATCTTTAGCTCATTAAAGGATCTTAAATAAATCCAAAATTATCGACTCTTTAGCCTGCTCGAAGATCTTCTTTAACTCAACTTGTATTCAAAAGAACTCTAGGCAAAGAAAGAATTCATTCACAACACCATCTTAGATCAGTTACAATGTGACATTTTAATTGCATCATTAAATAAAGTTTAATGAGAACCCTGAGATGTCTGAAGCAATAGTGTGCATGCTTAAGTAATGTCTATTCATTTGTATTTATCTAAAGTATCTTCATGCAACGATCAGCAAAAGTCGAGAAGGAAAAAAAAGCTTTAAAACATTATTTACTCGATTGCATGAAAAATTTATTCATTAGATTCCAATGGAATGGAACAATCACAGTGAAGCTTTGCAACAAAATCTATTTATGCACATTTTCCAAATCAATATTGTCGATTTATTCATTCAGTAAAACGTGGTGCATCGAGGGAATTGTAAACATTCATTTGACGTTTGTTTCATCTTTTTTATGAATCAGTGATGTAAATTTTATGACCAGTTAGAATTCAACGGTAAATCAATATTTAGTTAGCTGATTCAGGAAATTCCAAATAATGAACGAATGTCTTATCGACTTCATTTCGCCACCTAACAAGTGAAACAAATAAATCTTTGAGCTTTCGACAATGCAATAAATTCTTAGAGAATTGAAACTGGAACCTTGCAATGCTGCTTGGACAATTATTTATTAGTTGAACTTCATACATCTGCTGTGCATGCCTCGATTGTTCCGCTTACTCGATAAAACTTATGCCGTGATTAAATGAAGTGCATTAAAAGTTATGATTTGAATCTTAGAACACTTAAATTTTTATTTGAATTTCGATATAAAAAACATTCAAATTCACTCTCCGCCTCAACATCACCAACTTAATATTCAAACATTTATCAATCAATCATTTAATTTAATTTATTCACAATTCTCATATTAATCTATTTATTTGTTTGTTATTTCAGCTTTTAAACGCTATGATAATGGATTACAAAATTCAACTCCAAATATTGGTTTTTCGAAAGTAAGTAAATTATTTTAGCGATAACTTTCTGAAATGAATTATTTTCGTTACCTTCTAATTCATTGTTTGGCTGGTATTGGATTTGATATTTGTTGAACAAAAACAAAAAACTTGCAAGCTCAAAGTTTACATAGATTAGTAATGAATCACTACATTCGAGTATGAAAACATAACAAACATTACTTCCAGTAGTGATGCAAATACACAATCAAAGTTCCTTCAATGCTTTTTGCAGATTTTATTGGATATTGAATTAAGCGAGATAATTTTATTCACCGAACATGTGTCCTTACATGGGAAATTCGCTGATTTTATTTCAATGAACTTTCAACATTATTTCGCACATAACACCAACATGCCATTTAAAATCGCTTTGTTTATGTCTAATTTTTCATTTGTACGTTTAGCGTTAATTAGACATGAGCTGGTTTGCCTAGACCTTTCTAATCGATTTAAGAAAGAAAAACATCTCCTGAAGAATTATTGAGAATAATAATTTGATGAGAATGAGAAGAAATTGAACAGAACTGAATACTTAGAGCGATACATAGCGAAAGCATAGAAATTTATTAAACAGACAGTGGAAGTTCATAAAGCACGGCCATGGCTTCAAAACGGCTGTTAATGTGAAAGAAAACTAGCAACAACATCACAACGATATATATTTTTCACTTAAATTAGCAAATAAACTCAAGACAGAGTTCAAATGAAAAGTTCAAGTCCATAATAAGAAGCAAATGCTACATTTGAAGATGTTGCTCTTCCGCGATTCCAAGTCAAAGCGAATGAAGGGCGAAGTAGGAATAAAAGAAGAAGATTCATCTTAAAAGAGAAGAACTAACAAAAAAGACGAAAACAAATCTTAATCTTTCTACTAATCTTCTTTTAATGCGATATCTATCATTTTTTCTCTCCCTTCACTTTTTTTCAGTTCTCTCCTTTCTCACTTCACTTCACTTTCCTCTCGACGCGACCACAACATCACACAAAAGACGTTCACGTGCGAAAATTGCATTTAAAGTCAGCATTAAACAACGGAGAAGGAAAGAAGTTAAAAAAAAGTATTAAAAATGCATCAATTATTGCATATTTTTCATGTTTATGGGCCTTCTCTTACTCATGTGATCGACTTACGTTCTTTTTTTGTTTCTTTCGTTATGAGAAGCAGTCAAAGGAGGGAATAAGAAAAAAGAAAAATCTCGCGGTTAATTCCACTTGAAAAGAAGTTATGATGTTGATTGCTAGTGTTTAATTTTAAAACAAAAGAAAAATATATAATCAGATGTCATTTCATTTCAAATGTTTAGTAAATTAATTTTTACAAATTAATATTTTTCATGACAACATTTTTACTTCGAGGTATTTAATTAAATATCCAAATTCACGCCACCACCATTCACTCTACCTCATGATTTTATTTCTTTTTTAATTTTTTACTACGCTACTGCAGCATAAAAACATTTTTTACATAACAGCATGTTTGAACAGCATAATTACAAACGGCACCACATTGCATTCTTTCGTGAGTTATGTACATAGTTAGAAGCACATGAGGTGGATTAAGCATTTATAGACGATCGCTTTGCTGCAATTGTCCGATAATGTACTGATTATTTATTGCTGCTGATATTTTTCCTTTCAAGAGTTTCATTCTCATATTGTTTAGCGAACGTTTAAAAGCGACAACGATGGAAGACAACACAAAACAATCGCGACAACGACAGCGGCTCTATCATCGATAGTTGCATCTCTTACCTTGAAGTTGTTGAAGCTTCCAATTTTAATTTTAATTTATTGTTAAAGAGGTCAAAGTTGGATGAGAGAATTGATTACCGACATCTTTGAACTTGAGTTGTTGGTTGGTAAGATGTAAAAAGAAGAAGCAATTTAACATTACTTCAATCAACTTCAAAGGCATTTAAAAACTAAATATCTTAATTCTCATCTAAGCCCTTTCTCCATGACTCCCATTGCATGACACATTATGACACTTTCTCAGCAATATATTTTGAATCTGATTCACACGATGAGCTCACCTCCGGGAGCTTAAAAGCTATCATACTCTAGTTCACATGTCACGGAGAGTATCGAAATCAATCCCACAACATCAAGAAGCAGTTATACGTTTTATTCAAATCCGATTTATGTTGACAAAATCTTTCATAACAACCGATTGAGTTTAATCTGAAGTTGAAAGTCGATTTTTTATTTCTCATCGCTCGCAAAAAATAAAAACAAACCTTCCATCATTTCTCGCTTGTGTAATAAGCTCCCCAATTATATTGATCGCGGGAAGATGAAATTCTTCAGTTATTCATCTCATTCGACTCTTGGTAGTTTTTTTGAGTTTGAAATGAAACAGTTCAAAGAATGTTGAGATGCATGTAAAGCAGACAGAAGAAGCAAACAAATTTTCTCACGCATTCATCGATACATAAAGTTTACGTTTCTTATTTTTTTTTTCGGGGTATTTAATACACACATTGGGATGTTGTTGTTGAAGAGAGATTTGCCACTTATGCCTTGATTATACATGATCTATATTTTAACTCTTTGTGTTCTGTTCTCTTCAATTCTTCTCATCTCGTGGCTTTTCTTCAACTCTTCACAAACAATATTAAACGTACATAAATGAAGCGAAGAAAACAATAAGTCGATCGCGGCCACAACAACATAATAATGTTAAAACAACAAAGCATTAATCTTGAATACGTTATTATTTATTTCTTTTCAGGCTCTCTCAGGCTTTCTCATGATGTTGACTCAAAATGGCAAGCTTTTGTACATCTCAGACAATGCTGCTGAATATTTGGGACATTCAATGGAAGATTTACTGATACATGGCGACTCCGTCTACGATATCATTGATAAGCAAGATTATAATTCAATTCAAACAGAACTTAATCGAACTGGATCTCATATTCATCAAACGTCATCCTTGCATAGTCTTCATCATAACAATGTCAATATGGATGGTGAAAAGCGAATGTTTCTTTGTCGTATGAACGTCAGCAGGTGAATAAATATTTTTTGAAGAATTAACAATTTCATAAACCACAATTAATGACAAATTTTTATATCGACAGAAATGCACGACGACAAATGCGCTTTGGCGATCAGAAAGTCGTTCTTATACAGGGCCATTATCTTTCATTTCTACCACTTTGTAGTCGAAACGAGCCAGTTTTCTTAGCAACATGTACACCTATTGCCATGCCTGAGACACGAGAATGTGTGGTACAGGGAGCAACAAATGTTTTCACAACGATTCATTCGATGGACATGAAATTTGTTCACATAGATAAAAAGTGAGTAGAATTTTGCTACCGCATGGCTTGGGATCAAGCACAGGTCACATGGTCGAGTGTCGAGTAAAAGATAAAACAAAATAACGAGTCGATAATTATGTGTCGTCCCCCTGTCGTTCATTTACACATTCATTGGACGCTATTCAACTTTTAAACATAATAAAATTAATGTTAGCCTTTGTCTCATCTCCATCTCTCCTGGAAGTTTATTCCCTCAGCTTGAATCTTATGAAACTATTTTGACTTGAATCGAAACATCAAAACACTTAACATGAAAGGAATAAAGAATGAATGAAGAAAAAGTTTTGCTTCTATGTGCGGCATCGTCACTCGAATCAATTGAATTTATGTTGATCGGGAGACCTTTTTAATTGAAAAATAGTACGTTTAGCTTCTCTATGAAGACTATTTTTGATTAGGAGTTGAACGAAAGTTTCGTCAAGATTTTCTTTGCTACTTTCATTTCTGAGAGCTTTAAATTCTGAAGAACGAGATCGATGAATGCAACCCGTCAATTGAAAGACATGAGAGAAATTAAAATAAAGATGATGAAGAAGAAGATGAAGTAAGAAGCTGAATAACAATTTCACATGAGAGACCACTTATTCAATTTGTAAGAAAGTTAATCAAAGCTCTTTTTTTTTCGTCTTCTTCTTAAACTTCTTTATGTTCATATTGACTATCGACGATCGATTGAGTAACTGAAACCCGAAAAGAGAAAGAGAACGAAGTAATAAATATGAAAGAAAAAAACAAGTAAAATAATATTGATAGTTGTATTTTATGCATGTAAACTGTCAAAAGAAACAGTATCAATTATAAGAACTGTTTCGTCTTTCTCTTAAAGACGGTTTGCTTTTATATTTTTCATCATCGATCGTTTTCTTTCCACCTCACAATAATATTATTATCGACAAATAGAGTGAAGAATAAAAACTTTTAATATGAAACACTTTAATAAAAGACAGTGAAAGGAATGGAAGAGAAATGCCTTCATGATATTGCGCGGTTGGATGTTCAATGTTCAATGTTCCTTCCAATTGGAAGCTGAGAAGCTTATAAATAGAATGGAAATTATATTATAAAAAGAAAAATAATTAATAACACTTCAGAAAATGAACAATAAAGGTGAACAATGTAGTAGGTGAAGGTGTGGTGTTAAATTACTTTGCATACTTAAATTCTTTACATCGCACCCGAGCGGGAGATTGAGAATTGAAATATTTTATGTACGGGGATTTTTATTTTAAATGTTTTTGAGTTAACTTCAAGTGAACATGTCTTAGTTTTGGTATTTATCAACTCGACGTCACTTTATTAAATAATTCTTTTAATGACAACAAAATTTTCTTTTTTCTTTTATCAGCGGAGAATTCCATTTAGGATACATGAAAGATGAGTTAAGTGGAAGCTCCTGGTACCAGTTAGTTCATTGGGAAAATATCAAAGAGGCTCAAATGAAGCACAAATTAAGTAAGCAAAACAATTTTGAAGAAAAACTTTAATTAAATTTAATGATTTCTCATTCACAGTCACACAATCAGAACAAGATCGATCATGTATTGTGTTGACACGATTACAGAAGAAGACTGGTGACTTCATTTGGATACATTTAGTTCTACAAGTTCGTGATAGTCAGGACTCTAATCAACATTCAGTCATAGTTTGTACGAATCAAGTGTTAAGGTAAGAACATCGTCATGAGAACAGTTCAAAGTCATTAAATGGTAGCTGATAACATTATTACTGATAATTCTTGTTGGCCCCATAAAGACGAGAGATCAGAGTCAGGTCACAGTTGACAATAATTTCAATAATAACGAAAAAGAATGACAAAAAAAAGAAATTATTTATCATGTTGTGTTCAAATGTACCATCGCTTGTTCATCGTTCTATGAAAATCTGTTGGGGATCCCATTGTTCGTATCTCGATTCGGTTGTTTCATCCGCGCGCCAGTTAAATGGAAATTCTTTTCATTCACTCGCTCTCACTCTCCCACGAAATTTATTATTATTTCAAAAAACAATATTGTGCAATCCATAACATGGCTTGTTGTCTTTTTATTTTGTGTTTGTCTCCAACATCGAAGAGAATAAGAAATCGGAAATTTGCTCCTTCCGAACAGTTTGCTTGCTTACATAGTAAATAAACGAAAGAAAATTAAAATGAAAGAAGCAAACAGTAAAGTCAGTGGAAGAACAACATTAACAATACAATAATTACATATCTTTAAGGTCCTTCATGTCTTCTCATTTTGCTCTGCTTCTCATTTCATTTTGTTGTCTCCGTTCTTCTTTCATTTCGAGTGGAGTCTGAATGGTGTGCATTCTTGATTCCATCCCAGCCTCCCCGAAAAAAAAAACTGAAAGAAGCTAAATTTGAAACGATCAACCAGCAAGTAAGGAACGAGTCGAAAAGAAGAGATCAACAACGAGCGAAACGTTCTCCCATTTAAAATTCATCGCCCCGTTATAGTTCATGAAGCGAATTATTTATTTATACCTTCTTGCTCTCTTTGCAGTTGAATTGGGGTTGATTCCTAAATAATGTCAACTGATATTAGAATTAAATATATAAAGCTTTCAATGATACAAAACTAAAATGCGTAGGAGGTTTCATTTCAAGGGAAAACTTTTACATCACTGACCAACCAACCCATCACCAATTTTTCTTTTGTTATTTCTCTATCTCTCTCACTCCCTCGATGTATGTATATAATTTATGCAAAATTCGTTTTGATAAAAGTTCATAGGTCTCGTATAATTTTGCTTTTCATTTTATTATATTTTGTTTCAATTCTTTGTTGTTCGTTCTTGGTTTTAGTGTGCGAGAAGGAAAACATTTCATGCACAAATATGTAACAGAATCCTTTAGTGAATTTTTAACATTCTCAGTTGTCTCACTTCGCGAATAAATATCTCAAAACATTCTCGGGAAGTTTTTCGTTGGATTTTTAAAACAGTAAAGAAGTAAAGAAAAAATCATTTCAAGTGAAGGGAAAAGATTTTTTGATATTGAACAGCGATGAATAAGTTGAAGAAGGGCGAGAACAATTCGGTGGATGTCTCGGGGGTAAAACTTCCTGGTATTCACATAAACACCATTGAATCTTAAGATTTTGCTTTTCTTCGATATGCTTTGATTGATTTCTCAAAGTCCGATGATCATACGTAGGCTGCCAGCGCGCGCCAATCGCACTGATGCTTATCACTGGATATTTAACTCTTCAGTAGTTTCATTTCTGTTGTGCTGCTTTTGTTCTTTAATGTTGTAAGGAAGGAAGGTGGACGCAAATAAAAGAGCCAGTGAAAGATGAATCCCTTTCATGTTTTCTTATCTTGCGTGGTGGTCTTTCGATTATTTATGTGAGAAACTGGATCTGACTTGCAAACGAAATCATATTTCATCTTTTATTTTTTTTATTCCATTCCTTTCTTTTCTTCATCTCTTTGCTTAATAGTCTGCTACGCTTATTGCTTTTATATCCATTTTTTTTACTTTGATTTTAATGACCTTTTGATTTCTTTGGCTCCGCGCGATGCACTCAACTTTAACCGACGGTGTGCGATATGATTTTAATTTTTTTTCAATACAAACATGACCTGTTTGCAATTCAAATCCCATTCCAATAGTTGTGTTGTGGAAAGAGAAATAATAAAAATTAAATTCCTATCAAAACCAGCATCAATAGAAGAAAAATAAAAGAATTTACATTTCTTTCATTCTTTCCTTACAGTGACAAAGAAGCAACCGTGATGCTGTCAAATTCATGGCTATATCATTATTATTCCGTGCAATCAAAAATTCAAATGGGCTTAACGTATGAGGGATCACGTCTGCCTCAAATCACTAACAATTATTACCCTTATCAACCAATCAATTCCCAACATTACACAATGCATCAAATTCATCATCAGCCATACGATCTCCAAGGTCATTCCATACATGGCCATCATTACGACTACTCCCCACCTGTTAGTAATCTTAATCTCCATAACGACATAAATCATAACAGTCCAACGATGAAAGAAACAACAGTGTTAGCGCCGGTTGATTATAGTCAACAGCATGTGACGATGGATAAAGTGTCGTCGGGCCACCACGAAAATGGGAATGGTAATCGAGACAAAGTTGACGATTATAACGAACCGATACGAAAGAAACCAGCTGATGACAAGAGTAATAAATTAGGGAATCATGATAAGAAGCTGAGTAAAGTTGATTTTAAGAGTGTACGAATATCGAATAAGAAATATACATTTAAACGAATCGAATCGCTTCACATTTCCGACAGTAATCCGGAAATGGAAGACGTTCCACCCCCACGTGCAATTGCTTATGATAATCATAGTGAACATATTTTAATGGAATCAGAACATCGAGATGGTCAAATGCTTTACTTAAACAGTGCTGTGCATTCATCGCGATCGAGAATTTCGAAAAATTTCTCATCGTCACTTCCAGCATTGCCACATAATGTTGAACCGTCGAATGAGATTGATCAATGGAATCCATCACCGACATGGTCTGAGAATAATATTCAGAAAGTTCCTGACATTATGCATCAGCAATTGAGTCCATATCTTATAACAACACCACCGACACCAATGAGTGCTTCTTACATTCCCCACGGCTCGACATTCACTTTCGATTGGGCACCTGAACATTACGTTCCAACAGTCACTGCTATGCATGATGAGAGAAACATCATGGAGTTGGCCCCAGCAACACGATGCTACTATAATCGTCCAATGACTATGATGAGTATCGACGACAGCAACAGTCATAAAGATGAAACGACCATAAGAAATTCTTGAAATTACATTTAAATAAATTCCTTCATACATTTCAATGCACTTGAAGATGACGATTTAATATTTGAAGATCTGCGAAGAAACTTTCTGCGATTTGTCCCACCATTAAATTTCCATCTCACCAACTGGTCAAGTAAAATAATAAAAAGAAAATTCTTGCAGAGATTTCGACTTAAAATTCATAAATTTACCTCACGGGAATTTAACCCCAAGCATTGAAGTGGGAAAAGAAATGCTAATCAAATTTAATCGTCGATCTTTATGCAACATTGAAATGTATGAGATTACCTAAACATGCAAATGAATTTATCGTAAATCTCAGCTTTGTTTTCCATCCTCGCGATTCTCTTGTTCAAGTACGTCACCAAATCGAGCTATGAAATGAAAGAAAACACAAAAACAAAAATGCTTTAATGGAAATTTAATAAAAGCAGCTTACATGCGATGCTTTAATTGTAGCCTTCTCCGATTCCCCTCCTTCCCTCCCCCCACATTTGTTGCCAAAAGCGTTTTTATCGTACGCCTATCAATGATCTTCTTCTTTTTCTTATTCATTTTGTATTTATTAATGTTTTATTCCTTGCTAGCAATAATCAATAGATTAAAAATCAGTTTTATGCATTTTAAATGTTTCATATCGTAGAGAAATCATATGGACTATAATTTAATGTAACTATGTAAGACGATAACCTGTTTTTTGTATCTAAAAAGAAATAATTTAATGAAAATAAAAAGAAAAGAAACAAAAAAAGTGAAAAATGTTTATTCTGTCACTTGCTTGAAGGTGCAAAAACTTTTAAATCGAGTGAAGTGCTGTTAATAAAAATGTTTAATTGGACGATGTCGATATTGCATGTTGTGTTGCCGTGTATGTTGTGTACAAACAGCTTCATGTACGCTGGTGTTGATTCCATGTCACTACACATGGTATAAATATTTACACACATCATGTAGAAACACGAAACGCATACGAAGACGGTTTGAATCAATTAAAAATAAAAGTTGAAGTCGTTATTAAGTAAGCTTCAATGTTCGTTCTTCTCTTTATTCTTCTGCGAAAATTATGATGATGGGAAAAGTTTTATGTTTATTATCTCATTTTATGACGATTCTTCATCATCAACTTGCAAAAGAAGTGTTACAAAGTTTCTTACTAACTTAAATAGAGAAAAATGTTTGAATTCATTACGACATTTAAACATGAAATCAAATTGAACATATATGCAAGCATGTTAAAGAGGTTGGTGAGAGAAGATTGTAATGACAGCTTTAGCAACCAAAACATGAAAGCAACAACGATCGGCAGAGAAGAAGGAAGAAAACATCTTTAAATTCTGCCGACAACTTTGATTCTATAATTTTCCTTTCAGCGACGATGTGAAGACGAACAAATGGGCGACGATGTGGAGTGAGAGGGCGAAGAGTCAAGTATAGAAGATAATTGAATTTCTACTTTTCTCCTCTACTTAAGCTATTAATTGGTGTATTCAATAAGTACATAGATAGAAGGTATGAGAAAAAGGCTTCACTCGCTTTGAAAAGTTTGTTGCAAACAAACTTCTATTCAATTGATATGAGAACAAAGTTACAAGCGTTAAACATATACAACATATATCTAACATTTTGACGCTTAATTTTCATCGTCATGCTGAAGTTATGCGGACTTATGTCTAGGGACTAAAGAATGAGAAAGAAAACGAATCATGATGACTACTTATTTGAAAATAAAAATGCTTTCTATCGAAACATAATAGAAGAATATTTTCGTCGAACATTATGCTATTTAATGACAAGGTATTACAACATGTATTTGCCACAACATCGCCTATAAATTATTAACTTCTGAAGATCGCCGGCGAGAGAAGCAAAATGAGTTTATTGATTTCATGAAAGCTTTATCGATTTCAATTCGATCGACATCAAGTAAGTGAACGTGTGAAAATTATGTTCGAGTACACGAGATAAATGTGATACAAATGCCGATGATATCTTTGATATTTAATTTTTTTTTGTTATTTAAATGATTTGAAAGCCCTAAGGGATAAATTTGTAGCAAATGAAAGATGAAGTTCAATTATTTCATTCCTTTCCATTGCACATATTTATCGACGAGCATTCAATAAAAACATCTTAAGCTGTTTCTTCAAAAAAAAAAAAAGAACGAAAAAAAATATGCGAGATCGAAAAGAAGAGAACGCGATGAAAAATGGGAAGCATGCGGCTATGAGTTTGTTGCAATGCATCAGGCATCAGCATTTCGAAATATCTTGAAAGCGAATTGTGAATTTATTCAAAGCTTGTTTGTTATTTTCTCAGCGACAACCAACAATAAACGTTTTGTTGATTTTCAATTAAAATTAAAAAAATATAATTTGAAAATTTCACAAGACGAAAACATGAAAAACACTTTCGTCATAACAGTTTTTAAGCTGAATAAGTTGCTGTTAAATGGAGACGAGACATTGGCCCAAAACTTTGATCAGCTTAACATCCAATAAGCGCTTTGTGAAGAATGAAGGCGAAGAAATAAAGTTCTCTTTGATTATACCGCGTTCTCCTCTTTTACTGTAATTTTCTCCCTCGTTCCGAAAAGCGACTCAAGAAAAAAAAATGAATTGTTGTTCATTGATAATAATTGTGTTTTTCTTCTTTTTTTAATTTCAATTTGATCGATTAATTGGTGTATAGAGGACGTAAATAAATAAGTATTATAAAAGTTTACAAATGATGATCGTAAATAAACGGTTGCTTAAAGAAATGAGGAAATTTCCATTGCTTAACTGCCGACAAAATTGCTAAATAAATTGTAGTGTTGGAGAATCAAATATTTACATTGTAATATTGTTTAGTTTAAAGTTTTCATGCATTGATTAAATCCCTGAAAATATTAATTTATCATCGTCATAAACTTACCGATTTCTTTCACTGATCTCTTCTCATAATTACAGTAGATTCTTGATTCAAGGAATCATTTAAAAGCTTTTCTGAAAAAAAAGTTTCTTAATAAAACTCGTTTTGATTTTGTTTTTAATAACTTTATTAATTAATTATTTATCGTACCATTACTGTGTCAAACCGTATGTTCTATATCAAGTTTGATACATTCCTATAAGCTTCAGTTCCTCAATATTCTTATCTAAAATTTTCCATTCTTTAATAATCCAAATTATTTCATTAAATTTAAAATTTTCTCTCTCTCACTTTTGTTGAAAATTTTTCTTCTAATCCAAAAAAAAATCACATTCGTCCGAATTTTTCATAAAAAATCCAATTAGATACAATTTCTGATATAAAAATATTTTTCCCTTAATTTTAATTCAGGAAGTTCATTCTACTCAGTAGCGAAATAAACTTTTCAGTAGAACATTCTCTCCACTAGACAAAAGGCCTGTTCTAGTCAGTTGCATTACAGGCTTTTTTCAGTAGATATTAAAATATGAGAGAAAGAACTTTGAGAACAGAAACAAAGATTTTTAAAATTGACTTAACATAATTAAACGAAAGAATCAGTGAAATAATTATTTATTCAAACTTATCCAATAGTATTTATTAATTATTGTAAAACTTTAGTTGATTTCATTCATTCAACGGTGATTTTGATTAAATTATTAATTATGTTCTGTTTTAATAATTTTTCCATTAGTTATGACCGAAAGTTGTTAGAACTGCTATTTTTCTGTATTTTATCCGTTTGAAAACGTAAATATTAAGAAGAGAAAACTTAAAATTGACAACACTTTTAAGCTTTTTCTTTAAGTTAATCCAACGAATTGATCTTGCAGGCCATGCCGACTTTAATCTGTCACAGAATGGCGTCAATTATAACTCACAAAACAATCATATTTGAGCCAATCAATCAGGAGACTTTCCTAAGCGTCTTTTTCAAACAAAACTTGAACTGAAAGTTTCTCAAAGTCAAGATCAAAGTCTAAATAGCAAGGCAAAGTGTCGTCGTTATTAATAATTCCTTATCTTTTGTTAATAAATTTGTGGAAAGGAGAGTAGGAAGGAAAAACAAAGCAATTAAACGAATCCAAAATTTTTAGTTTTAATTGCCATCAACAGTTTGTGACGCAAAACGGCTTTGCTTGAGTAAAGTGGGATGTAAAGTCTTGAAATGCATGTGTTAGCTGTTGGAAGATGCGCATCGTCTGCTGGACGTATTGTGACAGTTGGCATAGGCTGAAAACCTTCCTCAGATGCTGGTAATGCTGGTGAACCCGTCCAAAAGTAAATCTGTTTGAAAGAAGAAAATTTATAATTAAGCTTGATTATTTTTGAATGAAAAATTGAAATCTTACCAAATCTTGTCGCTCTAAATTCGTCATTCGCTCGACAATCTGCCATAACCATCGCTTAAATCTTTGCAATTTCTCAGCACTTTCATTCGATTCATCATTGAATGACGTGTAGTTGGATAGAACTGAAACATTGATATCACCAACACCATTCAAAAGCAGTCTCAAATCTTCAGCTGTTAACGAATCCAAAGCTGTTTCTGGTAGCACATCGAACACTCCCAATCGGAGTGCCTCCAATGATTTCTCTTGCGTCTTAATCATACGATATTCGGCATATTTTCGAACATAATCGTAAACATTTTGTTCATTCACAATAATGTCACGACCATTGTGAACCAATTCAACAGAACCGCCTCCCTCTTCTGGTCCCAAATCGATGCTGTTGTATTCAAGAAATAAAAATCAAAATGAAAAGAAAAGAATTAACAATGGAATGTTAAATATTTAATCAACAACAAAGTAAGAGAATAAAAAGAGAAAAACTCACACAAAATTAAGCTCCAACGATTGCAATAATTGCGCACCATTTTTACTTTGCGAATCTTTCACCAATTGTCGCAATGATTCATAAACAATTGGATCGAAGAATGCCAAGTCATGGAATCGAATTTGTCGTCCAAGAATATATTTCAAGACATGACGTTGTAAAAAGATTGGCAATAATTCATTTTGTAGTAAGCAAAGTCCAATTAAGCGTCCAACATTTCTAAATGCATTGATGCGTTCAAATGACGGATAACCTTGACGTGGACTGAAGAAGTTTGGCTTTCCTGGTTGATAAAACAATGGCGCATTGTCATCAATCTGACAGTCTTCAAGAACAACAATTGAATTTAATTTCTTTGCTCCTTGTTGCTGCTGCTGCTGTTGTGACGATGACGATCCTTGTTGTTGATTATTTGCTGATGCATCTGAATTTATAATATTCAAAGTAGCTGAATTTGAAATGTTTAATGAGACAGAAGCTGATGATTGTTGATTATTATTATTGCTGTTACTTCCAGAACCACCACCACCGCCGCTAGAATTTGATCCATTATTGCTTTCACGATCCATTCGATGTCTAAATGTTATCAACGCCATTGCTTCATTAGCCTTTTGTCTTAAAGTCTCATCAGATGATAACAACATAATCCACTGCGTGGGTGGCAAATCTAAAAGCATTCCAGTGATCTTTGATGCTTGTGCTGGATGAATTTGAAGAACTTTATTATATAAACGTTCGCCTAATTGTTGTTGATGACCAGACAGATGTTCATTACTTCCACCTTCACTTTGTGGTCTAAACGGTCGTGAATCATAATTTAACATCACTTTACGATTGTCCCTGTATCGCCATAAAGTTCTCTTCGTTGTTATTCGACGAATTGGTTCGCTAAGTTCTCTTGGCGGTGGATTTGATGGCGAATTTGTTGCAATTGTTACTGAAGATCCTTGACTGCCACTTCCACCACCTCCTCCTCCACTTGACGAAGCATTTCTTTGTCGAATCATTGTAGTGAATGGAACATTATATTTACTAGAACCAACTTGAGCACTTTCGAGATTCGGAAGATTTTCTCTTGACAAAAGAGCTTCAGCGATTAATGTGTAGAAGCTTCGAGCAACACCTGAACCTTCACCAGGTTCATCTTTGAATGTCACTTTAACGCGATTGAAAGCAAGTGGCGGTTGAAGTCTTCTATTGTTATTGTTGTACTGTGTGTTGAGTTCTTTGAATGTTTGCGGTATCAAACAATTCCTTGCACGATCAATCTTCGATAAAGTTAAATCTCTTTGTTGACCATTACGAAGTTTCTCCATGTGACGACGGAATTTCGCTTCCTTAACTGGAAATCCACCAAGTTCCGAAATGATACTTCCCGGCTCCATCCCAACATCTTCTTGAAAAACTCGTCCAAACAGAATCAAAGATAAACGCCAACGTCCAAGTAACAGATCGGATGTGACATTCGAACGGAAGTAAACACCACGTGGTGGTAATTCTTGCACCAATTGAGGTGGAATTGGCGTGTTTGTTGTTTCAATTGTAACATTTGCTGACACTTCTTGATTCTCGTCAATTGTTTCCATTACATTATCAATTGGAGTTGTTGAAGTCTGTGAAAGAGAAATTTATTAAATTATTCAAGTGTTCAGAATTATTGTTGTCTCCGTATCTGTCCTCAAGAAAAATTTTAATTATTTGAGGTCATCAAAGAGACTTTCCTTGTGTTGGACTTGATAATGGAACTTAAATTGATTTCTTTATAATTAAATTCGTATCTGAACAAGTCCTTTTAAAAAAAGGAAGGAAATTTAACTCACCGATGGCCCAACACGAACAATGACACTTGATTTGCTTGTTGATGATGATGAACCATGATCAGTACCTTCACCACTGCCAGACTTTCCATCATACATGAAACTATTTGGAAGATAACTCAACGGCGTTTCAGGTGTCACACAATCATTGAGATTTGTTTTCTTATTCTTTGATAAAACTGTCGCTGTTACAGCTTCAATTGCGTCAGCGACATTTCTTCTTGTTACGACAATAATTGGAGGACGAACTGATGGATCAACTTCTTGATCATTCATCTGTTGCTGTTGTTGATCATCATGTGACTTTGGAATTAATGCAAATTGTTCTGGTTGAATGTCAGTTGATTCCATTAAGCGATGTTTCTTATGAACTGGTGAACGAATTGAATTTGAGTCATTATCACTGTCATCTGAATCATCATAAGAATTATTATTGTCAGATGACTTTAATGGTGGAATTTGTGGAACATTGTCAACATCCATTTTGTTGCTTGTATGACGAAGATCCAAAGTTTGTTGTGATAAGTCTTGCGGTTCATCTTCGATACTATCGTCATCATCTTCATATTCTTCGAAATGTTTACGAACATTCGATGGACCTGGTTGCGGTGAATGTGGACGTTTAAGTGACGAGATTGTTTCTTGATCTTTTTGCTTATTTCCACCATGACTTGTTCGCATCGTCATTTGTTGTTTAGTTGTTAATGTTTCTTCAATTGTCTCACTTTGTGATTCAGTTTGTGCTGTTGGATTCACGCATGATATGACGACAGTATTTGAGGCTGTTGAAGGATTTTGTGATGATAATCCAAGTCTTATTGGTGGCAATTCTAAAGTTGATGAACCTGATTGATCGCCAGTTGGCACAGTGATTGCTTGCTTTGGCATTCCAAACAAATCTTCACGTCGTGCATTTGGTTGGAGAAGTTGAGGTTGATCGGCGAGTGGAAGAGGTTCATTCATCGGTGTGTTGAATGAATCAGGTGCCGGACATCCAAGACAAAGTGTTGATTCAGATCTTTGGAAGAATCCATGACGCTTGCCAAGCGATGGTCGGACCATGTCACTATCATCAATTGAATCCGTGTCTATAACAAGCGATGTTGTAAATTCATCATCAACATCGTCATTTTCATTATCATCTTGATCATCCCAAGCATTTGAATCATTTCGATCGCAATCCAATTCATTTGAAGCGCGCATATAGAAAATGATTGCGTCAAGAACGTACGCGACGTGACGTAACGCTGTGACGTCAAGAACTGGAAGTGAATCGCGATGTTCTGAGTTATGTGCACGCATTAGTGACAAACAATATGTTAAGAAATCTCTTCGACTTGTTGCATTGTCAGTACCACCTGTAAGAAAGAGAAAGAAAGAAACAAAAAGAGAAAGAACATTTTAGAAAAAGAAAGAAGAAATGTCGGTAAAGAAGTTTTTCGTAAATCTCTCTAAAATTTCATTCAATCATTTTTAATAAATATTAAAGAGATTTCAAAGAAAATTTCTTTTTTTTTTCTTTAAATCAATTGAAGTGATCGACAGAAAAATTATTTCCTTTTTTTTCTATTTGGACGTACCATTTGTTCGATCACGTGCGCGACTACCACTATTGAAAGTATTTAAGTTTGGCGTGAGCATTTGTATTGTGACTGTGCGGTTGGGTCTTTGTGGCGCTCCAACATCTAATTCATTCAATTTCATCATCATCATCATTAAAAATTTACATTTTATTTTATTTTACAACATTAGCAAAGCAAAATTTTGTTGCAAATTTTTGTGTTATTTTTCATTAAACATTCAAGAGAAATTAAGGAAAATTAAAATTATCATTTAACGTATCAAATTGAAGATTAATTATTTATTTAATTCGTTATCAAATAAGTTTTCGCAAATTATTGAATGGAAAAAAAGAAGAAGAAGAAAACAAAAGAAGAAAAATAAATTAAAAACCAAAAAAAAGGTAAAAATGGGAAATGATACTCACTTGAAGTTGTCGTGTTGGTTGTTGCATTTGTTGATGATGACGTTGTAGCAGTTGTTGAGTTGTTATTTGATGGATGTAATGGATGAGCTGAATCTGTTGAATCAGTTAACGAAGCACCAAAACGAAGTTGAGCTTCTGTTGCATCCATCACAGTAAGAATCCAATCCCAAGTCGGTTTAAGTCGTCGTTCGACAAACATCTGAGTGGAACGAAATATATTATTAAAAGGATATTTAATGAATAAATTGCCAATATGCTTACCTGCAACTGAACAGTCTCTTGATAAGTTCTATCACAATTATTCGATGGCGGACATGTAAACTTCCATGCTAATGTTCCAACAAGTTCACTGATTTGACGTAAAACAATTCCAAATGCACGAGCTAATGAACTTGATGTTGTTGCCATTGTTGGAGCTTCTTGTGCTGCGACAGCACTTGCTGATGTCGATCTTCTTATCGCACTAGGATCGATAAAAACGAGATTAGAAGCACCAGCTAAACGATGCAAGTTTGTTGTTCTCGTCGTGTCACGACTTCTGATCGCCCAATGTAATGAATGTGGTGGTGCGTTGCTTCTCTGTTGTCCCGACGATGTCGTGCGACGTTCCAATTGCTCATCAAGTACAAACTCTTCTGTCGATTGCTCATCACTGTCAGCATCCTCCGATCCATCTTCATCTGGTTGACTTGAATCGCCAGTATCATCTTCATTGATTAAAACGAAATTAGATAAACCTATAACATTGCACAAAATTTCATTTCCACTAAATAATGATGAAAATTATTATTCATGATAGGGGGTTGCGATAGTTTAATTAATAATAAATGAAAGTAAGAGAACATCAAGCTATCGCTACTCCCTTGTTGGAGATTATGAAACTTACCAGTGTCAGAACCGGCAGTTGCTCCTGTTTGAACACTTCGACCAGCATCTTGCGTACTTTGATTATCGTCTGAATCACTTTCAGTTTCAGCTTCTTGAAAGTTGAATTCATTGTCACTTTCAGCTTCGTGACCACCATCTTGTCCCATTTGATCATCAACAACTTCATCAGCAACGTTGTTATTATTGTTATTGTTATTATTATTGCTGATATGTTGTCGTGCATGAATAACAGATTGTGAATCGTCTTGTTCTGAAATGTCACCATCGTCATGAACCATCGCATCGGGATCATTTGCATCATCTAAATCATTTCTTAAAGCTGATGAAATGCGAGCTAAGAATCCACTGTCAGATGCTTCAGTGTCAATTCGAGATGTGACAGCGTCTTGAAGTGAACTTTGTCGTGATGCGGGAGCTAAAGGTTCAACTGAGAACAAATCATCAGCGTCTAAATTGTTGGATGATGATGGCAATTGGAATGGCGCTGTTGGTCGAACAACACCAAGTCTGACTGGAGCGATGAGAGCGTCAGCAATCTCAACCAATTCTTCAATGGCAAACTTTAAAAGTGATGTAAAAACACGTCGATATGACTGCATTAATCGAGCTTGTAATGTTGAATTCTTTTGCTTGTCTGGATTATTCGATTTCTCAATACTGAAAATAACAAAAACTCGTGCAACTGAACGAACAAATCGACGTGCAACTTTTTGAGCTTCATCAACTTTTCCAGTTCGCAATTCATTCGTCAATGTTGACAATAAAGCATCTAAAGGTTCATTAGTGCAACGGAAGAACAGAATATGTGTGAATTTATCCAACATTATTGTTCCGCTTTGTGAGTTGATGTAAAGACTTTTGCTGTCGCTGTCTTCGTAAAATACTTGACTTGTCATTTTTGAATTTAAATTGATTTCATTTTCAACTCCTGTTTGAATCATTGCACGAACAGAATTCCAATCACCAAGTAATCTTTCCAAAGCTTTTCTAGCGAATCTTGGTGGCTCTAAATCATGTTCTGGCATTTCACCTTCAGTATCAATTGATGGAGTTTTTCGATTCAAATAACTTCCTGAACTTCTTTGTTGTCCTCTTGCTGAACGATATTGACGTTGTTCAATTGATTGTCGTCCAACTGTCTGAATCAAAAACAATAGAATTGATTCACCGCGTGAATTGAATCTCATCACAAGATCTGTATCTTTAATCAACTTCTCCAAAAGTTCAGCACGTTTTGTTTGATTTCCAGCAATGAGCGCTTTGCATTTACATTTTTGCCAACAATCACAATATGCTGTCGGTGTTGTTTGTTTTAATTTGCAGTCATGACCTTTATGACAAACTTTAGCGCATTCCGTGCAGCAACACAATGACCCGCTTAATCCTTAAATAAAAGTAAGTTTTAATTAGTAAATTTTTTTCTTTCTTTCCTACCCTTTGTCATTTCAACTATATTTGAAACATTGAAACGGCTAACTTTTCAACCCCTGCCATTATATGTCAAATATTGCCACCCACAAAAAATAAAAATAAAAACTTACCACAAGTTTGACATTCAAAGATATCTTGATTTATATGATCAGCCCCGGTCCATGTAAATGAACATGTATCGTTACAACAAATCACATGAAGTGGCGATTGATCAGGTGTACAACCATTTGGAAACACCATTGAATCTCTAATTTGTGCATCGCCATTTGCAATCTTCAAAATTGTTTCAAACAACACAATTCCGGCTTGATAAGCTCGACTTGATACAGCAAGCATGAAAGGTGTTTGTCCTGTTGAATCTTTGGCACTTAAAAGTTGCCGAAGATGAGGTTGCAGTGCTGAATTTTCGCAAATCATTTGAACACTTAAAAGTGCATTTAATCGTCGTTCAGTCGGATCCGAAACATACATTTCTGTTGATTGATTTTGTGGTGGAACTTTCTGCATATGAATTCCAGATAAACTGTCTTCATCACCTGAATTTCCACCTTCGTATTCACTCGGCCAATAAGAAAGATTTATTGAATTGTCATCAGCTGATGACACAGAAACACCTGACGATGACATATGCACATCCCCAGCCAATGCTGATGTTGATGATGATCGTCGCATTAAATCTCTAATGCTACTTGATGGGCGTGATATCATTGAATTGGCAACAGCATTAATGCAATCAAGAACAACATTCGGTCCCGAATTATTCGATGATGAATTGTTAGCATTCGAAATATTTAAATCTTGATCAGAATCTTTGTTTGATGTTGGCGAACATTGTGTCACACATGCATGAAGAATATTTCTATTTCCGTCAGCAAACTCTTGTACAACAGCTGAGACTTGTGACTTTAATTCACCATTCAATTGTCCAAGGAAATATTTTATTGCATCAACATCGCATCGCATGATTTTTGGCATTAAAAGTTGTTGTTCTGTTGCCATAACGACGAGCGTAACTTGAGTTTTTGTATTGACATTTGTTGATTGAATTGTGACAGGCGTTGCAGCAACACAACTTAAAGGCGGCAAATCCATCCACAATGGATCACGAACTGCTTCAAGACAATCTTTTGCAAGCGGATAAATTGTTTTATTTCCATCACGAAGTATTAAAATACTTTCTGGCTGATCACCCGCACAAACGAGTGAAATATTTTGTGATGATTTTCCCATAAATGAGTTGATGTCAGTTGGAAAATTGCTCGACTTTCCCATTCGTCCTCCACTTAAATTAAACAACGAATAATGTAATGTCGTTCCAGTTTTCATAATCGTATGAATTCCTTTCGAATCAATAGCAAGTGTCAATAATTGTGAATGTTCATTGAGTTGAAGATTCAATACAATACGACGCGGAATCTTTTGAATGCAATCAGGAACTCTCGATGTTGCTGTTGATTTAATAATTTGCAAATCATCTTTACGTAGCAAACGACAATCTTGCCATGCATCAATTGATGATTCATCAAATTTATCTTTTGTGTTATTTGAAGGAAAACGAACAGCCGCAAATTGTCCATCAACTTTCAACACACGTCCAACTGGCACTGATCTCACATCTTCAACGAACACAACATCCTTTAAGTTCCAAAATTCTTCATCTTTCTTTCCATCTGAATCTTCTTTTTGTGTTATTCGTTTACGCTTAACACTCACCGAAGTGTCACTACAGGTTGAACTTGCTGGTGATGGCGGGGGTGGCATATCCAATCGATCAGCTGTTTCTTTATTCCCAACACTCGATGTTGATCCACTCGAGTTTGAATTCGTGTTTGTGATTCCAATCGATGATGGAATTTTCACTGTCGCTTCTTTAACTTCCAAATTTACTCCACTTGTTGATCCATTCGAGCTTGTTGATGTCAACGATGATTGTGGCATTGGAAGAATTTTAAATCGACAAATGTTCATCAAATCCCAAGCAGCATTGAGTAATTGTCCAACTTTCGGTACACCATTCGATATACAAAACCCAATAGCGCCAGGTTGATACATTGGACTATTCTTCATACAAACTTGTGCACCAACCGTAACTTCACTTGATGACGATGATGATGATTGATCTTTGTCTTTATCTTTCTTCTGAGGTTTTTTCGACTTTGCTTTATATTTCTCCCACATTTTCTTACGTTGACTAAATGGCAACACGCCCCACCAAAATAATTCACCACTTTCAGTTCGTGCGACTGTGTAAAGTGAACAAGTATGAAGTGAAGTAATTTTATCGAGTGTAAACTCAGGATAACTTGTCGCTTGATGTTCTAATTTATTTCCTGCATATCCTAATTGTTCATCCATCCAATTGGCAATTTTTCCACTTTCGGTCACAACCGAACATCGAATTGTTGTCGCTGATATATGAACAATCTTTTCATAGGTAAGTCCCAACGATTGCGTCTTTGGATGGTGAATATTTGCAAGTTCATTGTTACGATAAGGCTCACGATCAGCCCAACGCCATTGATGAAGTTCACCTTTTGTTGAAATTGCGATAAATTCTGAGTGAAGTGCAGCAATTTGAATGAAACGTGCGCCGTCTTTATCAGGCCAAAATTCAAGATCATCAGAAATCCATAATGGAAATCCAGACGATGTGTCGAGTTTATTTCGAGTTTCCTGCTCTTTTTCCCACTGAACTTCATCTCGTGTTGATTGAAACCAACGACGTGGTCCGAAATATGTTCGATCTCTCAATCTCCCAAATGTTAAACTTGCACTCGTTCCTGAACCACTTCCAGACACAACCGCACTTGTACTACTACTTGTTCCACTTGATCGCACATTTCCACTTTCATTTTGATTTGATGATGGCGCTGATGAGCTTTGCATTCGATCGCGACTACTTAACATAAGATTACGAAACGTTCTCATATCTTCTGAGAACATTGCATCGTTATCAAGTAAGAGACTCGGATCAGGATGAATTCCACTGTCGAGTAATGAAATTAAGTCTTCAGGAACATAATTGTCACTGCCTTCTTCCGTATCTTCACCTTCTTCGTCATCTCGTGACAATAAATTATTCACGGCTAAATTCACATCCAAATTGGTTCTTTGCAATTCACGAATGATGAGACTACGACTCTTGCCTTGTAACACAACCTGTGCTTGTGAAATGAGTTCTTCGGGAACAAATGTTGCTGGCACTGTCACTAAAGATCGTCCCGATGTTGTTCCACCGATTATTACTCCAGTGCTTCGTGATGTTTGTCCTCTTACAGAACTTCCACTTGTTCTCATAATTCTAGCACGAGTTGATCTTGCAAGTTGTCGTGATGACGCTTGAGCTGGCTTAGACGTTGATGAGCCGCCATTTCCACCAGTACTTCCACTATTTGTATTTCCATTACCAGCACCTGCTCCATTACTAAAAAAAACATTAAAATTCATTAAATAAATAAACAATGAAAAGAATTTAGAAAACTTACTTTTTCGTTGATGAATCGTGTTTACTTAAATCAAGACGTTCAGCGATAACTGAATAAGCAACACGAAATGCACGCCCGTCAGCTAACAAGACACCAAGATATGAATTACCAACGACAACTTGCTTTACAGGCACTTTCAATGAATGTAATGCTGGAAATGTCTGTGTTCCATATTTGTTTATTTTATCAGCGACTTCGCGTATTCTGTAATAATCAGTGGAAACCATGATGGTAAGAATAAGAATAAAAAAATTAAAGATGGATGGTGAAGCACATGTCGAAAGGAGTGAAAAAACGTTTAAAATCGCATTGTAGGTATCAGGAGAGCATTTAAAGAGCATTGAAATGATAGATAAGCCAATGTTTTATGAAGCTTTAAGGATATGATAAGGATTAAAAAGGAATTAAGGAGATTACACTGAAGATTCCATATTGTCATTAAATCACTGGAATTATATCATAATCATTCATTTCAAGAACTTTGTTCATTAAAAAACACTTAACCATGATACCCTTATATAAGCAACAACACTAGACTTGAGATAAGTTGACGTCAACACTATATTTGAAAATTTTCCACTTTCGACATTTCTGGCCATTTTGACAATTAACAAAGATGACTTATTTTTCACAAACCTGTCGTTTAATTGATCACCCTCCCCTATAGAAACGACAAAATGCAACGAAGACATTGTTTAATAATATTTTTACTATGTTTTTCTTCCACTTTTCCACTGAAATTTATTTTTTATTCTAGAGCTCACTAAAAGGAAAACAGCAAAGATTTAGCATCTATATTGTGACAGTCCCCGCTAATATTAGGAACGTTTTTGCATCTTTTAAGAAAAAAAAATAGAAAAATTTTTACCCCTTGAAGAAACAAAATCTTCGACATTACGAGATTAAATATTTAGTTTTATTCGCAAATGGAAGGAAAATAAGTTCATTTACAATTAAAAAACAAGAAGAATGGAATGCATAGCTTCACAAGTGTAAAATTATAAACGTAGGTGTTGTAAATAGAAATGAAAAAGTGAAAGAAAAATCAAGCAAAATAATTTGAATCAGAGCAAGAAATTTTAGAAATTTATTCAAATTGAGTTTGGATAACTTATTGTAAAAGATACTTCCGTTGTCCTTGACAATCATCAGCATTCTATTCAAAATATCTAATGAGATTTTAATTCAACAATTGCAGATCATTACTTCAGGACGAAATATTCTGGTGAAAATTATTTTATTCTCTAGAGATTTCATCTGAAAGATAAAGTTCAAAGCTCCAAAGCTGGAAAATTGATGGTAAGAATGTCTCACGTTTTGTTGTTTTTGTTAAATTGAAACACCATTTCACGACTGTGTCGAATTCATCAAAACAGTTTTGTCTATATTCAACCAACATCATGATTTCTTTTCTTTTTATTTTAGTCTCATGTTTAGATCTTATTTATCTCTTCTTTTTTTTTCTTTATTTTCTTTAAGAACGGGAAAAAAAAATATATTTATTTTTCTTCTCCACAATATCCTTTCATCGTATATTCAAGCACACTTGCTAACTGAAGCATGAAAATTAAATTTAAGAATGGCTCAGTTGTTAAGAAAGGCCCTTTACCGAAAAAGATTAGAAGATCTCAAGGTATTATAATTATTGATTAAACTGAAAAAATAAGTCAATTTATTTATAACTCTTTTTTTTGTATACTTATATATAATTATTTCCACTTGACTGACACAATAACGACATTAACTGTTTGTGCTTACACTAAAAACAACTTTCATCACGTGTGGATGATTTTTCCAAAATTAAACTAATTCTTAATTATTTCTTTATGGCAGTTATCAAAACGCTTGCAGAAATGGATAAAGAGAAAATCGAACAGCAACAACAACAAAGCCAACAACAAAATGCCGACACCACATCATCGAAGAATGGAAGCGGAGCTGGCGATGAGTTTCAGGATGAATTTTATACAAGTGGACGAATTGGACGACGAAATGCAATGCCGGATATATTAGGAAATAATTGTACAGCGTCATCGGGAGCAGATTTGCCACTTAAACTTAGTGCCCTTACAACCAACGGTAAATACAATTAAACTTCAACAAGTTTTTTTCTTATCAGTTAATTTTTTTCTTTCTGTTTTTGTCTTTTCTTTTTGTAGAGTCATCAACAAGTCAGAGTCAACCAATGAATGTCAATGAAACTCCAAATCAAACAAACAACAAGTAAATTTCATGCGTTTATTATAGAGCGTTGTGGAACAAAACAAAAAAGGAAAAATTAAATGAAAAAGTTTAACTCATTAAATAAGATTAAGAAAATGAATTAATTGAGCGTAGGAGAATATTGAAAAGTGAAGCCAAAGAGGCATTTTTTTGTTCTTTATTTAACTGCGTGGAAGATGAAAAATTTGATAAAATTAAGTATTTATTTAATGTTGATTGATTAAGTTAATGTCATCATGGCAAAGGTAAGAATGTCAAAGCTGATCAATGATTTGTAATTAAAATCATCAGGGTCAGAAAATCCGTCAATATTATCAACATGTCTGATAATTCAGAACTATCTTCATGTTGTCAACTCTAACATAAAAACACATAAATTATGATAAACTAATAAGTATTGTGGATAATAAAGTAACAAGAGCTGGATGAAAAGTGTGATGAAAACTGCAAACTAATGAAATGACAGTGATTTAAATTTACTATAATTATTATTTTGTAGTCTTTGTAAGATGATAACTTTAGTATTGTTTTATTATTTTTTTAATTTAAATTAAATTTTATTACCAATTTTTATGTTCATTATTTTAATTTTTCAATCATCATCATCGAGTGAAAAAGAAAAATAAAAGTTAAGCAATTAAAAGATTCCGCTGTGGTAATGTCCTATTGACTCCTGTAATTAAAATAGTTTTTCACATCAGGAGATAAATAAATAATTAAATAATTTATTTTATAACAAAAGAAGAGGAAAAGGAAGAAAAGTCTCATCATGTACACAAAGAAGCTTTATTTATGTATCTTTAGTTAAAATTGTTATTTTTGTTTTCTTTTAAGTTTCAACTTGAACAATGAAATAAAAAAAAGATGAAAATTAGCTAAGCCAATTAAAAATTTAACCAATGATTGTGTAATGAATTAAGTTTTATTTTACATTATAAAAAGGAAAGAGAGAAAATATGTTGAAATTATCATTTATACAGGGAACCAATTCAATTGGCAACTGATATAAATATTTCTAGCTTCTAGCTAAGTATAACTTAAACAAGTGTTAATTAAATAATTTATGATCGTTCAATTAAGAACCAAAAACAGCATACAGAAAAAATGTCCCATCGTTTTCCAAAATAAAAACATTTAGTTGAGTAATCAAGAAGCACGCGCGCGTAAGACAATAAAAGGCTAGTAAAGAGAGCGGCAAATACTCATAGAAAAAAGACTTTTGTTTTTAATTTAAGAATTGAATGGCAAGTAGCAACAACGAGATACATCATCGACCTTATTCACTAACCTTTGAGACTCTTTTAATTGCTAATATTAAATTATACAATTTGCTCATAGATATTTCTCTCAAATCCTTAATGAAGAATTTTTTTCAATTATGTAGACAAAAACTCACGCATACACGCAATTATATAATTAATATAAATAAATTAAATAAACCTACCGACTCAATTACACACAGGCTCTGGAAATCTCGATCAAAATATGTGAAATATTTATTTCATTTCATAGATTTGATGTATTTGAGCGTTGTCATAAGTAAATGATGAAAAGAAATCTTAAAAAGTAAAAGAAAAACATTTATAAATGTCATTTTTTTATTAACCATACGAGTACATAAGTAATTAAGTACGTATATGGATAATATTGCCGTATATAAGCACTGTACATAAGAGAATGAATATTTTTGGATTAAAGACTAACATGAAAGTATGAATAAAGCAAACAGTTTAAACATGAAAGCCGTGAAACATTTTTTCAGAATTTATTGATTTTCTGTTCTCTTCTTTTTTGGTTTTAATTACACGAGTTACTCGATTTCAGAAGGAAAAAGTTTTTAAAGAAAATCATTAAAAGTTTTATGCTTACAGCTGTCAGTATTGGAAGTTACTGATTGATTATTGATTTTTGTGGTTGCTTTGAGTTTGCTGTTCGTGCTTATTAAAGTTTCATGAGAAGGTGAATCATTCTTCAAACTTTCATATCATCACAAAATATCTTAAAACATTAATTTACTCAAAATCACATGCAATATCTCAATTGACGACACACGCCAAACTTGAAACCTTTATTTATTTATTTTTGTAAAGAATGATGAAGTTAAAAATCATCAAAATCTTAATAATCATCGTCAAGCTACAGATTGACATCGAGAAAAGAAAATAAATAAAAATCACAGTTCTTCCCTGTTTGCCTTCTGATGATCCCAATTTTTAACAAAGGCGGAAAAGAGCCACAAGAATAGTTTTGCACATTTAGTGTTCTAAATAAAAGGGTTTTTATGCTTTCTCTTTTGTACGAACGGTTACATTGTGGAATGATTGCAAATCATATTGGACAGCTATTTCAACATGTTGGTTGATGATTGGCATGGAGGCATTTGTAACATTAGATGATATTGAACCCCTCGCAATACAAATAAGATATCTGAATACAGACATTGCTGAGTTGACAAGGAAATGAACTTTCACATTGCAAAATGAATACAAAAGAAGGAGTCTTATTGGCAACATCAATCCATCATCGTCACAAATCGTCTGGTGAATTTCTTTGTGACAAATCGATATGCGTAATTTAAGAAAGTTTTGAAGAATGTCATGAGAGCCGGATATAAACATCATTAGAAATTTCTTTAAAGATGCATTTAATAAGCTAATTGAATTGAATATTTTTACCAGATGAAGATGACAAATTCTTGGACCACCGAAAGGAATATTTATGTATGAAAATATGAAAAGAAAGTTGAGATGTCATGTGAAGAAGGAAACGCGTGTGGAAGCAGTGAAAGATTGCAGAAAACTAAAAATATCCCATGACGTTGGAGAAGAAAGATTAATTAATCATTTTTTTAGTCAAGTCAAGAATGCAAATTGACTTTAGCTTCTTAGAAAATTCAAAGACGTTACGGACATTTGCATAACGAAAGTTCATTAATCATTTTCACTCCAGGTTACTATCAGTGTCAACCAGTTTAAAGCATGACAATGTCATACAAAATAACATGCAATTTACCAACAATTAAGAATGTGCCTTGTCAGGTTTTGAAAAATTATAAACATTTTCAATAAAATTCGTATCGATTTTTGATACTATCAAAAAAACAACAAAAATTTCCACGAACATAAACTAGTAACCGAGTACGTCGTAAGACATTTTGGCCCTTGAAAAGTGACTGTTAGTTAATACCTCAGTCCATTGAATGTCATGTAAGATTTCTTCAGAAAGTTTCTAATGTTTTTTGCGAGTTGGACGATGTTTAAAACAAGTCTTGGTCAGGAAATTCGTGCAATTAATGGGGAACTCACATTACCGACACATGAATTGTGAAACAGTTATGTACGATTCAATGATTTTATTTATGAAACGACATGACAGTCGTCAATATGCATTCACGATGATTCATCGAACAGTTCCAAATCCCACAAATATTCTCACCCTACAATCACAAGAATCCTTCCGCATTCAATAATATAAATTCATGAAGAGAATGAAAGATAAAAATATCTACTTAAACTTCTTTGCTATTCAATGTTGTTGTTCGAAGTGAAAAGGGTTGAAATTCCCATCACGAATCAAGTAAAAATATTCGCACATGCTTCCCCATTGAGAACAAAGCAAAAGGTAATATTCCGTTATTGCTGTGGTAACGACGATGATGTGTGTGGGTGGATAAATTAAGGAATATTGCAAATTTCGTCTTCTATTGTTCACTTTTATTATTTCAACACAACATATCATCCATGAACGCATTTTTCCATCACACAAATTGTTTTCTATTCCTTGCAACAATTGAGAGGGTTTGAATGATGTTTATGCATTGTCAGTGGTCAGTTTGTTTGTCAATTTCATGAAATCACATTCAATGTTCAATTGTGGGAAATTTTGATTAATACAAAACTTCATTATAAATAATTTAAATTTCCAGAAGCTTCACGCATTGAAATCTTTCATCTTGAAAATGTAAAATCTTGCTAAAGGTCCTTGAATGCCTTTAAAATCATTTAAAGCTTTATTTTTTTTTGGTTAATCCTTTTAATTATTATTGACCGGAGAGTGACTTTGAAACATTTTATTGTTTTATTATGTTATATAATAACAGAATTCCAATAAAAATTTATTTCGTTGGATGTCGTCACAACATTTCAAAGTCCTTTTATCTTTTTTTCTTTTTTATTTGTTCATGTCCACTTCTCAATTACCTGAAAATGTTTTCATTGTTACGAAAAACTGACCATCAGAGAATTTAAATATTTATGCTGATCGTCAACTTCAGGTACAACTCTTTGCTTACTTTGCTTTACTGTCGTAACCTGAAAGTAATTCTGTTAATTCTTTAATGAGTTGTATAGTAATTAATAATGAACTTTTCTCAGAAGGATTACTGAACGATGAAAAACTGCTTAATATTTGCACAAGCTTTAAAATAAAGCGTGGAAAATTCATCCGCAAACATCAATCAAAGTGAAGAAGAAAAGTCTTCCGATCTAACGGTAAGCTCAATACTTGATCATTCTGTTTGATTTGTGAGAAAAGAAAGGAATAAATAATTGAAACATGAGAACCGATGAAAGATGAAGTTCCCAACTTTTCTGTTGTCTTCCTGAAACTCCAAACTTTCTTTCACTGATGACACAAAGGCAGGTGTAATAAAAAATGATGAGGAAAAATATTTGCAAATCCTTTAACCCATCTTTCTCTTTATCTACCCATTTCACTGTCCTTTCTTTAGCTTCTTTCATGTCCTTTGTGTCGCATTAAAAGAAGGATTTTGTGGATAATTTAAAGGTTTTCTATTCAACTCAAAACTAGCGTGGAATTATGAAAAAATGAAAAAGTTATTGACGATGGGAACAACTGGAAATGATTGCGGGTCTTCTTTATTCATAAAGTGTTTGTCAATAAAATGTGTTTGTTAAAGGTGGATGAAGAATGAATGTTTTACTACCGGGTTACGGTTAATGGAAACATTTTTCACATGTTGCTTCTTACGGTGCTTTAAATTAGAAATCAAATGAAAAACAAATAAATTTTCATTCTTAAAAAATTCGAAAAATCTTTTTTATTTCTTATCATTTTAAAATTATTTTGTACACGTTAAATTCGATTGTGTAGTTAAAGCTAGTCAGTCTTACTTAAAATTAATGAAAGTCTCATGAAATTGTTTACAAATTTGTGTTTGCAATACCGGATTGAAACATTGTAAGTTGCTTTCTTACAGCTGCAAGTTCAAACTTTAATTCAAGATTTTCATTTCTTAAAAATTGAGCTTCAATTGCGAGTTCGTCTTCTTTAATTCGTCGTCGATCGCGAGATTTCTTAGCTGCTGCATTATTTTTCTTTCTTCTCTCGTAATAAGCCGCATCCTTCTCTTGACCACTCGAAGGTGAATTAAGAATTTTTCCGTCACTACTTGAATCGTAATTTAAATCATTATTGTTAGTCTCTTGGTTACTTCCTTTAGAATTGATTCGACGCATTTTGGGATTATTAATAACTGGATTACCACCATTCGCAGCATGTATTTGTTCAAGCATTCGTTTGCGAAATATTTTAAACTTTTCCTGTGATGTTGGATCGAGAATTGCACCAGCAGCGGCAGCAAGACTCATTCGATCACGTGGAAAAGCTTTAAAAGGTCGTGTCAGTTTACCATCACGTCCCATGACCATAATTCCGTTTTGAGATGATGGAGATTTCTGTGACGACGTTGTTGAACTTGAAGATGAAATATTTGCAGGAATGCATGGAGAATCGTTGCTTTCGTCAGCATGATGCTCGGGAATTTTCGACTGTCGGAGATGAAAGAACGGCGGTGAGTTTGTTTTGTCATCGATTGGATGTGGAGGAGAATTTTCTTCTTTGCGAAGCATTGGCGATGAGCTGAATCGTTCCATAATCTCTTGAGGTGATCGCAATGTAACTTCAGTCAGAGGGATTGCTGGTGGTGTTGAAGGATGTTCGTAATGATATTGAATTGCATGTTCGGGCGTGTATTGTGGTCTGGGAATATTTATATGACGATGAAGTAAAATCTGAGTGGCTGCATTTGGACTTCCACGTGCATCTGGTGATCCTTCTTCAAAACTTGAAGGTGAAGTTGTTTTACGCGTTTCTGTTGAATCTCTTCGTTTTGATAAATCCAGCACTTGATCAGGTTGTTGCGGCATCGGATGATGTAATTGATGATGTGGATGTAAAGGATATGGAAATGCTGATTTCATGTTACGTAACAAATTGTGAATCGATGATTCTGTTTAAAACAATATTTAATTTAATTTTTTGGTTTACTAAAAAAACTTTTTTTTAATTTTACCATTTTTTAAATCCAAAAAATATTGTCCCATCATTTTTGTTCAACTTTTATAAACTGCACAAACTTTTCTTTCTTCTTTTTCTTATCAAAACTCAAACTGGTTGTTGTTGTCAACCTAACTCTTTAACACAAAATAACCAGAAAAAAGTTTGTCCGGCAGTTCTTATACCAAAGAAGGAACAAATAAAATTGACCAATCACAGCACGAGAATTTTTTTGCAATGGAGAGAGAGAAACACAAAATGCACGCTCAGGGAGAGAGACGGGAAATTGCATTGCAAATATTTTCAAAGATTATTGACAAGAAATTAAAAATATCTTTTCATGTTATTTCATTTATTTTACTTCATTTAAAACTTTAAATTGTTAATAAATTTAATCAACAGTTCAACAGTTAAAATCTCAACTATTTGAGCGTGTAATGAGAATTTAAAAATCAAAAAGAGAACCAAAAATTTCTCATGTTTTATTTTGTGCTTCAATTCTTAATAGGAATTGCTTGCAATTTTTCTCAAAGAAGGACAAGGGTTGAAGGAACTGTTTGTAAAGAAGAGAAAGGATAAACAAAAGGAAAATTATGGGAAGACTTTATTGATGAGGTGAATAGAAGGAAAGAGTGAATGGCCATGAAGAGTTGAGCAAAACTTTTGTGACTTAATCACTGAATGTTAGCAGTTAATCTCCTAAAGCTGCAATGTCCAATATGTCATATTTCTTATGAATTTTACGACTTATTTAAGATTATGAATTTCTTTGTCCTTCAATTGTATAAAAGGGAGAGAGAAAAAAGCGATGTCATCATGAAGACGTTCGTGCAATTTTCATGTCATCTGCAATCAATATCAGTTTCCAAGGAAATCTTCACTCACCAGATCTGTTATTCAATTAAAGTTTTATCTTTTCTTCCGCATTATTTTGCTGCCATTAAGCAACGTGTCAATCCATATGTATTTCGTTAGGGGAAATTTTGCAATCATTGCTTAGGGTTCGATTTTCAATGTAAATCAAATTTCATCATGTTGAGGAAACGAGAATTTTGTCATTTTAGTTTTCCTTTTACCCTTCAACAAAATGCAATTTCACGTTGTAGAAAATGAGCGACGACAACAACATGGAGGAAGATCACGAGATGAATGAAAATGAACGTGTTGACGCGAGCCACAAGCTTAACGATACGCTCTTAATATTCTTAAGAAATATAATATTTCATTCTTTCTTAAACGTTTGAAGGAGGGGCTTTGTGGAAAGATTAACAACAGCAACATAGATTAAATGCCCACAGAATCTTTCCTTGCTCAACTTTTTTTTCAAGTATCATTGTTACCTCGATTAAAGCAATAAGAGATAAAGAAGCTCAACTTATGAAAGCATGTGTTTCTCATTCTATCTTCAAAGTTGATCTCGTTGCAATTCTAAACTCTTAATCCTTTTACCTAAAGATTCTCTCAGTTCTGTCAGGTCATAACATCTTATGCTTTACTTATGAATTGGAATTTTATAATAATCTCATAATTTATGCTTCTTCTGTCACTCAAAACATTTCATTGACAAATTTTTCACAATCATTTTTATTCTAGAAAAATGTTTAATTACGAAACATATTTCCTAATGTCACTTAATAAAGCAAGACAAGTTTGTAGGAGTTTCACTTTTAAATAACAGTTCTCAACTTGTTCAACCACTTTCGCCACCCACGCAATTCACATTTTTAAGCGCATTATAACGCAAGTTTATGTTTCGTTCATTTCATGCTTTAGAAAATTATTTAACAGTTAAGAAGACGAGTAAGGAGAAACAAACAAAATGCAAATTTCTTTATAATGTTCTTTTCTTTGGTCTTTTTGCTTTTTCTTGCAATCCTTTTCAATCTTTCTTTAGCTTTCTTATGATAAACGTCTTCTCTTAAGCAATTTCTCTGCAATTGTAAATTTCTTAGAAGGTCATCCATTTGTCCATTTATTGGTCATCAAAATACTGTCAAAGGCTTATGGAATATTATTCTCATATGCGTCAACTTCTGCTACTCAAAAAAGCATTCAGAGGCAATTTTTGTGACATTTTTTAAAAAGAAAATGTTGTGTCAATAAAATAAAGAAAGAAAATTTCTAAATAAATATTTGCGATGATGTCTTGCATTGCATTGCAAAAATAAAGCTGGAAATGAAATCCTTTCAAAACGACGACATAGATATTGGATAACGGGAAAGAAGGAAAGAAAGTCAACAAATTTCAAAGAGTTTTGATGATGTTTTTAAAGACAGCAGAAACCACTTCAACTGGCCATGTGTCGGAGATCTGTGCTCGTCACAAAGGCATCACAAGATGAACTTGAAGTGGAAACATGATGTTCGGCTTATTTCTGATGATGGCTTTAATAGCAAAAAATATTTTCAAAGGACAGTGGAAAAGTTGAAAGTTTTTTCGAGTTTTTTCAGGTTTGCGTAAGATTTCTTCTAGCAAAATTATCAAATTGGCATAAAATCTCATTAAAATCATTCCATAAAGAGAAGGAAACTTAAATTATTTAATTAAGTCATCAACAAGATGCCAAAAACAATCATCAGAGATCAGAGGATCATCCAGCACGTGCTGTGTGCCCGACGGTACTTTAAAAGGATTAAATTTTAATCGGCTTCACCAACATATTTAATAATCATAACTGATATTTAAAATACTTAAAAGCATTAAAAGAAACGAATTGAACTTCCTGCTTCCTGTGATTATCCAAAATTATGAAAATAAATATTTCTTTTCGAATTAACCATGCATGTTACCTTGCAGTATCTTCTCGGCATCTTCACATCTCATTTATTTATGTCCTTACGCATTCTCCGACTAATGAAGTGGAACATATGATTGATAATCTTTTCGTGTACAGAAGCAGCTTTATTAGTTTGAAAAACGATTCTCGTTCCATTTCTATCGACTACATTTTGCGGCATGTCTCACAAGACCCGTCCAGGCAATGACTCGACAACATTTTAAGCAAATAATTTTTGTCTAGAAATCCTTTTCACTGGTCAATGCTTTACAGATGTTTCTCGTGCTGTAAAAGGATGCAAAGAAGCTTTTATGATTCAACTGATTCCGTTGTGTGACCATTTAACGTCTCTATTTGGCACAAAATTGTGTTGGCATTGTTCAAAGATATGTTTAATAGTTTGCCAATGAAAAAGCATAAAAATTATTCTTTCAACAAAAAAGAAACAATTTATTCACTTCCCGCAAATTTCTAACATACTAAACAGAAAATTTCTTCGAAACTGATTTAGGCTTTGATGACATGAGGTAAGTCGTAAGCACCACGAACGCATTTGAGTTTAACACCAGGAACGTCTTGCAATCGACCGCAACGTACAAGCACGACGTTGTGTTCTTGAAGATTGTGACCAATTCCGGGTACATAAGCGACCATTTCCTTGCCAGTTGTGAGTCGAACTAAAACACATTTTCGATTCGCTGAGTTGGGCTTTTTGGGTTTCTTGATGAGAACTTTGAGAATGACACCTTTGGCGAATGGTTTTCCACCAAGTGGTTGGCGTGGTGGACGATCCTTGAAATGTGGACCTTTTCTGTGCATCTGTTGCAACGATGATCCCATGTTACAAGCCCTCAACGATGTCAAGGCTGTTAAAAAACATAAAATAAAAAATCAAGATAAAGTTATCTCGAAATATTTCTAACGGTCGACATGAAACAGTAAAGTTTTTAACAAGAATGATCACCGTTCAATCATTTCTTCTTCTTGCAAAACAATGATCGAATATGACAGTTTCTCATGTAAAGTTCTTTTTGTTCAGTTCTTCTTAAACAAAAAAGAAAGCTGAAAAGCAATTCAAAGGTAACAAAAAGAAATATAATGGATCGCAATTACATATTTTGACCACTGGTTGGTATTCTTTAAGGTCTGAAGATCTTGCGATTGTTTTTGTCTTCGATCCCTTTTGTGTCATCATCATGATGACGATGTGAGATTGATAACTTTTTCTTATAAATCTATTTATGATTTCAGAATGTTTTTCATCGATAATTGATTTGTTATAGGCGTTGGACATGCTTGAAACGCTAAGTTAATCTCGTCGACCACCATAAAAAGGAAATTCTGAGAAATTTTAATTTTCACACCTGCCATGCTCGCAAATTAATATTTTATTTATCTTAAATATTTTCGCAAGAATCTATTACTGACCCTTTCTATTCTTATATTCATCTTGTAAGAATCCCCTTTATGTAAAAGAAAATAAATGCAAAGAATTTTAATGGGAAAAAGGATTAAGAAAATTGAAAAATATCTTTCTTATTGTCCATTGGCGTGAAGTGCAAATTGAATCCTATTAGATGACCATTCTTGTATGAATGACAGAAATTCATTTCACACCATTTGCATGGATTTTTTTACGTGAGAAGGAACAGCAAAGAGGCTAATTGAAAGACTATTGTTGGAGAAGTTTAAGTTGAATGAAGTGAACATCTCATTGGATGCAGGTGGTTGAATTCGATGCCGCAAAGGGATTAAAACTTTCCTTGAATACGCCTTACTTACCTTCGGTTGTCAACATTTTTGTTACGGTGAATGCTTGTTTCAGAAAGTTCATCGCCGATATTTTGCTTCTTCCGGTCTTAGTAATGAAGATAAGTGACTTTCTATTATCTATAAATATAAATTGCTTAACGTTACTAAAGTACTTTTAATCTTAATTACTTACTTTATTTAATATTATGTAAAAATTTTGATCTCTTAGATTTATTTTTAGTAAAATGTGAAAATTATTCAAGTTGTTTACTTCGTATGTGATAATTACACTCTCTACCTAAAACTCGTCTCCCCAAAGTTAGTTTCAGGTGGAAAGTGTATGGAAACTGGTGCCGGAGGTTTACTTTTTTTCTAGGGTTGAAGAAGGTGAAGTGAATCGAACATTTGTGACCATGATTTTAGCCGAGACACATTGAGAAAATGTTTACCCCTTGTCAACACGGCAACCCTAATTCTACGTTGTCAAAGTTGGTAATACTTGAGGAAAAATCAATATTTTGAACCAAGACTCTTAGTTTTTCTTCGGAGTATAATATTATAATTTCGGTAGTGAAAATTAGTGAAATCAGTGAATAAAGGGTTTAGGTTCCATAAGAAGATAAAGTAAAGTGCATATTTTATGAAAGAAGTGCTCAAAATTGATTCTGAAAATTTCGCCTAAATTTTTCTAACACATTCATACGTACGCCCTCATACAGAACGACGAAGAAAAGCTTTTTACTTTCTTATTTGATCAATAAATGTTAATAGGAAAACCTTAAGCCGAACTTATAAACTTAAAGCATCTACATTGATCAGGGTTCATTGAAAATCTCAAGTTAAACAGGTTCAAGTGCTGAAATCGTGTTTTAAAAGTTTTACCGAAAGTAAAGAAAAAAAATCGATAAATCTCGGGTAGTGAAAAGTAAAAGAAAATCGTAATCATGACGGGCGATGTTGCAATGCAAACACAAGAAACAAATCAAAATGGCGATTCTAAAGTCACCAACAGCATGCTCACGAATGAGAATCGCACGAATCTCATCGTTAATTATTTGCCACAAACCATGACTGAAGAAGAAATTAAAAGCTTGTTCTCTTCAGTCGGCGAAGTTGAAAGTGTAAAATTGGTACGAGACAAGAACAGTATTCCTTTCCCCAACCCTTTAAATCCGAATGCTATGAGAGGGCAATCGCTTGGCTACGGTTTTGTTAACTACCGGCGTACGCAAGATGCAGAGCAAGCTGTAAATGTTCTCAATGGTTTGAGGCTACAAAATAAAACGATAAAAGTTTCCTTCGCACGTCCCAGCTCCGAATCAATCAAAGGTGCAAACTTGTACATCTCGGGATTACCAAAGACCATCACACAGGAAGAACTTGAAGAAATCTTCAGGCCTTTTGGTGAAATTATAACATCACGAGTTCTGACACAAGAAGGCAATGACAAACTGAAAGGAATTGGCTTCATTCGCTTTGATCAGCGTAAAGAAGCAGAACGAGCTATTGCTGCTCTCAACGGAACGACACCTAAGAATCTCACCGAACCCATCACAGTTAAGTTCTCAAACACACCGGGTCAAAATAAACAAAATCAAGCACCTGCAGTTCCAGCATTCTTAAATCCACAATTGACAAGACGTTTGGGCGCAATTCATCATCCCATCAACAAAGGTTTGGCACGTTTCTCACCAATGGGAGGTGATCTTGCAATGGATCCAACATTGATGTTACCAGCAGCAAATGGTGCATTAGCTGGTGGCTTAGCTACTGGCGGTGGCTGGTCCATATTTGTTTACAATCTTGCACCGGAAACTGAAGAAAATGCTCTTTGGCAGTTGTTTGGGCCTTTCGGAGCCGTTCAGAATGTGAAAATCATTAAGGATAATGCGACAAACCAGTGTAAAGGCTACGGCTTTGTGACAATGACGAACTATGAAGAATCCATGTTGGCTATCAGAGCGCTTAATGGATACACGTTGGGAAGTCGAGTACTACAAGTTAGCTTCAAGACAAACAAATCTAAGTAAAAAAATTCTTTTTCAATTTATATAACTTTGTGTGTTCTTTTTTTTGTCATGCAAAAGCAACAGAAAAGTATAAATATACATAGGAATAGAAAAAAAAGATGAAAAATGAAATTAATTATGTTAAACGGCAGGAAGGAAGAACATAAAGCATAATTCAAAGTGATATATTTATTTTTCTTTTGATTTTGGATACAAATATAATCGAATATTTTATTTAATTGTTTATTTCCTTACTCTTCTTTTTTTCTTCATTTTTACAGTCAGTTGTTACAAAATTGAATTCTCCACACACTCGCACATAAAAAATACGAGAATAAGCCCGATGAAAATAACTTATAATTTGTCTAAAATGTAATCCCCCCATTGATGATGCTAATGAGTGAGACACGAATGATATAATTAAAGAAAAAAATATTTAACTAAAGAGAGATGAAAATGTTGCATTGCGCAGATCATGATGAACAGTGAAGCCCGTGGAGTGCATCGCTTATATTCAATTAGTAGACGAATGTTAATTTTGGGTCAATCTCAGCAGTCGTGAGGCTTCACTGTAGTTATGGATGGGGGATGATGATCTATCGAGTGATGACAACATTAAATTAACTAAATTTCCTTTTTATCAATATTATGAATCAAACAAATTTTAAAAGTCGACAAACTCACTCACTCATTCTTCATCCCCCACCTACTACTTATCTAAACAAACAATTTCTTTAAGTAAGATTTCTTTTTGTTTGTTGTCATAAGAAAGAAAAGAAAAAAAATAATCCAAAAGTACAGTCATTTGTCAGTAGGAAGGAAATCTTTTATATATATTTAAAATCCATTGTCTAATATTATTATTATTATTATTATGATATAAAGTAGAAAAAGAATCGAGTATCATCATATACAGTATCACATACATTTTAAGAATTGAAAGAATTGAATAATGAAAGAAGAAAAAAATGCATTAATAATACAATTTTAATCAGAATGGGAAGTTTATGCACGTTGTGAACATGGACAGAAAGCATAAATCAGGTTTATTTCATCGTCATTGACATCGTAGTAAAATAGCGTGCATGAAATGACGACAAGGAAAAAGAAGAGCGAAATACAAGGGCGAGAAAGAGAGAATGTCTATGTGTGCTTGAAGTCAAGGGAGAGACGCGAATGTAACAGACAGAGATCGTGGAAAGGATCAATGACCTTTTCCTAGATACCCAATTTTCATTTTTAGTTCTGTTTTTGCAACATAAAAAGCAGTCACAAATACTGAAACAGCAGTTAGCGCTGCAACGTTGTGAAACATCAAATATCTAGGGGTTGATTTTCCTTTCAATACAAAAATTTTCGTGTTCATTCACCCTCTGATAGTTCTCTACACATTGAATAATTTTTCTCCCTGAGAAATGATTCAAAAGAATTCAACTTGCTTATATCACGCTCACTCACACACCTTACTACATTTATTCTGTCAAAGTGGTGGTAGTGCAGTGTAAAATTATGAATCGTGAAAAGCGTGTAGGAAAAATAATTTTTTTTTTTCAAAATCTTTATAATGAAAAATATTTTTAATCGTTCGTCACATGTAAGAACGCGATTTGCGAAGAAATTGAAGATGAAATCTGACTTGATTTATTTATTTTCTGTTCACTTTTTAAAGCCAGTTTCCTTCCTTTATGATTCATTCATTCACCAACTTTAAACAAAATCATGATGAATTTTTCGTTTCTGTCGATATTTTTAAAATTCATTCATTTCATGTTTACCCTGGCAATGGGGATGTTGGCTGTAGTAGTGATAATTGAAAAAAAAAACTGAGTATTGATGAAGGAACATTTAAATGCATAAGCAAAGATTATTATTGCAACGCAACCCTCGATAAATAAAATTACATGAAAGCAACCCATTACTGTACAATGCATAATGATGATAAAAATTGCAGAACAAGCGAGTTGAAAATGGAAGTCTAGTCAAAATCTTAGAATTAGAAGCTATAAAGTTATGATTTTTTTTCTGCTCAATAATGTAGTTATTGAAACATTTTTCACATACATATTTGTTTACTTATCTATTTACATATATACATCAAGGTAAAAATCATTTGGCATAACCAGAAATAAAGCTTTGCTTTGCTTTACTTCACCAACTGTTCATGTCATTTGCATATTTTAAGTAATTTATGTTCATTTCGTGAAAGAGAACAAGCTGATATTTCTTTAATATTAACTAAATATTCGTTGGCTAACACATGCCACTTTTACTTAAAATATTCCATAAGGTGATTAGAACAAAGGAAAATAAGAGAAATAATGATATTAATTTAATGAATGGTATTAAAAAAAAAGTCATCGAATCAAATTCTTACTTAGTCATAAAATTGTGAATGAAAATATGATACAAAACAAAAAATACTAACAAAAGTAAACTGAAGAAATTGAAACCAATGACATTTAATTGCAGTGCAAAAATTAAACAAGAAGCCATAATAAGTTATGATAAGATGTTACTCTCGGCACAGGCTATTTCAGTGAAATGCGTTTGCGTGCAAAAGAAATGAAAACAAAACAAAAGTTTGATGTCTTTTTTTTATCTAAACAATAATTTAGTTTGATTGTTTGTGTTTTTTTTAAAAAAAATTATTCATTGTCTCCAGAAACGCATTCCACGTGACGTAAGTACTTATTTCTTGAATTAGTTGTCAAACAATCAAACAACAACATCACGACTCTCGTGAATTCGCGTAATTTATTAATTAAACGAAACAAAATGATCTCAGAATGGATTAAAAAAAATAGAAAAACTTTAAGGGAATCAATTTAATGACGGTGAATTAGTTTAACATTAATTTATGATTCCACATGTTTATTTCTATTCAAATTTATGTTTCACTCTTTTCCAATGAACAACATGAGAATCATTTTCCTAATTTAAGTCGTAGCATAAATTATACAAAATGATTGCCGTGATAAATTGAGGCTGGAATCATTAGACAGAGAAATCTCAGAAACATGTTTTCTTTTGAGACATTGTTTCACCCACACATTTTATTTATTTAAAACTCTCAAGAATGGAAAGTTTTTCCATGAAACGCAAAAAGTTTTCCATCATCAACTGAAGAAAAAAACATTAACAAAAATGCTAGTCGAAAGAAAAATGTGCAATTTATTTAAAAGAGAAAAAAGAAATGTTTTGATGAATCAATTAGATATTAAAAAGCTTTCTTCTCGTATTATTTATTAAATAATTAAAAGATGTGGAATAGCAATTCAGGTTTGGTTGATTGAGTTAGTGAACGATGATCTGCGAGGAAAATTTAATTATAAATCAGCACATTGAACAGAATTTCTCATAGTCTGTAGAATTTTCTTCGAAAAAAATCTTTTTATGTGTTTTTATTAAAAACTTTTCCTCTATCTCGTATCATCATGTTTCTTGTCTAATACACAACATAATAAAAGTTCTCTTCAAAACTATGTAAAGCTCACAACAACCGACAATGTCGTCAAACACGGAAAGGAAATAAATTCTTTTTGATTTCCTTATCGTCGCCTGACATTTGTCTGCTGCGCTTGGTAACATCATCCGTTCATTTGACGTTTATTATTTTTGATTTCTTTAGTTTATTTTTATAATTTTCACAATTTTATTATTTTTAGAAAACGAAAAGATTCCAATGAAATGAAATTTCATTTTATTTATGATTTCTATTTCGCAAGCCATGTTAAGTCGCAAGACTCCACTCGGTTTGTAAAATCTTTAAGTTGTTTTTTTTACTCCTCGTCATCAAGCTTTTATTATTATTATTATTTCTTTTTATTTTTCTTGTCATCACTCTGACGAATATTTTGTTTTAACATCAAAAATCTTTTGAACATGAAATGGAAAATGTTTTTCCACCATTTCATTATTTTTTTTTATTATTTTGTGTTTTGTATTTAAAAGCAAACAAAGAAAGTCGAATTGCAGGCAATGAAATGAAACAAGCACATGAAGTAAAATCCAATAACTTTTAACCAAACCAAAAGCTTGGAAAAATATCTAAAAATCATATAAATCTTCACAACATTAAATGCATATTTATTAAGAACTCTTAAAAATATTTCTGAACAAATCTTTGAATGTTCTTCATCAAGAAAATAATAAATTAAAGAAGGAAAATGAATCACAAGCAACAAAACTAAGAATATAAAAATGTTTTATAAGAATTATCTCGAAATAAACTTTTGCAACCAAGTATTCAAAAAAAAAATTTATAAGATGAAAAAATTAGGTGATAAGAAGAAACTCATTAAATGAAGCAAAGAAATCGCCACCAATTTGCAAATATTTTTCATTTTCTAAAATAATTGTAGCTGAAAAGATTTAAAAAGAGGTTTTTACCTGTAGATTTTCATTAGTTTTTCTTTCTTAAAGTTCGTGTGTTTCTTTGTTTAATACAATTAAGATTTTTTCTCTTTCTTTTGTTTCATTTTTCCTTTCGTGTATTTAATATTTGTGTAACTTTATAATAAATTATGCTGGATAATTATACCTTTATGATTAAATTTAATGAATTTACAAAGCATAATATTTGAGGTGTGCCATCTTAATCGTAGTGTGAATTTTAAAGGAAGTTTCGAATGTGAGTGGCGCTTTCATTTCAAAAGCAAACTTTTCCTTAAGTTGCATGAAACTCGTAATTATCAAAGGCTTCGAGATTCGAGATTGAAATGAAATTTAACCACACATGTTTGTATCCACAACGCACCTTTAATTTATTTATTCATTTATTCTTCATTTTAGCATAAGTTTTGCAGCTTTCTGTTTTATGCAAATTTAAAAGCTTTGCTTTCTCAAAGGCAGTTTTATTCCCAATCCTTACTACTTTTATGTACTATCTACTTTATCATAAATTTCAAGATATAAGAAGAACGAAGAAATTAAAAGAAAAATATTTCAAACATTTAATAATATATTTATAATTAAAGGATAAACTTGATGTAATTTGATGTAGAATTGTATTAGTTGAACGATATGTTCAAACAATGAAAAGAAAAATAAGCAGATGAGAAACTACAGAAATATTTCCAGCTTTAATTATCTTATAATTTTCCACTTTTCTTTCCTTCCCCCCTTTCCCCTCTCATTACTATAACAATTTGCAATATATTTTATTTTTCAAGAATAACCCCGTGAGTTCTTTTAATTTTAACATTAACCAGCATCATCACAAAACATCAGAGAACCATAATTTGGAAAATTTTATATTTATGTTTATGTAAACTATTTATTATAGTTCAAAAAAAAGCGCATAACATAATAACGTTGAGATGATATAAAAATGTATGATTTTATGTTTATGATTCTATATAATAAAGTAAATATAACTTATTCTATGATTGTAACTTATGATTTTTTCTTTCTTGGTTTTTTGTTTTATTTATTCTTCTAATCAATCAAGTTCTTAAGTTTTTTCAGTACGTAATATTGGTATTTTTAACATTTCAGGTAATTAACAAGATGGTGAAGTTTTCTTTTCTTTTATAATTTTCCTACCTTCTTCCTTAAAGCAATAAGTAAATGGTTGTCTTCCTTGCTAAAACAAAATCTTCATTTCATTTGTTGTATTTAATACTTTTTTCAGTTCAATAACTCACTTTATTGCTAATCGTAATAATTAATTAATTAATTAATCAACTGCAAAGCCAATCTCGTAACTATAATGAAATCCTTAAATTATCATTTCATTTTTAATACAATTAAAATCAAATTGTGTTTTTTATCTCAATTTCATTTCTTATCATAAATCAATTAAATTATACAAAAAAAGAAAAGTAATGAGAAAAAAAGTATTGCAAATTTGGTTGAGACTTAATATTTTGTGAAAAGAGATAAGAAAATGGTTTATATGATGAACTCTTCTACTTAATCGTAAAAAGAAAACGAAGCAAATGCTAGTTAAAAGTCCTTCCATATTTATTGAAAGCTCTAGTCTAATAATGATATATTTAAGGATAAGACAAAAACATAATTAAACAATGAATTTTTTTAAAAATTATCATAAAAAAGAAAAGCAAGAAAGAAGCTTAAAAAAATTTAATATAGCAATTATACACCCACACACAAACATTCACTCAAAGAAAATCATTTTGGAATCAAAAAAGGAAACATGAAAACATAAAAACTTCATCTTTATTTCTTGCCATCTTTCTCTCTTCGTCGTAAGATGTCTTCGAGATGAAATTGACAGCGCAAAACACGCTACAAAATTTCTCAACAATCGCACAAAGGTTTTGTTAACGACTTACCGATGAGTATTTAATTTAAGTTTTTGACTGATAATAACAATAAAACAAAAAGAGAGAAACCATATTTTGAGTGAAATCCAAGTAAGAAGACTTAAGTTCTGACAAATATCAAATTTTCCTAGAAAGCAATAAGAAAAATTTTTAGTCATTCCTTTCATTGAACTTTTTTTTTTCATTTATTTATTTAATGAATGGAGATAGATATTTAAAAACTATTTATAGGTGAAAATCATAATAAAAATTATGAGTTAAGCGTTAATTGTACAAAAACAAATAAACCTACTTAGTCACTTTGTCGTTTGATTTCATTCGTTCTTATAAATTTCTTTCGTGTTTCGTTTATTCTTAGGCAAGTTTCTTTTACAATTTCAGTTTCTGCTTTTCTTCCCTTTTATCAATAAATAATTTCACAAGCATTTTATCCGAAACAACAAAATAAACAAACATACAAATATTTCCTCCACCAAAGGATCTAATTGAGAAGAGTTTCTGTTGTGACATAATTTCATTCTTTAATCAGTTAAATACATATCTTGAGTTATACCAAAGTTCTTTATCAAATTTTAAACCGCAATTCAGATGTGATAATCATTAAAGTACAAAAATTGTATTATTTCCTTCATTTAAGTATAGGTAAGTAATTTTTTTATTAATTATCTGTTTCATTGATTACAATCAAAAAAAGAAGAATATTTCCACTTGATTATATGTTATCTCTAATTATGATTATTGCTGCATAATTTCCTGATTTCTTTTTCTTTTCTTATTTTTCAGGACAAAAAATATAGCAAAATGTAATACACAAAAAAGTTTCTTCTTCATTTCCATTTTTCTTCAATTAAAATTGGTTTTAAAAATTTTTTCATTTGACATCAATGATCATTGATCATAGGCCTCTTCTTTCTTCAGTATGATTCACCTTTAATTTTCCATTTAACGCCAACATTTTTGAGTTTTAATCGTAGCTTCAATAATGATGATAATGTCAGGTGATATTAAGCATAGGAAACATAAGACTGATTACCAAATATATTTTGTATGAAATTAATTTAAGTTAAAAATGAAATAAAAAAAATGATGAAATGTTGTTGTTTTGTACTATTCAAAGCTTCTTTCTATTATAAATGAATAATTAAAAAATCCCATTGGTCACGATGATTAATAAAAGAAAAATAAAGAAAGGTGAGTTTTGTTTCGTGGTTTCATTGTTAATGTTATTGTTGAGACATGGAACCGGCAGCAATTTCAATCAAATGTGACAGCATAAAACAATAAAACACAAAGAAGAATAATCATAAACAAACATTCAACAACAAATTTATTTTAAAATGATTTCCAAATTTTCAGAGAAATTGTTTAATTGATTGAAGCATTAAATATTTAAAATTTGAGCTGGGAAATTCCTTGAAAAGACTTTCCATTCATTCATTTTCCTTTTGGGCTGTATACGTTTTGTAAGAGAGAAAAGTAGGATCCGGTTGATGTCACGATCTGTAATTAACATAATCAACATTAAAGTTAGTCATAAATAATTAATTAGTTTCATCTCACAGTTGTAAAAGTTGGCAATGAAATGTCTACGAATCCCATTGCTGTGAGTTTCTTGCTATTCTGCGCTCTCATCATAACCAACAGCAATTTCTTTTTCAGTGACTTGTCCTTAAATTCTTCCCAACCACATTCATAAACACCACTGGCAACATCTGAACTTGAATCCAATATTTTCTGTCCATAGAAACAAAGCAACAGAACTTGACCTCCCACCATTGCTATTGTTGAAGCGTAAAAACCGATATCACCACCTGTAGATATTTGGAAAGCTAAAAAGCACATCATCAATGAACTTGTTAAGAAATTGTATAAAAGAAAGAATCCATAAATTGATTGAAGATCGTCAGCAAGTTCCAACAATTTGTTGTGTGTTGCAATCAACTCGTTAATTTTCTTATTTCTTTCATCATCCGTTAAAAACTTTAATTGAGTGAAATCAATCTTCAAAATGTTGAATTCCATAGCAACAACTGTCATCAATGCATAGAGTAATGAATCTGTTCCCATCATGTAAATTATAGTGTAAATAGCAAACAAAAATAAAAATAATGAAGTGGGAAGGAAATTTTCGGGTGCGTGGGAATCGTAGGGAGTCCAATGGTTGATCTGAAAGCTTATTGTTCCGTTGATTAAGAATTGGATCATAGGAAAGCCAATAGGTGCCATCACACCCACCATAACTATGACATACGTTGTGATAAAACGCAAATATTCTTTCAAATTCTCCTTCACAAATTTCTTAAATTTACTTTCCCGATTCAACTCGAGGGATTTCAATTCGTTGCAAATCATCCAAACTTTTTGTTTACTGAATAAAATCACAATAATTCGCACTGCGATTAAAAGTTCCGTAAAAATAATTGGAACATTTGCTGAAGCTTCCAGAAAATCTGACGCATCAAGCAAAGAGAAAAGTGTTAAGCTTGATATTATCAATCCGTTGCCAAACAAAGTTATTATTGATAAAGTTATCCTTGCAGCGTAAATGATTTTCTTCACGAAAGATGAAGCTTCATCAAGTGGACGGNTTATTTAATTTCGTATGGTAAGATTTGATTAAAGGGTTGATTTTTAATTGAATTATTCAAGTCGATATGTGAAGCAAACCTCGAGTCAAAATTATCATCATCATCAGAGTAGGGCGTGCACGCCCGTACACTAAAGCGATTAAGAAAACAGGAAAATAAATTCCATCTTGTTTCGCTCCACTTGAATGAGGAGAGTTTCACTTTCGGTAGCGTTCCTGAATAAATCTTCATTGTTCACATTTAACAAATTTTATTTTTTATCAAACTTGATACAATGAAACATTTAAGTTTATTATATTTCAATGAAAACTTCTACTTTAAATTAAACAGGGGCTACTTCATCTAAACTTCTGAAAAACTCAGCCCATGTGATCGCCACCGAGAATTGAACAAGGATCGCACCGATTCAGTCATCGATACGCATTCTGATACAAATTCGATGCACAGACACTTAGGCTGATGAATCAAATTTGTTCCCTTCGAGTTATTATTAAACTAAAAGCAAATCAAATTTTGAAGGTTTCATCTACTATTAATTATTCGTGTAATGCTTAGGTTCGTTAGCTTTCAGTGCTACTTAGCAAAATTTTTTAAAGGAAACTATCTTCATATTACATACATATACATAGGTCATGATGATTAATAAAAGAAACATAAAGAAAGGTAAGTTTTGTTTCGTGGTTTCATTGTTAATGCTATTTTTGAGATATGGAACCGGCAGCAATTGCAATCAAATGTGACAACACAAAGCAGAACGATCGTAAACATTCAACATCAAATTTATTTTAAAATATTTTCATTCTTTTTTCAGATTTTCGAAAGAATGAAATTTTCAGAGAAATTGTTTGATTGATTAAAGCATTAAATATTTAAAAGCTGAGCTGGGAAATTCCTTGAAAAGACTTTCCATTCATTCATTTTCCTTTTGGGCTGTATACGTTTTGTAAGAGAGAAAAGTAGGATCCGGTTGATGTCACGATCTGTAATTAACATAATCAACATTAAAGTTAGTCATAAATAATTAATTAATTTCATCTCACAGTTGTAAAAGTTCTCAGTGAAATGTCTACGTATCCCATTGCTGTGAGTTTCTTGCTATTCTGCGCTCTCATCATTACCAACAGCAATTTCTTTTTCAGTGACTTGTCCTTAAATTCTTCCCAACCACATTCATAAACCCCACTGGCAACATCTGAACTTGAATCCAATATTTTCTGTCCATAGAAACAAAGCAACAGAACTTGACCTCCCACCATTGCTATTGTTGAAGCGTAAAAACCGATATCACCACCTGTAGATATTTGGAAAGCTAAAAAGCACATCATCAATGAACTTGTTAAGAAATTGTATAAAAGAAAGAATCCATAAATTGATTGAAGATCGTCAGCAAGTTCCAACAATTTGTTGTGTGTTGCAATCAACTCGTTAATTTTCTTATTTCTTTCATCATTCGTTAAAGACTTTAATTGAGTGAAATCAATCTTCAAAATGTTGAATTCCATCGCAACAACTGTCATCAACGAATAAAGTAACGAATCTGTTCCCATCATGTAGAACATGCAATTTATTGCAAACACAAATATAAATAATGACGTTGGAAGGAAGTTTCCGGGTGTGTGGGAATCGTAGGGAGTCCAATGGTTGATCTGAAAGCTTATTGTTCCGTTGATTAAGAATTGGATCATAGGAAAGCCAATAGGTGCCATCACACCCACCATAACTATGACATACGTTGTGATAAAACGCAAATATTCTTTCAAATTCTCCTTCACAAATTTCTTAAATTTACTTTCCCGATTCAACTCGAGGGATTTCAATTCGTTGCAAATCATCCAAACTTTTTGTTTACTGAATAAAATCACAATAATTCGCACTGCGATTAAAAGTTCCGTAAAAACAAAAGGAACATTTGCTGAAGCTTCCAAAATGTCTGACGCATCAAGCAAAGAGAAAAGTGTTAAACTCGTCACTATTAATCCGTTACCAAATAAAGTTATTATTGATAAAATTATCCTTGCAGCGTAAACGATTTTCTTCACGAAAGATGAAGCTTCATCAAGTGGACGGTAAGTGAAGAAAACCAACTTGAAACAAATGTTTGAAAATTTTACAAAAGATTCAAAGTTTATCTTGTCTTCACTTGGATTCAACCATCGAAGGTTCACCATTTTGATATGAAATGAATAGTTTGAGCAGAACTAATGAGTGACAAAAGCTTGACTTTCTTTTTTATAATCGAATTAATTGAATTCAACAATTCTTGATTTCTTTCTTCAAATTATAAGCTTCAACGCCCACAATGATCAAATTCCCTTGATAAATTATTTAATTTTGTACGGTAAGATTTGATTAAAGGGTTGATTTTTAATTGAATTATTCAAGTCGATATGTGAAGCAAACCTCGAGTCGAAAATAAATTAGAAGCAAATCAAATTTTGAAGGTTTCATCTACACTTAATTATTCGTTTATTGCTTAGGTTCGTTAGCTTTCAACGCTTTTTAGCAAAATCTGTTAGGGGAAATTATCTTCAAATTACTTATTAAAAGTTTAAACTAGACGTTGATGTATCAAAGAGAGGCTTAAAATTAGCGAGATTTGTTTCAACGTTTTGAGAATAAGAAACATTCAGAGAGACGTTTGTCATTGTGATCTTCTACCTAATTATGTCTCTCTGTGCTGCGATTTCAGTTGATCCGTGTTCTCTAGAGTGTTGAGTCGTAGAAAGAAAAGAAGTGACGAAAAAAAATTAAAATTCTTTTAATAAATAAACAAAAAAATAACGAAGCGATAATGTGGTTTGAGTTTGTATTCGTTTTCACATTAACTTTTAATGTTATTTCTTATCCTTATGCTCCAGATGGAAATTATCAAGGTAAATAAGTCGATGTTGTTACGAGTGTAAAGCAATTAAATAAATTTATGTTTTCAGTTGTTTTATCACGAACACGAGGCAATACTTTAGTTGAAAATGGTTTAGTTTATGCCACGCCAAAAACCAAATCTGGCATTAGTTATCAGATTGATGACGATCATATTCCCAACTATACGCAGCGTAAGTTTAATTACTTATTAAATTCTTAGCATATGTCTTGTCTCTCTCACTCTCTCTCTCCCTCTCTATCTTAAAGTCTTAACTTCAAAGACCTTAAACAAACCTGAAAAACATGTTTTTTGTTGTCGTTTTTTTCGGGGGAAATACGGCGAACTTATTCGCGCTTACTTTCAACAAAATAATTTATTTTATAATTGTTTCTTAGAGCCACCACACGCCGGAGATTATCTGCATAGTAGAAGAAATCAAATTTTAAGAAGACCTCAAACTGTGGACAGTAACGGAATGGTTTACCCGTCTACCGGACATGGAGTGACAATCTTTAGACCAGGAGGTTTTCATTATAGCAGTCATTCTCAAGCAGCAATATTTAATCAAGGAAATCCAGGATGGAAACCAAATGCTGGTCATGCTGTTTATACCGTCCATTCAACTCCACCACCATTCGGTGTCTATCAAAATGCCGGCTATAGACCAACAATTAAAAATGATTCATCCTATCGACCGAAATCAACAACAACATCAACAACAAAGACATTTAGTCATCATTCGTCAGAAAAACCACAACAACATCAATATCAATATCAATCACAATCGCAACATAATCAACAACAAGAGCAACATCATTATCAATCGCAACATAATAAACAACAAGAACAACATCAATATCAATCACAATCACAGCCTAATAATCAACAAGAACAACATCAATATCAAGAACCAGAATTAAAGCCAATTTTCACTTCAGTTCAAAAGGTTGAAGAAGGCGAACAATTGATAGAAGATTCTGTCGTGTCTTTTCCACCTGACTTAAGTGGCATTAAAGCAGATGATGAACTTCCACCTAGTTCAACTGGCTTACCAGTGCTTTATCATACATTAGATGAGAATCCAATTTTAAATCCAGTTGAAAAGATCGCAATATCGATTGAACTTCCAACGTTTAATTATAACAGCACAGATGATGGTAAGGAAATGATTCGGTCAAGAATGTTTGAAACATTTTCAATTTTATTTGTAGACACAACTCGTGCGCCACTCAAGAGACCAACATTGACAACATCGTCAACAACCACTTCAACCACAACTTCAACAGAACTTCCAGAAACTGAAGAAACTGAAGAAGATATTAAGCCAAGATAAATATTCTTGGAATTTTAATTCTTAAGACTTAATTCAATGAGGTTTTTCCACATACATCATACAGGTGCTGATGGGACAAACCCAAAGATTTCGTGCATTTATTTTGACATATTTTACGTTGTGTTATCATTTTATGTAAATCAAGAAGAAAATGTCCAAAGAAATCTTTAAAATGAATGGAACAAATTACAAAACAATGATTGAATACATTTTTTAAATTCTTTATTTATTCATACTCTACATTGTTTTAGTATTTTCTTTTTTTTTAGTGTAAGTTTCTCTTTTTCGTCATCAAACTATTTAATCAACTAGAACCGTTTTTTTCTTTTTTTCATCTTAAAACTCTCTTCATAATTTTCCTTTTTTTTACTTTAATTAATCCAAAAATTTTCGCGTTTAAATAACTCAAGAAGAAATTTTTTTAATTCATTTTAATATGGCAAGATCTAAAGGACAAGACATTCTTTTCTTTAAAAAAAAGTTAATAAACATCTTTCATTTCGCTGTTTAGCAATTTTTTTTTTCAGAGCATTCCTAACTAAATATTCCTAATATCATAGCATTCAACATTACTCGTTCATTTGTGTGATGTTTCTCGAATAAAGAATAAAATAAAACAAAAAGTTGTGATGTTTAATTATTAAAAAATACGAATAAATAATTTTAAATGACGATAGAAAAACAATTTTAAATTAAACGATACAAAAATAAGTAAAATTTTGTAAGCGTGCCGTTGGTTAGTAGAGAAAGGATAAAGTCAGAAAAGCAGAACTTGATCCAAAGTTTGTGTCTTCGCTTAAGCCAGGATTTCTTCCTTTCAATTCAAATTGCGTACTTTCCGATGAAAATAAAAAGCGAATCGAGTTCAACTTTCCTTTCTTCTTTTAAATACAACATAAAAAAAATTGACAGAAAGAAAATCTTAATTCCAAAAATAAATAAAAGCTTCAGGATATTTTAACTCCTACGCCATACATAAATTAAGTTTCGTATTAAGCATGCGATCTTCAATTCTTAAAGAGAAAAAAGGTTTTAGAATGTTATTTTCTTCTTTACATTTTTTCTCGAGCTTTGCTCGTTGCTTTCTTATGACTTATTAACTAAAAAAAATATATACGAGGACGAGAAATAAACCAAGATTAGTGTTACATAGTAACGAGGAAAAATTATTTTAAAAAATACTTTGCAGAATATTCAAAGCAGCTTAGAACTGTTGCAAGAAACATTTCGAAATAAAAGTTTCTTGAAGTCAAAGTTAAAAAAAATATTAATTAAAATCGAATAATATCAGTCTAATCGCGCGTGTGTGTGTGTATGTGTGTGTTAATTGTTTTCGTTTTTCATATGCATTAGCTGTCAATGAATTAATTCATATATTTTCTGCAGCGTTTTGCACCACAACAGCATGGAATTTTGTTGTCTTCAATGTCAAATTTGTAGTCGTAGGTCAACTCTTCGCCAGTCACAATACGTCGCAATGCAAATATTATAATATGTTTACGACCGAGAATGTCAACAACTTTTGAGTAGCAATTTGGCTGGAAAGGAATCAAAATGATTGCAAGAAATTAATTTTAATTAAATTAACTTACATCACACGAATGATTGATAAATCTAGCTGCAGTTCCACTCATTGTCGCATCAACAACCAAATTATCGTCAATCTTAAACATGTAGCAACCAATTCCTTTGCTATCATAATATCTTTCTCGTTTATCTGTCAATGTTGATCTGATAAGTTCCCCAGCGTATTCTATCACCATTTCACCTTTAAAAATTAAACATTTTAAATCATTGTCGAGTTAATTAACAATAATAATTGTAGCAACTTACCAGCTTCAATGTCTCGAGTACAGAAAAGACCTCGTCCATGAATGTGAGATCGATAAACTCCAACACTCTTTTTGTAACTTTCCTTCAACGTTCGATATTTCATAGCCATTGGAAGATTACTTCCTGTGCCTCGCCTTCAACATACAAAAGTAAGTGAGTTGAGTAAATAAAAGAACTTTCACTTAAACTCACCTTAAAATCACTTCATCATTGTTACTTTGAAGATGAACTGGCATTGGCGCTAAACGATGTCGTGACGCAAGCCAACTAAACATGTCATATTCAGATCTTGTACTGAAAGGCTCAAATCTTGCACAACCGTAAAAGTTCTCGTAAACAATCTCATCGGACTCACTCATGTATTGATTAAGTGATGTTAATGAGGTCGACATGGACGAATTGGAAGACAGATTAGAAGCATTTGATGAGAAGGAACTGCTGCCATAAAGGCCACTCATGCTTGAACAATTTCCGTTCATTGATGAGAATGATGAAGTCTGTTGATTATTTTTTTACATTTTAATTGGCTTATTAGAGCGAAAAGTTGAGATTTAAAAAACTTACCGAAGTTGATGATGCTGATGAATTTCTTCGATGATATTTCGGTGAATAACGAGAACATTTCTCAACACCAGGAAGTTGCTCTAAAAGATATTTCAAAGCATTCGTCTTTAATCCTAACAATTGATCACCCGTCATCTCATTCAGTCGTCCTTCCGGCAATGGCATCAATCCATGAGCTTTTCTCGCTAATTGTACTGTCTCAAAGAGTTTCTCCCAAATCTCAGATATTGATGTTGATTTGTAAGTGAAACCATCTTGTGATTGAATCTCAAAGAGAATTTTCGGTCCACAAATCTTTGAACCTGAATTATTTGATGGAGTTTTCTCACGTGATGATTTAATGGCATAAGACGATCCTGTTGATGTGCTTGGTCGTTCTGACGATGTTTCCTCATCGAATGATTGGAATGATGACTTCTCAGGCGCTTTGATGTCTTCCTGTTCATCAATTGATGTGATTTCTTCACTGACGCTCTTCGATGCTTTGATTTCAGGCAACTCCTCAAATATCGTTTCAATATTCATCTTCCCATCTTCACCATCACCCTCATTTTTCTGCTCTTCACTTGAACTTGTATTAACTCTCGTTTCAATTGGAGTGATTGTTATTGAAGGTGGTAAAGTGTCAACAATTGTTGTCGGTGGTTGTGGTGAATCCGGTCGATCATCAAGAAGATTCGCACCAGTTGCAACTGAATCAATCGTTTTTGTTAAGGAACATACACTTGCGGTCTTTGTAACAGTCGGTGTTGCTTTCATAACATTCAAACTCAAATTTGATGCACTTGTTGATGGAATTTGAAAGTTTTCATTATGTGGCGATGGCGATTTTAACTTTTTATCAACATTCTTTTCAATCAAATAATCATTTGATGTCACTGTTATCACATTATTTATTGTTGATCGTCGTAATGCATCAAACAATTCATCAGCTTTACTACTCTGCAATTCCATTGCAATTGATTTAATTTTCTCACAATAATTTTCCGATATTTCACTTTGAATTGGCGGCATTACGTTGTTGTTGTTATTAACTGCATGATTCACCGCCAGGGGTGATGACGATGAACTTCTGCTGTTATTATTATTGTTATTACTACCTGAATTACCAGATGTTCCATTCTGATTGCTGTTACCTTTGGCGATGTTGCCAATTTTGTTATTATTCTTAACAATTGTTGTGATACTTGTCGTACCTGACGATGCCTGCATTGGCAAAACACGATTTGTTGGACGATTTTGAAAGTTTGATTTGATTGAGCTTTGTTTGTTATTTAAATTATTAAAAATACTGTTTTGTTGTTGAATTGGATTAACGACACTTGTTGGTAGATTAATAACAGTTGTTTGAACATTTGTTGTCGGTTCAATCTTTGTTTTGTTATTTGCTGCCATTATGTTGTTTTGAACATTACGATAAGTTTGATCTAAAGTCACTTTATGCTGTTGTTGCTGCTGCTGCTGTTGATCTTGAACAACTGGTGTACTTATAACAGCTGGTTTAATGGTAATCGACCGTGAATTGTTACTTTGAATGGGCTTTGCTTGAACCTTTGGCTTGATAAATGCCGCTGAAGTGACAACTTTCGATGAAACATCGTCTTGTGGAAGTTTCGGTCCAATTGTACGATAAGTTGCTTTCTGCTTCTTTGCTATTGAATTTGTGTTGAGAATTTGAATGTTATTTGCTGCTTGTTTAACAATTAATGGATTCTCATTGACTGTCTTCAAAACTGTGTTGAGATTTCGACTTGTTGAACTTGTATTGTTGGTCATTGAACTTGATGTTGTTGGAATCACTTGAGGTTGAATTTTATTTATCTTTGCTTGAACTTTCTGCTTCTGATTCGTTGATGACGACGAAGATGACGATGATGATGTCTTAAGAATAATATTTGAAGGCTTCTGATAACTTCCAATATCAAGTGGAACTTTCTTCTCGTCCACAATATTCCACGATGAATTATCAACAATTTGTGGTTGATGAATGACTTGTGAACCGTCATTTGAATTAAGAAAGACATATCCCGTTGGAATTTCCATCTGAATTGGTTCAATCTTACTCGCTTGAAAGACTTGCGTTGTTGTCGCACTGAAACTTGAATTCTGACAAATTCCTTGCATTGCTGCTGTGGACACAAATTGTTGTGAACTCATGACAGTGTTCTGAACGATCGTCTCGAGTCCATAATAAACTGGCTGTGTCGTCAAATACATGCAGCCTGATGTTGGATCCATTTCAATTGCTTGCGTTGATCCCAACATCATTTGTTCCGTTGACATCACACCATTGACACATTGCAATGCTTGCGGTTGTTGTATTAATGTTCCAACAATCGGCGATTGGACTGGAAGTACTGAAAGGCCATTAGGTGTAAGCACCAAATTGCTGCCATTATTTGATGGCAATTGAAAAGAGTTTTGGAATATTTGTTGGGGTGTTGCTGCTCCAGTCGTTGACGATGTCTGTGGATTTGTAATGAAAGAATTTTGTGATCCTGTCTTAACATCTTTCGCTGTTGTTGTCGTCAAATATGGAAGTTGCGCATTACTTTGTCCACCATCAGTTGGAATGTATTGAACAATTTGTCCATTTTGATTAAGAATCAGCGGATATTGTTGCTGCTGCTGTTGTGTTGGCTGTTGGAAAATAATATTTTGTGTTGTTGACTGTTGATTACTTTCAAGCCGTGGCGTTCCTGTGGAATTTGCCTGATAATTTGATATTTGAATATTCTTTGAATTAACAATTTGTAATTGTTGTTGATGTGACTTTGTTTCAACTTTTTTCTTTCCATTAATCAAAGTTGATTTAACAACTTTCATATTTGCTTGTGACTTTGATGTTTTGCCTTTTGTTGGCGATGGAAGCAGTGTCGGCTTCTTTTGAATCTTCTGTTGATGATCATGATCTGATTGTGTTGTGATTGTCATCAATTGTTGACCATTTCCACTGCTGTTTGTTGATGCTAATTGAAGATATTGTGTTGGTTGCTGTTGTTGTGATGTGTTGATGTAAGAAATGTTTCCATTATTGATAACATTTGTTTGATTAAAGTTTCTTAAAGGCATTAACGTTGCTGTCTGTCCAAATTGTCCAATTTGTAATGGCTGAGCATAAATTTGTTGACCTTGTTGATCGACAATGACATTTTGACAAAGATTTCCATCACTTCCGATTGACAATGAAAGATTTTGTAAGTTTGGTATCTGAACAGCGCCATTTGTCATTGTGATTCCATTCTGTGATGTTGTTGACTGTCCAAATGGATTAATGACAATCGGAATTGCAGACATTGACTGATTTTGTTGTTGATTAATCATTGATATCACATTGTTATTGCCCATTCCAGTTATCGACTGATGTTGTGATGTTGTTGTCGTGTTTGATAAATGATAAACGTGATTTCCATCATGTACATCTGAATCATTTTCTGTTGTTGTATTTTGAATGATTTCGCATGTTGATAAATGTCGATCGTATGATGTTCGATTACGATATGTACAATGACAACGTTCGCAAGCAACTGGACCATCGGACATGAAAATTTCATCATTTAAGCCGTCAAGTTGTGGAATTTTTGTTGACTTTTCATCATTCTTCTCATTTGTTGATGCTTTTGATTGGAGTTGAAGGAACTTTGAGCTTCCTTTCTCATCATTCTTCGTTCCTTGGTTGTTATTGCTGTCGTTGCTTTCAGGTGACGTGCTCAGCTTTCTTTTCTTACTCTCAGATTCATCTTTCCTTGCGAAATTATATTCCGATGTAAATAGACAATCTTCGGACTGTATCGAAGTTAAAAATCCATTAAGATCGCTGTCAACATCACCGTCACCATTCACATGATTGCTTTTACTGTTCTCGTCATCTTCATCCAAGACGTGATTGTAGAAAGCAGCTTTGGAGTCTGATGGATCCTTCGGAAAGATATCAAACATTGAAATGCCGTCGAGAACATCATGTGGAAGATCTTCAAAGATTGCAGCTTTAATTTCCGGCGGAAGTAAGTCATTATTATTCTGTGGCTCTTCATCTTGCGTCGTCTCTTCTTGTTGAATAAAAATTTCATGTTCTTTACTTATCGAATTATGAAACATTGAAATTTGTTTTAAATTCTTTTGCACAAGTTGATGACTTCGACTGTGATCGACAGTAAAATTAATTCCTTTATCTGTCATTAGTGTGTGATAATTTGATCTTTGAATTGATATTTTTATCTTATACTCAACAATATTCCACGGTTGTCGTGATGACCAATACAATCGTGTGCATTCAAAATCAACAGGCACAAGATAATCTTCAGCATCACTTAAAACAGGAACAATACGACCAAGTTTCGTAACAGAAAGCGATCCAATAAGAAAACGAACTTTCGATGCTTCAATCGTTTTCTTCTTCTTACGATCAAGTTCAACATAAACCGAACGATTCACTTCAAAATTAGTTTCCAGCTGTCGCGTGTCTTCAATTCTTGATAAATGTTGAGGGCAAAACACTCGCTTGTCAACACCGAACTCACAAATCTTTCTTGCACATTGAAAATGATATTGTTCACCGCAATTCTTAAAATTACAACCAACTGTTGCACCTTTTCCACCACACTTTCCACATTTCATTAAACGTCCACGAGAAATTGCACTGTGAACATTCTGCAACGATCCGTCAATCTCTTCATAAACTTCAGCTGACCAAAGTGCACAATTTGTATGCACCCAAGTGTTATGTCCGCAATAAAGCAAACGTCCTTCTTCATCTGACGAACATTCACCTTCCTTCTTACACAACATGCATGATCTTGTGTCATGGCCATTAAAGAACACTCTTTGTGTCGTGTAATCGTCAACTTTCGCAATAATTTCAGGAACATTAAATGTTGGCATCATAAAGTAATCGCCATTCTCACTTTCAATCATTAAATCGTCTAATAAATCAGCTTTTGAATGATCATTCATTGTCTCTTCAAGTGCATCGGTGCATGCTTTTGTTTCGTTTTGAAACCATGGAAAGATTTCACTGATAATCTCATTATAAGTCACAACAAGTTCATCGGATTGCGCATCAGTTAGAATCTTATTCATGTCGTAATTAAAAGCTTGAAGTGAATGATATTGACTGTCATGAATGTTTTGTTTAATTGAATTAATACTTGGCTTAAATAAATCCAATTGAAAGTTGTTCTGACATTTACATTGTTGTGATTGAGATTCGTTGTTGTCGTCAGCAGTTTTAAGTGCATCAAAAAGGGAATTAAAACTTGACTGACAATTCATCCTCGAACAACATTGTGAGCTTTTCTTTCTTGGACTTAACTTTAGAAGCACGCATGCATGTCGACTCTTACTTAAAAGTTTTATGACACTCAACAGGCTCGTCTTGAATTCAGCTTCAACAGATTCGCGCCAAATGTTCGCTAAACCATTATTCGGCGAACATTTCTTGCAGATGAATTCGATGTGTTCGGGAAGAACGCTCAACAAATTGTATTGTTCGTCTGTTAATCCTTCACATTTCGAATGCACCCAACGACGACAATCGCCGCATTCCATCATTTTAACATCATAATCATTATTCTCGTAACATTTTTGACATAATGGACAGAAATTTCCTTTTTGTCTTAAACGAAAGCAATTGCTGCACATTGGCAGATTGCCGATGAATTTTGTGACATTTGTCGTTCCACACGATTTACATTTAAGACATGACGCACAAATTAATGGACGATCGGCACCAAGAAGTCTTTTACTTGTTCCCAAGCAAGTCGTGTGATAATTTTTCTCGCACTTTTGACACTTTACTTTGGCGCCTGTTGACATGTTACAAGTGTAACAAACAGTACAACGTGGACAAAGCCAATTAAGTTTCTTATTTAATGGCATGTCATAGCCACGCTCAACAAGTGCACCGGAATCACTTGAAATGTTCATACTTTCATTCTTACTCGAATCCAATGATGTTGACGTGAAATTATTTACACGAAATCGAATATTAAACTCGTCTTCGACACAATAATAATGATAAGGTTCACAGCAACAGACACAAAATATTAAAGGATCACTTCCACAACTTCCACAAAGGAAACATAAAGATTTGATCGGAGTTTTCTCACTCATTATAAGACCAAAGCCAGTGCGACTGACTTCAGCTGGGTCGTAATTCTCCCAGAAATCGATCGAAATCATTGGAGGTAAATTATGATTGTTGTTGTTGTTATTATTTCTCGCAAGTTGTTGTTGATTATGAAATAAAAGTTTCTTTGATGATGGAATTGGTTTCGATGACAAACGATTTGAATTTTGTGTTTGCGACAAAGTTAAATTCGGTCGCGTAACTTTCCTTGTGATTGGCTTACTCACGTCAAATGTTTCAACAGTTCGTCGATTAATCGTTGGGAGAGTTGCTGATGAACTTTCAACTTCTTTATTTATCGTCGATGATTTCTCTTTATCTTCGATGATTTCATTTTCTTCCTTTTTCGTTGTCATCGCAACATTTTCTTTTTCAGAATTTTCATCTTCTAAAATGGGATCAACTGCAAGATTTTGAGATTCATCTCCTGGAAAGATTGCAATCGGTTGACCGAGAACAAGTGAAGCTGAACGACAAACGTGTTTAACTCTAGGTCCTTTAATTAAGACACGTTGTCGTAGTGCGTCTGATGTTGCGACATTTCCTGGCGCGATTGCTTGAGCAAGTGTCGGTGATGTTGATGGTTGATCGATTGCTTTCTTTGGCGATCCTCTCGGCGATGATCTTAAAGGACTTGGTGACTTTTTAACAACTTCAAGTGACGGCTCTTTAGGAATCTCAACCAACAATGGCTTAGTTGATTCAACAGCTGATTGGAAACTCGTCTTTAAAACACTTTCAACATTCGGTTTGATGTCAGGCTTACTGCCAAATGTGAAATTATTCACGGCAAGTGGATTTGATGTGATTTTAAACGAAGGAAACTTCATGGAATTAAGGAAAATATTTGAATTCTCTGAAGATTTTGTTGCGTCTGCTAAGATCTTCGGAAGAATATTATTGAGACGTGCTTTCAATGGTGATGGAAGTTGAAAGTTGAGAAGACACTTTTTAAGCCAACACGCATAACAACGGCCTTTGCTGAGTGCTTTAAGATCAATTTTGTGAGCTTTAAGGCTCTTATGAGATTTAATTGTTGTTGGTGAAATTGCGCAAGTTCCTAAAAATGACAACAAAATAATATAAAATTGATGAGAAAGAAATTAAAGAAACAAACCATCTCCTTTATCACATTGGATAGTGCGCGGTTCTTTATTAATCTTGTTGACTTTCTCAATCATTCTCGACATAAACTTCTTGCAAAGCTCACAACAAACAGCTCCATACTTTCTCGGTTGTTTTCTTGTTGTTATCGAATTACAAACATGACAAACGCGCGATGTTGTAAAGATAGATGATGAGATATTGGCGTTGTTTGATGAATTGAGATTTAATGAGAATGGACTTTTAATTGCAACTTGTTCACGATCTTGAGGATTTCCAAACAGACTAAATGTAGAGAGCTGAAGCACAGGCTTTCTTAATATCGAAGTTGATGATGAAGCAGGTGGCGATGATGTGGAAGGTTTCGTTACTTCCTGCGATGATGACTTTTGAGAAATTTTAGAATTTTTCTCTTTCTTTAACTTCAAGTCAAGTTCATCGATGAAATTAAAACCTTAAAAATAATAAAAAATAATAAAAATTAACAAAATATTTAGAAAATCTTTTTTTAATCACTTACCAAATGGCTTTTTATCTTTAGATGACGTTTGCTCTCCACCAGCTCCCCAAAAGCTTGGCTTTATCACCTTCTTTTTATTCGTGACTGAATCCTCGCCAGTATCAAAGAGAAAACGTTTATTAGGCTTTATGACTCGTGACGAGTTAGCACTCAACTTAGGCAGATTAAATTTACTGGCAACAATCACATTCGATGTTGTCTTTTCTTTTTCATCGCCGCTTGTACTTTGCTGCTGTTGATTTGCATATTCGCGCCCAAATTTTAATGAATTCAACTTATCGATATTGTTTGCACTATTTTTAACAATCTCAGTTAAACGCGATGGTCGCACAATACATTTCGACTTGTATACTAAAATTGGATAATTGAGAGACTCTTTTTTAATTATGGACACAAGTGGACCATCGAAATTCGGGTTGTAAACACGCTTCACTTTACACTGATCACTTGTCTCTAGTGTCGCTCGAAATGTGACACGCTTTTTATTCGTCCGTGATTTTTTATCTCTACTATCACAATGTGCATCGTTTTCACTTTTCTCGCAATTATCCATCTCTGTTGTTGTTATATTTTTGCTTGCTGTTGCTGTCGATGTCATAACTGGTTTGGATTTATCTTCACTCTCTTCTGTTGACGACTGTTTTGCTGTTGTTGTACTTTCCGTCTTTTGTTATGCAAAAAAATATCAAGGAGAAAAAAAATTGATTGGTATAGTGCACATATAGCATGTAAATAATATTTCGAAAGGGAAAAAAAATTGCGTAGCAATAATCTGACTGGACGCGGAGATTTTGATATCGAAATTTACGGTATGAGATTACTTGGACAGTAAAATTTCTGGATATTATTTGAAAATGTTCCGGCAAAAACATTTATCTTGCGAAATAATTAAGAACACATGTACAAATACGTCAAAAATTGCAGAAATGCAAAAATATTTAGCGCCCTCTATACCTGGTAGCCATGTTCATGTTTTGGTGAAGCCAAATTTTTTTCACCATCACTTTCGCAATGATCGCTTGCTCTTTTATCAAAATTATTATCGAAAGACAAAACACTAACACGCTTTTTATTCACTAGCTTGGATGGCTTTCCCGGAAACTTCGTTTTATTGAACATAATTAATTTTTTTACATTTTTTTCTTTTCAATTTCTTCTTTATTCACACAATTTACACTGAGGAGTTATTCGGGTCTAAATTGTACAATGCAACAAGTACGTTGAAAAACGTTCATCATTGTAAACAAAACAATAAATTTCACAATTTCTTAACATTTTTAAAAGGATTCGTACTTGTTTTCATTGACAATCACTAAAATAAATTAAAAGTGTTTCTTAATTTCACTTTAAAGCCATGATTTCCTTACTAAAATGTAAAATAATTATTTAATTTTCTTGTAAACATTCGACATTGACAGAAATCAGCCAACTCTAGTACTACAATTTCATTCCTACGCAAATTGGGAAACTTAATTTAATTTATTGTGATTTCACGAATTTCAATTTCTCTAATATTCTTCTATCTAAGGCTAAGTGCAATATTGCAGTTGAAACAACAATAAAATCTATAAAAACATTGTAGATCATCGATTGATGCTTTCAAAGTTGAGGAAACAATAAAACAACGTAATTTTTTACAGTGTAAACTTTTTGTATATGTACGAGGATTTTCTCTCGGAGAATTGTGCAATTTATTTGAATTGGTGATGGTTTATTGGAGTGCAAAAGCATATTAAAGTGATAATTAATCAGTATAAAATGCCATTAGCTAGACAAGATTTAAATTTATGGCCAACACAAAAAGAACTCGCGGTAAGTTCATTTTTTGGGACAAATAAAAAATATTTTAAGGATCACACTTGTTGTTTTTGCCTTTTTTTTGGGCTACGTCTGATAATGAAAAAAGAAATGTGAAGAAAAATCAGATAATTCAATTATAATCCGATCTAAATCCCATTAGCTGTACTTTTGTTTTTTTTGCAACATAAATTTGAAGTTTATTTATATGAATACATCCGACTCTCCCCTTTTTTCACTCCAACTTCCATAAGCAGACTAACCCAGACTCTTCATGTGAAAAATGCATCTTTATTTTAGCATCAACATTTAAGTTTCAACAATTTAAAGTTAGAAATAAGTTCAATGAAGTGATGAATATGCAATGAACAAGAAAAATGATTTAAATATTTCTTTTCTCTTGCTATTTACAAGCTTTTGCAATCAGTGACTCTGACGACTATTCGTTTGTAAGGGCAAATTAAAAAATATGTTCTTAATTTTTCATACATGTTTCTTCTTGTTTCCGGTATTTTCATTTTTATTTAACTCTACAAACAAGCATAAATATTTCTTCTGTTCCTTAAAATCTTGCTTTCCTTTAGCTTAAGCAAAAAAAAGTAAATTAAATTGCTTTTTATAATTAGACATGTAACTTGACAACGAATTCTATTGATGCTTTTAACCCCCACCACCTTTTGATTTTATTTCACGCTGTTGCTTCTTCACTTCTCCTCCCTTCATAATTTTTTTTGCGATGATGACGAATATTTAGCACCTTTAGAAGACTAAAATTTGTTTGTTCACTCATTAGCGTGTTAAACTTGTTATTAAGTGTTGTTGTTACATCATTCATTCCTCATGTGTTCTTCTCGTTTCTTATGTGACACCTTTTTGTGATTGTTTCTATCTCTCTTTCTCTCTTTTCTCCCCTTTTTCTTTATTGTCTGTTCTTTTCCTTTACATCTTCCAAAGAATTTTTCCATTATCAAGCATCAAACAAACTTTTCTTATAGAGCACCTCACAAAGTGGCGGTGGCTTAGAGATGGTCGTTGATGATGGTTCAGTCATCGGGAGCAATTATCCACCAAGCATCATCAACAATAATAACAACAACAATAATACGATGGAAAAGTTGCAGATGAACGATGATTCAGATGACGTCGAAATGAAATCGGACGATTTAATATTTGAAGTGAAAGATGTTGTAAAAGATGGACATGACAAAGCTGATCCGTCACAATTCGAGCTCTTAAAAGTGCTCGGTGAGGGATCGTTTGGAAAAGTGTTTCTTGTGAGAAAAATTGTCGGACTCGATGCTGGTACACTTTATGCGATGAAAGTTCTGAAGAAAGCGACGCTTAAAGTGAAAGACAGAATGCGATCAACAAATGAACGAAATATTCTTGCTGATGTTGCTGTCGGTCATTCATTCATCGTAAAACTTCATTACGCCTTCCAGACTCCTGGCAAACTCTACCTGATCTTAGATTTCCTTCGTGGTGGTGACTTATTCACACGACTTAGCAAGGAAGTTATGTTTACTGAAGAAGATGTTAAATTTTATCTTGCTGAATTGGCTTTGGCTATGAATCACTTACATTCATTGGGAATCATTTACAGGTAGAATTATTCAGAATGAATCAAAGACTTGATTTGAATTTGGAATTTGAAAAATTCTTGCAGAGATTTAAAACCTGAAAACATTCTCCTGGATCAGGAGGGACACATCGCATTAACAGATTTTGGACTATCAAAGCAACCACTTGGTGATGCTAAAACTTATTCATTTTGTGGAACTGTTGAATACATGGTAAATGACGTTAATTTAATTAATGACAAAGTTTTTATGTTTGAATATTTTTTCGTGTTTTTATAGGCACCGGAAGTTGTGAATAGAAAAGGCCACACTTATGCAGCTGACTGGTGGAGTTTTGGTGTTCTTATGGTAATTAATTTCAATCCCAAATGAGACTTTCAATTAACAAAGATTTTCTTATACTTCCGCTCATCCAAACAGTATGAAATGCTAACCGGAAATCTTCCATTTCACGGAACAAATCGTCAAGATACAATGAATCAAATTCTCAAGACGAAACTTGGAATGCCTGAGAATCTTTCACCGGAAGCTCAGTCACTTCTTCGTGCCCTCTTCAAACGCAACCCTCAAAATCGTCTCGGCGCGAGTACGAATGGAATTGAAGACATAAAACGTCATGAATTCTTTGCCACAATTGATTGGGATGCTTTGATGGAGAAAAAAGTACGACCACCATTCATTCCAGCTGTTTCATGTGCAGACGATACATTCTATTTTGATTCCGATTATACAAATCGAGATCCTCATGATTCACCAAGCATTCCTGTGTCAGCAAGTGGACATGAAATATTCAGAGGATTCTCGTTTGTTGCGCCTTGTTTACTCGATGAACAAGCAGTCGGTGGCGGTGTCAGTAACATCAACAATAATGATCGACAGTCACCATTCCATTCTTATGACATTCCTGGAGTTCAACCCCATTCAATACATGAAGAATATCAATTAAAAGAAGTCCTTGGAAGGGGAACATTTTCTGTTTGTAAATTGTGTGAACATAAAACTACGAAGAAACAATATGCAGTGAAGATTATTGACAAGTCAAGGCATGATTGTCGTGAAGAAGTAAGTTTGGTAACTCGATTTGTCGTTTTTCTTTCTAAACATTTTCATTTCCCTTAAGGTTGACATTCTTCTACGATATGGAAATCATCCAAACATTGTGACACTTTATCGTGTGTTTGAAGATGTTGGATCAGCATCGGTTTACTTAGTTATGGAGTTTTTGAAAGGTGGCGAATTATTGGATCGAATTCTTTCAATTCAATTTACAGAACAAGAATCGGCAGCTGTTTTAAAGACTGTTGTATCAGCAGTTTCTTATCTTCATGATCATGGCGTGGTCCATAGAGATTTGAAGCCATCGAATCTTCTTTATGCTTCCATTAATCATACGCCGGAATCATTGAAGCTTTGTGATTTGGGTTTTGCGAAGCAACTTCGTGCTGACAATGGGTTATTGATGACTCCTTGTTACACTGCAAACTTTGTCGCTCCGGAAGTTCTCAAACGTCAAGGATATGATCTTGCATGTGACATTTGGAGTCTTGGCGTGTTGCTTTATATCACTTTGAGTGGACGGACGCCGTTTGCAAGCACACCGAATGATGAACCGGAAACAATCTTAAAACGAATCGGATCGGGTCATATTGATCTTAATAATGGACGTTGGGCGACAATCTCTCCAGAAGCAAAAGAATTGATTAGTCACATGATGCATATTGTTCCATCGAAGCGCCCAACAGCAGCTCAGATTCTTCGCCATTCATGGATTGTTCGACAATCGCAAGCTTATGACTCAACTCGAATACCTGGAGCATCAACATCGATACCTCAAGTTGCAATGGCGAAAGATATTAATGAGATGAAAGGTGCAGTAAATGCTACGTTTAGAGCTATAAGTTCACCTCAAGCGATGGGCGCTGGTGTTGGGCCTGTTATTATGAGTGAACTTGCAAGACGAAGACGTCGTGGAGCCGAGAAACATGCCAACTGAGATAGATTTAATCCGTTTCTCATGGACTTTTAGCCACACAGAAACGGTTATTTCATTGCAGAGTGATTTTCAATTAAAATAATTATCAGAAGGCTCGCATTGATGGCCAATGTCAACTTATCCTTCGAACAGTATTTTTATAATTTTAAAATCATGTTAAATCTCTTCTTATCAACCATTTTTGTTTAGTTTCGAATATGAGAATAATTTTTAATGACGGAAAATTGTGTGTGAGAAGTTTTGAAAGTCTTTTTGTCTCAAACTTATTGTCGAAATAGTTTTTAAAACTGAACGTAAAAAGTCGATGAAAGAAAGAAAAATAAACTTCCAGTGCCATTTTATGAATAGCGAGTAAATCATTTTAAGTGTTATATGAAAAAGAAAAAAATTATAATTATTCTAATTGAAAGATTTAAAAGAAAAATCATTTTCCAGATAAGAAAAATATCTTACATTTTAACTAAATCAGATAAAGAAAAGAAAAGTTTGTCAAACTCTTTCATAACTGTATGTTAAGCTTTTTAAAATTGAATGTTTGTTAAGTTACAAAAAAATCTCTTCGGGCAGTGACATAAAAGCCAAAAAAAAGGACGGAAAATGTAGAATTCTGGAGACAATTATCTATAATTATCAAACTTTAAAGAATGGAGATGACAAGTGATGCTCTCTCAATGAAAAGAAGTTAAAGATGATTACAGAGTTAAGCAAGAATTTATTTAACGTTAGAATTTTATGCATGCATTTCGATTTTATTGGAGTCGTCTGAGTCAGAACCTAAGAAGAATCTGGAAAAGTAGCAATTCATGTGATTTGAGTCAAACGAGTTCAATAAATTAACTTTCATATTTGCCATTTTAACAATGATCAATAAAAAAATATTAATTAATCTTCTTCAATTTAATTCTATCTTTAAAAAATCTTATTCGAATATTTATTGATTTAAATGGAGTAACTTTTGGAGTTGAACAACCAAAAACTGATTAAATGTGGCGTAAAAATGAAGGTAAAAAAAAGTATTAAAAATAATATATTAAAAAAAATAAATTTATTGTTTAACATTTATCTAAGAATTTTTATTGTGAATAATGTGAAGAGTTAATGAAATAAATTGGTATTCTGTTATTTTATGCGCAAAGTGATTTCTTTATTTGATTAAGCATAATTCATTGCAGTTCATAACATTTTCAAACACGTGATAATCGCAAAGTTTAAGCTCATTGATTGAGGAAATATCTCACGTGCTTCAACTTCCAAGTAAATGTTTGAGCATCATAAAAATAATTCAATTTGAAAACTTTTGTTTGCATAAATTTTTATTTGTTTAAAAAAATTGTAAATTAATTTGATATTCTGTTATTTTTAGGTAGAATAATCCTGCTTTATGCTGTCTCTCCATTTTCTTTAGCTGCAGATTTCTTCAACTTTCGTGCTGCTTTCTTCTCTTCTGGCGTTTTCTTCAATCCTTTCATTTTTCTTGTTTGAAGTTTTCCGACAACTTGCTTATCAATATGTACACGTGCATTGACATTACCAAGAGCGTCTCGCGAAACATTCTTCTTCTTTGTAACTTTCAGTTCAACTGGTTTTTTATGCGCAAGTTTGTACAAGTCCTTTGAAGCTATTTTCGTTCGTCGAATTGTGAAATCAATTGATGGACCAATTTCTTCCAGCTCAATGCGAGGTGTTCGAAGACCAGACTTTTTCAACAGTATCTTGTAAGAACGTATCATTATAGTCAAATCATCTACGACTGTGAAGCTTATGACATGTTCAATGCCTTGAAGTCTTATTGAATCCACCTGAAAGACAAAATTTCTGAGTTTCCTTTAAGATGATAATAAATAAATATTCTTACGTCTTCAACATGAAACATATCAACAAATAAACTTTTTATTCTGCGTAGCTCCTCAGACATCTTCCATTTATCACCATTGAAGACCAAACAAGGTTTACTCATGATTCCGATTTTCTCGCTCTTAAATTCTTTTAAACCTTTGAAGTTTTTTACACCAAACTCTATCATATCAAGAATTTGATTATCGTAAACTCGTCCCATTATCACATTATTCGGTCTTTTTTTAGAATGTGATCCAAATGTGAATAAATGGCAATCGTTCTTTGAGAGGAGAGTCTCAAGAGGAACTTGATCATCAAATGGTGTAATATCATTATTTCTCGTTAAAGATTTACAATGAGGCTTTTTGAATGTGCATAAATCTTTTAATACATCTTTAATAGTCACAGAAGATTTTCTTCCTTCAAGAAATAAAGCATTTTTCACATTTTCGATTACTTTTGGTCCTAACTCCAGTAAAGCTCTTTTGCCTTTCCGTGTTTTGGGTTTCCTACAAACAATTCATAAAGATTAGATGCTTATTATGGTTAAATTATATTAGAACTTACTGAATTCTTAAAAGTGACATGGTAATATAAAAAATTTGAGAATGTTGATTAATTTTTCGTTTTTGGAAAATCACAAACACACGTGTTCGAACTTAATTTCGAATAACAAACTCATTCGAATACGAAGAGAAAAGTCAAGTAACTTGACTCTATTTTGAAACAAGCGCTTTTAATATGACCTTTAACGGCTTTCTNTTAAAATATTAAATTTTAATATTATACATTAATATTTAATATTTAATTTAAAGGAAAATCATTTTAATTTTATTTAAATTTATTTCATTTTATTATCTGAATAAAAAGAAATGTACATTTTTTTCTTGAAATTTTTCCTGTTTCAAGTGGTACTTTCAGTGACACAAACCTTTTTCGGTTTAAATTCTTTGCAACACACATAAGATTCAAAATAAAACTTTTCCTTAGGTGTATTACATCTGCAGCCACTTAAGTTTGACACAGTACCAGGACAATCAGGACATAGCTTGGTCTCAACTTCTGTGTTAAGAACAACCATTACAAAAGAGCATATAATTAACCAGAAATATAATTGCTTCATTATAAGCAAGCCTGTGAAAGAAAGAAAATTTTAAGCAAGATAAGAATATCTTCAACATTTAAGAATACCTACCTCGAGATGCTTCAAGTTAAATCGAAAAATGAATTTAAGACAGTTACTCAAAAAACCTTTGCAATCACTTTTATACCATATTTCACTTGGCAATACTTTCAAATTATTGTTCAGTTACACTATAGACTTTTATAAATAATATATATCAATATATATCTACATAGGTATATTATGTAAAACATTTATTTTCATTATAATTTTTCAAATACATTTTGTATACACTGTATACCCCCTTTCAATAATGTTCGAATTCAATGATATTCCTGCAGTATTATAATGCTACGGGTGTATTTTACTGCTAGATAGCATTTTATAGCTGTGAGAAGTTAAAAATGATTCCAGAGTTAAGCAAGAATTTATTTAATGTTAGAATTTTATGCATGCATTTCGATTTTATTAGAGTCGTCTGAGTCAGAACCTAAGAAGAATCTGGAAAAGTAGCAATTCATGTGATTTGAGTCAAACGAGTTCAATAAATTAACTTTCATATTTGCCATTTTAACAATGATCAATAAAAAAATATTAATTAATCTTCTTCAATTTAATTCTATCTTTAAAAAATCTTATTCGAATATTTATTGATTTAAATGGAGTAACTTTTGGAGTTGAACAACCAAAAACTGATTAAATGTGGCGTAAAAATGAAGGTAAAAAAAAGTATTAAAAATAATATATTAAAAAAATTAAATTTATTGTTTAACATTTATCTAAGAATTTTTATTGTGAATAATGTGAAGAGTTCATGAAATAAATTGATATTCTGTTATTTTATGCGCAAAGTGATTTCTTTCTTTAATTAAGCATAATTCATTGCAGTTCATAACATTTTCAAACACGTGATAACCACAATGTTTAAGCACATTGATTGAGGAAATATCTCACGTGCTTCAACTTCCAAGTAAATGTTTGAGCATCATAAAAATAATTCAATTTGAACACTTTTGTTTGCATAAATTTTTATTTGTTTACAAAAATTGTAAATTAATTTGATATTCTGTTATTTTTAGGTAAAATAATCCTGCTTTATGCTGTCTCTCCATTTTCTTTAGCTGCAGATTTCTTCAACTTTCGTGCTGCTTTCTTCTCTTCTGGCGTTTTCTTCAATCCTTTCATTTTTCTTGTTTGAAGTTTTCCGACAACTTGCTTATCAATATGTACACGTGCATTGACATTACCAAGAGCGTCTCGCGAAACATTCTTCTTCTTTGTAACTTTCAGTTCAACTGGTTTTTTATGCGCAAGTTTGTACAAGTCCTTTGAAGCTATTTTCGTTCGTCGAATTGTGAAATCAATTGATGGACCAATTTCTTCCAGCTCAATGCGAGGTGTTCGAAGACCAGACTTTTTCAACAGTATCTTGTAAGAACGTATCATTATAGTCAAATCATCTACGACTGTGAAGCTTATGACATGTTCAATGCCTTGAAGTCTTATTGAATCCACCTGAAAGACAAATTTACTGAGTTTCCTTTAAGTTGATAATAAATAAATATTCTTACGTCTTCAACATGAAACATATCAACAAATAAACTTTTTATTCTGCGTAGCTCCTCAGACATCTTCCATTTATCACCATTGAAGACCAAACAAGGTTTACTCATGATTCCGATTTTCTCGCTCTTAAATTCTTTTAAACCTTTGAAGTTTTTTACACCAAACTCTATCATATCAAGAATTTGATTATCGTAAACTCGTCCCATTATCACATTATCCGGTCTTTTTTTAGAATGTGATCCAAATGTGAATAAATGGCAATCGTTCTTTGAGAGGAGAGTCTCAAGAGGAACTTGATCATCAAATGGTGTAATATCATTATTTCTCGTTAAAGATTTACAATGAGGCTTTTTGAATGTGCATAAATCTTTTAATACATCTTTAATAGTCACAGAAGATTTTCTTCCTTCAAGAAATAAAGCATTTTTCACATTTTCGATTACTTTTGGTTCTAACTCCAGTAAAGCTCTTTTGCCTTTCCGTGTTTTGGGTTTCCTACAAACAATTCATAAAGATTAGATGCTTATTATGGTTAAATTATATTAGAACTTACTGAATTCTTAAAAGTGACATGACAATTTAAATAACTTGAGAATGTTGATTTATTTTTCGTTTTTGGAAAATCACAACACACGTGTTCGAACTTAATTTCGAATAACAAACGAGAATTCGAATACGAAGTTAGAGTCAAGTTTGTTTTGAAACAAGCTTTTAATATGAACTTTAACGGCTTGTCGGGCTTAGAAATGAACAAATGAACATCAGAGATATCATTGATATCTAGATAATAGAAAAATTTCAGTTGACGTGGAAAATATGAAATTGATAATGAGGACGAAAAAGATGCAAATAAAAATGATTTTATTATTAGTAAATTTGAGACGTTTTTATCTCAGTCCATTTATTTTCGTGTAATCTATTTATGAACTTCAAATTCATTACATAAATTATGAAAGCATTAATCAAAGTGTTTCGTGTTAATCGATAAAACTTGGAAAAAAATTCTCAGAAGAAACTTAACTTTTCTCAGTGATCAATTGTTGAAATGATTTGTAAAATTAAACTTTTAATTTCATATCAAACTAGGTAATTATTAATTTATTACAATGGATGAATCGTATCTGCAGTATCAAAAGACATTGGTTCGTTACAATAATCCCATTTTGGCTTCGAAGCAAAAGATTAAGAAAAATGAAAATGAGGTATTTTGTCATTTAAATTTACAGACATCTGCGTAAACAAAATAAAAAATCAGAACAATTAAATTTCACAAATTTTTTAAGCGTTTAAATGAACCTAAAGATGATGGTCGAAATTTTTCTATAAAAAATTCTATTCAAAACGAAACGGAAGAAATACTGAACTCGTTTTTACCTGTGAGATCTTGGGAAGGTAAAATAAGAAATTTCTTCCAATTATGAATAATAAAATCAATGAGAATAATAATTTTTAAGAAAATGGAAAGTTGTGGATCCAAACTTATTCAAGCAGCCCTGCTACACGTCAAGATGTCATTTATCTCACAGAAACATTAGATTCTCGTTTGGCACAAAATAATGCTCGTGAAATTGGAATTTGTCCTATTCGTAGAGAATTATACAATCAATGTTTTGGTATTTTCTAAGTTTAATTATTTTAGTCCTAAAGTCTCAATAGGTTTCTCCTAGATGAGGTGATTCGCCAAGTCACAATATCATGCACTGAACGTGGTTTGTTACTGCTTCGTGTTCGTAACGAAATAAACTTGAAGGAACAAGCATATCAAAACTTATACAGCAGTTCGATTGCATATGGATTGAGAAAAACTTTATATGAACAAGAAATTAAAGAAAAGATTCTGGAACGAAGTTATCAACTTGAACAAGAAATAAAACAAGTTAAAGCTTCCCTTAATGACCTGAAAATGAAAATTGATCTTATTAAGCTAGAGAATGATACATTGTGGGAGGAAATGAAAAAGAAACATAATGAAGAATTAACATTACATAAAGCTACAAATTCTCAACTAATGGCACAACTTCTTGGAATTGTTGATATAAAAAAATAATCAAAATTTGTATCTGAAAAATTTAAACAAAAATGTTTTTCATTTGTGTTGAACTGTTGAAGAAAGCATAAAAGATCTCTTAATACTAAAGTACTACTGAAGTGTTTATGCGTGGCAGCAGAATTTCAAAAGCAACGTAATTTTTCCCATATTTGTTCTTATGATCTTTGATGAAGCATTTAAGAAAAATGCGTTTCATTTATTCTCTTCATTTCCTTATTTATTTATTAATAAATTTTTCATTCCTTTATTTTTATAATGTATAGGAGACAGCACTGCGAAGGAAGGTATCCCAATTCAGATTTCCAAATTTGACAATATGACGGAGTCTAGAATCCAAAAAAAATATAATAACATGTTCGAATAAAAATGTTTGAATGGAAAAAAATATTTAAATTCTTAAATATTTTAAGTTTATCATTTAAAAATCTCCAGTTCTTAGTGATTTAAACGTTTATTTTTGTTTTCCAATCAGAGATTATTAAATTAGTAAAAATTTACCACGAAGTGCAGCAACTCGTCTTGCGACACCTTCACATTCATAGACGCATCTGCAGTTGACTAAATCCTCGTAAACTCTACAGCCTTCCTTTTCAAAGCAGTGGATTGCGCATGGGTCGTTGGCTGACAGAACTCTTCCGAATCCATTATAAAAAACAACAACAAAATAAAATATCAAGAGTGAAAACTTCATCTTTTCTCTTCCAGTTAATGTAAACAACAATTAAGTTCGAGTTCAGATAATTTATTTAGCAACAAGTGTATCAATAAAGATGAACCTGTGTTTTAAAAATATTTTAAAAGAAACGTCGTCTTTTATTCGTCTGCGATTACGAAAACACATCACATATGTCACGTAGAACTAACTGCAAGCAGTGGTTCAAGTGGTGAATCGATGATGACGATTCAAGCATTATGTTAATGTAATTTAAACATTGTTTTACAATTCCCAAACGAATCAAATTCATCCAATTCATGGAAGATTCAGACTTTACATTCTTCTACTACCACTTTTACGGAACAGTGCAAATTGATCTTCTGCAAGAACTCTCTCAATATCCTCTATATACGACTGCAACAAGCCAAAATAACACTAGCGAAAACTTCATCACTTCACTTCCAGTTAATGTAAATATTGATAAACTTTAAGATGAAAAATATTGAATGAAGATTGTGTTTTTTGTTAATGAACTTCTGTCATCTGATAATATTTCAAGAAAAACTTATTATGAAAACATATGTCACATGATGATTGCCGAATATTTTTTAAACTTTAAATACCTACATACCTACTTAACATAATGATTATACTTTAAATTTGTTCAACCGAAAATCTTTGAAAGTTGAACATAAGGAAAACAATAAAACTGAAAATAACTTAAATTTGGAAGAAAATTCATATTTTTATCCAACTTGAAATTAAAATATCATCCTGTTTTCCTGGCATTTTTTTTCCTAAAGTGTAAAAATGTTGAAACTTTCTCAGTAAATTAATCTGAAAATGATGACGTACATCTAGACGAAATGAAATAATTTTGACTATCTGATTTTCTCGCTATATTCTAGGTAGGATAAATTTCTAAATAAAGAAAAACATGAAATAATTTTAAGAATTAACTGACAATAAGAATACGTTTAGAAAAATTTCAAATCAATTCGTTGGATATCCGAATAAGTGTAAGAAGGGGAATAAATGATCACAGCTTGTAAAAATTAAGGGGTGTGAAAAAGCAAATGTTATTTTATATCAGAAATAAATTGAAATCCCAGTCATTTGTGTGCATTCCCTACATTATTTATAATAATTTCTAAAATAATCGAAAGAAAAACATGTCAAATATGTTTTAAATATTGATTTGTATTTTGTGGCGTTTTTGGTGAGTTTTTTGAAATTTTAAGGTATTAAAAAATATTTCTGCGTTGTGCAGGATATTTCGTTGGAGAAACTCCCAAGGAGTTGATTCTCAATAGTTTTAATTTCCATACTAATAAAATGTGTGCATATTAATGAAAAAAATATTAAGATATGTGCTTGGAAGGCAATGTGAAAATCTTATCAAATTTTTACGCAGCTACGACAGCAAACAAGAAATTTTTTTCCTATTTCAAGTAAATTTTTCATGTGGTTTTCAATTATGCTTCGTATTTGTTTTTCAATGAATGCAAAATTTTATTGATGAAAGACCTTATTAATTATGCATATATTTTCCCAATATTTCTCCCCAATACTCGTTTCTCTCATACAAAACGGCAAGTCCCGAGCAACAAACACACCCAAAGCGACTCGTTTTATTTCATGCTTTAAGTCTATGTCTTAAGAAAGAAAAAAGAAAAGAAAAAAAGGTAAACAGAAAATTCTCAGGTAGATGCATTTAAATGGGAAAGAAGATGAAAGGGAAGACGAGAAATGAAATAAACGAGTCAGGATTTCTCTGTTGTATGCCTTCTTTCTATCTGTTCCTTTTGTTGCAGTAAGTTGCGATCGTGTTAGTATCAAGAATGCATGAGAAAATTTATAAGAAAAGATTTTTATTATTTGAAAAGTCACCCTAGGTATGAATGATATTTATTGTCATGCTATAAGCATTAAAGGTGCACATTATTATCCTTTTAAAATTATCATCGCTTCAACTACTTACTCTTCACGATAAACTAATGAAAATTCTTTTTCTTCTCGTTCTCTTTATCTTTTTGGATTAGTTTTTTTAGTTTTTCGTCTCCTGGGTGTGGAAACTGTGAGGCATAAAAGAAACCACAGTATCAGCGATACAAAGATAATTTGAGTTTCATCAAATTTATTCGAATCGAGCGATGGCTGAGGATGATTGTGCAATTAAGAAAATCACATCAGACAATACATTTTATCACGACGAAGCTAAAGAAGAGGAAGAAGATGTGACGGAAATTCATTATGATGATGATGATGATAAGACGGGCATTCAAAGATCTTACAATAGTGAAGGTGATATTCAATTAGAAACACCTTTGGAATCCCATGGTGTGTCTGTGACATCAGCTGATTCCTCAAACGTCAAACCGAAACGCTTAAGTGATGAATTTTCATCACTTGATGAAGAAATTGAGGATATCGATGATGATGATGACGATGAGGATGATAGAGCAGCACTAGATGTAAAAAATGAAGTCGCATGTTGTAGTAAAGGAAGTTCTTTGCAAGAGCTTGATGACAATTCAGACCCGCCTGATATATGTGAGAAGGCAGAAACTTCATCATCGTGTGTTAGCCTTTGTTTTAGTAACAGTAGCAACAACATGTTTGTGCAATCACTTGACGATGCCATTGAAAGAGCTGATTTCGAGAATGAACAAAAGCTCACTGGTGGCATTATAATAAAAGCATCATCGTTGACAGATGCCAATGATAGACTGAAATTCGATTTGATTAGTCGAAGATCTGCTGAAAATGATGAGATTAATCCAACACCTAGCAGTTCATCGCAGATTGGTGAAGTGTCGATGACGAAAGAAAAAAATGTTTTAACATCGACACCAACAAGTAGTCGCTGCAATGCAATCAGCGCAAATGATTTAAGAAACAAAAGTACAATTCGTTCAAAACAAAAGTTATCTGATAAATATTTAAGCGTAATGAAAACAACTGCCGGAGGAAAATCATCTACAATTGTGAGTGGTGATGAATTAACAAAAAAATCAAGCAATGATAATGAGAATAGTGTTGAGATTGATACAAAGAATAATAAAACGACGGCAGAGCATTCCAAAAATGTAAAAATAAATTTATTTGATGATGAGCCATCGACATCGTCAGGACATCAACAACAACAATCGCATCAACATCAACAGCATGAGATTAAAGCGACAAACAAGTCAACAGTTGATGAATGTATAAAAAGTAATGATGATTATGTTGTTGAGCAATCACATGAGCATCAACATATTCATTTGAGTGATGATATTATTGATGATGATACGTGGGCGGATTGTGAAGAAGGCTCAGATAATGAAGAAGTGTGCACGTGTCAAAATTATTCGGATGATGATTATGGTGCTTCAAGTAGTAGCAGTGAAGATGAATTACCATCGCGTGATGTTGATTTATCAAGCTACACACAACTCGATTCAATATCTGATGATATTCTTCAAGAGTCCAGCGATGGAACGCCGAAAATACAACGAAAACGGAAATTAACCGAACAATCAATTATTCAACATTCATCAACAAATGAAAGTCCAATTGCATTAGGAACAAATCGTAAACGTCTTGCATTGGATACTTTATCATCATCATCACCATCATCATTAACAAATCTTGCCACACCAAAATCAACATCAATTCATCATGATAGTAAACGAACGCCACGTTTGATTCCGACAAAAGAAAATCCACCACCTGAACTTATGGAATGGCTTTTGCAATTCCAACGATGGACCAATGCTGAACGTTTAGTTGCTGTTGATAAGCTTATCGAACAATGTGAGCCGACACAAGTGCGTCATATGATGAAAGTTATTGAACCACAATTTCAACGTGATTTTATTTCATTATTGCCAAAAGAACTTGCACTTCATGTTCTTTCGTATTTAGCACCGAAAGACCTTCTACGTGCTGCACAAACTTGTCGTAGTTGGCGATTTCTTGCTGATGATAATCTTTTATGGAAAGAGAAATGTAAGCAATCGGGAATAATAACAAAGTCATCGCCATCGTTTAGTGATAAACCAAAGCGTGGTCGAACTGGAAATATGCCGAAAATTGCTTCAGCATGGAAAGCTGCCTTTATGCGTCACAATACAATCGAAACAAATTGGAGATCAAATCCTATTCGTACACCAAAAATACTCAATGGACATGACGATCATGTGATAACATGTCTTCAATTTTGTGGCAATCGTATTGTATCGGGATCAGATGACAACACATTAAAAGTTTGGTCAGCGGTGACAGGAAAGTGCCTTCGCACCTTAATCGGACATACTGGTGGTGTGTGGTCATCACAAATGTCATCTGAGGGTAATATCATTATAAGTGGAAGCACCGATCGTACTCTTAAAGTGTGGGATGCTGACAGTGGTTTATGTCGACACACACTCTATGGACACACGTCGACAGTTCGTTGCATGCATCTTTACGGTACGAGAGTTGTGAGTGGATCACGTGATGCAACATTAAGAGTTTGGGACATAACTGATGGTGCATGTCTTCACATACTTGTTGGTCATTTAGCAGCTGTTCGTTGTGTTCAATATGATGGGAAGCTTGTGGTTAGCGGTGCTTATGATTATATGGTAAAAGTTTGGAATCCGGAGCGACAAGAATGTTTGCATACATTGCAAGGTCATACAAATCGTGTTTATTCATTACAATTTGATGGAGTTCATGTGGTGTCAGGATCGTTGGATACGTCGATACGTGTGTGGGATGCTGAATCAGGTTCATTGCGACATACATTAATGGGTCATCAAAGTCTTACATCGGGAATGGAATTAAAAAATAATATTTTGGTCAGTGGCAATGCTGATTCGACAGTGAAAGTTTGGGATATTTTAACTGGACAATGTCTGGCGACATTAGCTGGACGTAACAAACATCACTCGGCTGTTACATGTCTTCAATTCAATAATAAATTTGTAATTACAAGTTCTGATGATGGAACTGTGAAATTGTGGGATGTAAAGACGGGTGAATTTATAAGAAATCTCGTTGCACTTGATTCAGGTGGTTCTGGTGGTGTTGTGTGGAGAATTCGGTAAGTTTTTAAGCAGTTTTTAATTTCTTTCTTCATTTTAATGTTTTAAAAATCAATTTCAGAGCAAATGATACAAAACTCATCTGTGCTGTTGGCTCACGAAATGGAACAGAAGAAACAAAATTGATGGTTCTTGATTTTGATGTTGAAGGTGCATGCTCAAAATGCTCATAAATCAAGAAAGGAAAAAATGAGAAAAAAGATTAATTAAACTACGTTTGTGGAAGAATTCAATAGAAATAATTTAGAAACTATCGTGGAAATTATCAACATTTTGATGTTAAGTTTTTTTTTATTAATTTTCTTTTAAACGTACGAATGAACGTGAATGACTAAGGAAGAGACGCTGAAGTTGTTAACGAGCAATCAGTTAATCAAATCAAATTCTTTTTTCTCACTTTCATCGTTAACCCAAGTTTCTTATTTTTAAATTAGTTTCAAAATCTTTTATTTTATGTCTCGAGTAATCTTTTTTTGTTAAATACTTTTTTACTTTCATTATTTAGTTTATCTAACTCATTTATGTCGAGATTTTGTCGTTAGTTTGATAGTTTCATTCTTATTGTAATGTTCATTTCCTCTCGTCTATAATTTTTCAATCATTAACTAAAGAAAACAAGCTGAAGTGTTTTAATTAAAATTTGACAAAGTTGTAAACAAAAGTTTAAGCCATTACGCATTTGACCCAACAGGCAAAGTGAGATTATTAAAAAGATTTCATAAGGAAAATAAGCCAAAAAGAAAACATTGATGAATGGAAGAAATTTTCTTCAAAAGCAGTTTAAAAAGTCGAACTTAAAGCTACATTAATTACGTAAAAGAAACAAAAAGAAAAACAATTGTAACGAATCCCAGGAGAAAAGCATAAACGAACATCAAATAACTACAAAATAAATTAATAAACGAGAAAAAGAAAAACATTTATTGGTAGACTGAATTAATTACTTCATTAAGGACATTTCACGCCGGTTAAATAAATAATTCAAGCTTAAAAATTGCATTAAATTTAAGTTATTGAAATCGTCTTCAGGAGAGGAAACAAATAAAAATTAAAGAAAACAATTTTGCTGTTTGTTGATTTGTGTTTAAAATTTCACTTTCAGGTAGTAAACTTTGCTAGCTGACGTCAGTTTATCTGTCAATAAAAGAAACTTTCCATTTCTAAAAGTCAAAGTCATTTGACCATCTGTTTAACGATCGCTATCAACTGCAATAAATTATAAATTTAATTAACAATTTTTAGATTTTATGAACATAAATTTATTGTCGACAAAAGAAAAATAATCTTAAAAAAATTATGATTTACAAAAGAAATCAAAAAGAATAAAAATTTCAAAGTTCAACCCTGAATTAATTAATTATTTAAGATGTACACTAAGAAGGCATCGAAAAAAGTTTCAATTTAATTTTGTTCATAATTTTCACAAACAAATTTTGTTTCCTTTTCTAATCTCACGATCGTATAACAATCAAAGATCTCTAAAAACGAAACAATTTTAATTTATTCGATAACTCCTACAATTTCATATCAAAATGTTTGAACATTTGCAGATTTCTCGATGCCTTAAAATAACAATAAAAAAAAGATTGAAAAACTTTTCTTAACATGTGAAAGCTTTTTTGAATGTTTGAAGACGTTTCTGTTGAAGCTTTTCAAACAGAAGAAGATAAAAAACCTTTCAATGGATACATAAATATATTAAATGACAAAAGCTCCTTAAACTTTTTGAACGAATGAATTGCTTTTCCTCACGAACTCAGATCGACATGGAAGTTTACATTGAAATTTAGTATTTGGCACGGATAGTGAGTAAGAGTCGAAAGGTCGTGGGTCGAATAATGCCCGTTCGATGACTTGAAGAGATGAATGTGTCAGGATCTCAGCGGAATATTGTGTTGGAATGCCTTCAGTGTCAGAAATTGCTGGAAAAAATAAATTCAAATCAAAAATTCATTAAATATTTTTAATTAACTTACTGAATGGAATTGGCGATTTGAATAAAGACTCGGCTGGGACTCCACTCGACTCCAAAGTGACAACAGAAACTCCATATGGTTTCAATTCTTCACGTAAAGCACATGCAGTTCCTTCAACTGAATTTCTCGAAGCATTGTAAGCCAACAAACCATCACCACGACTTCCCGATCCCAAAAATATAAAACGCCCTCTGACAAAGAGATTTATTCATGAATTATTTCAATCGCAAACGCTTTAAAATTCCAAACAAACCTCGTTGGACGTAACAATCCGATGAAAGCACGCGCAACTCTCAAACATCCGAGAACGTTGTTTTTGAACATGCTTTCCCATTCCTGGAACTCCTGAGTATCAATTCTTCCACGAAAAACTGTCCCAGCTGTGTTGATGACTGCTAAAATGCCACGTTCACCTGCATTTAAATGCGCACCCATTTTTTCTGTCGCTTCTCTTAAAACATCTTCCTTTGTCACATCAATTTTTAATGGCACAATTTGACCTATGACGCAATTGCTTTCAAGCTCCAAATGATTTTCACGTGCTTTCATCCAACCTTTCAACAACTTCGCCGGAAGTGATTCGTGTGGATCTTTCATGCCTGCAAAGACACGACATCCTTTCGAAGCCAAATAAGTTGAAAGTTGAAGTCCCAAAGCTGTGTCAGCTGATGTTATTAGAATCGAACCAAATCGTGGATCAAGAGACACATTTCGTGATCCTTTAACTTTGCATAAAAGGTATAAAAGCAAAGCGCCAGCAATTGAGAAAAGTGCAACAAGTTGCACGGTTAATACAAGTGCGGTGTGGACCTCCATGATGAATTATTAAAAACTTGTTTTACATCTGCAAGAAAAAAATGAAAAGAGTAAAAATATTGAAAAATATCTTGAGTGCATGTTGCAATTATCGTTAAACAAGTTTCATAGAATGCAAGTCGCATTTTTCTTCTCATAATTGTTGTGTTAACGTGAGCAGCAACTTTACATCATTCAACGACATGACACGAGTCAATTTGCATGCAAACGTTTGTAGTGTTCGTTTCTTAAACGATTTGTTGATGTGCTACGACATCTTCGTCACACTGCTCATTTGACTGACGGAAATGAGATCACATTGTGTAACATAAAGCAACTGAACCGCAAATTTAAAGACTTACGAGATGCCGAGACGATGTCTTTATAAGTTATAAAGAAGGGAACATTAAAAATTTCAATTATTTTCCTAAATATCATATTCCACTGAAGTTAATTTATAAACATTACCAAGGCAGGTGATTGACGCTCTCTTGTTTCTTAAATATCCATTTTTATCATCTCGTAACTTTCAAACAATTCCCTTTGTATTTTTTTATGTCTAGAAAATGATGATCAATTATAAAATCTATGAGCTCATTGCCTCAGCATTTTTCAATGTCAGAAGCAGGTTAAAAGAAACCTCAAGCAAAATCAAATGAATTTTATTTTTTATGTGCGCATTTTAATTCAGGTAAAGTTTTGCGTGTTTGTTAAAATGTGTGACAAGAGAGTGTAAGATTTTAACTTCTGGATTTTGTGTTTAATTTTGCACTTTAACATGGCATGCACGAGTTGTTGTTGAATGAAAAAGATCTCTTTAAAGTAATTTTTCAGTAAATTTATGTTCTCTATACGTGATTTAAACAATAAAACGATTCGATCAGTGAGAAAATTCAAATAACTTTTTTATATTTTTTCAATAAAACCATTTATAATTAATTTGAATTCAACGAAATCTGTGAAATTACGTAAGAATTTCTTTTGTCTGCTTCGTTGATGGATTCAGCTAATTTGCGTTACGTTTTGGTGATAATTTTGAGTTTAACATTTTTGTTATTTTAGTGGACATTGAATCATTGTTGCATCACAATTCACAGCTTTTGAGTGATTTTCTTTCATTGTACAATCAAATATATTTAATCCACAAATAGAAACGACAGATAAAGCTAATAGAGTTAATCAAATAATCATTCGAATTGTGAAGGTTTGAATTGTGGCCTTTTTAATCAAGATGCAACATTCATTAGTTCATGTAAACATCTCTCAAAACCTACAAAGTAAACATTTTTGCTTGTTTTACTAGAAGCATTTAAGGCGTGTTTGAAATATTTTTTGTCACTGTCATTACATATTTTCTTGCTGTATTCATCACAATTTCAATTAACAACACGAAACTGCCGCTATTTTGAATTGTATTTTCACTCAATCGACATTGCATGTTAATGAATGGATGAAAAGAAACAAAAAACAAGCTTCATGGTGCACTTCAATATGTTTCCGAGATACTTTTCAACTGTCATTCATGTGCAGAATAAAAGGTGGCAATGACAAGGCATTATTAAATCTAGATTCAAAACTTTGTTAACATAATGTCGGTTGATTGAAAGCTTGAATGTGAATTGCCAAAGCTTTTGAATCGAATGCAATTCTCTCATGATAGCAAGTGTCGAAATGATGACATTTGTTTGAAAATTTAAATATTAAATGGTAAACTAACAACTGCAATTATATTCAACCAAATAGCGTATATTTTTCAGTATTTACAACTTCAACGAGGCAAGTGAAATGATCGCCAATTTGTGTAAATAAAAATCGCGATTTTTGGCAGATGAAACGATTTGAAGAAACTTTTATTGTGTGAAATGCTTCATTTATATTTACTCGACACAAACATCGTTAAGAGCAATGAAAATGTAGCAAATTGCTGCTTAATTTCACTTTCAATTGGCTTAAGCTTAATGACTTGCAATTAATTATTTCTTCGGTGATTTTATTTCATGTTTTGAAGCTCACTCACAGACCAACCCTGATGATTAAATAATAATCATGCTACTCATTAAGTGTAATTAAAACTTTTCACGAATTTTTAATTTTTTCTTCACGAAATTAAGTTCAAAGACCAACTGAATGAAACCAAGAGCTTGAGTAAAATAATTCGGGTGAGCATAAATGTTGGGTCAGTTATAATTGTAAGCATTAAAAACTTAATTTTAAAGTAATTTGCTTTATAGCTTCATTTTCATGAATTTTATTAATCAACATTTTTATGCTCATAGTTACAACCGTCAACAATGCAATTTCATTTTTGTTTTCTTTAGCAAAATTCCTTCAATTTGCTGACTCAGCCAAAGTTCGTGGTCTGAAATAATTAGCTGATTAATGAACTTATTTGCCTTTATCTTTTCTTTCTTGTTTTCGAAATATTTCTGATGCAAAAAATATTGAAATGACTCTCACTTTGTTACATAAAAATATGATAAAAGGAAAAGAAAAGTTTAGCTCATTTTCCGATTATGTACATAATAAGCATTTCATTTCCCTTTCACGTCTGGTTCGTTTAAATACGAACAAAAATTGGCTTGAATAATGTAATTTTCACATTTTATTTATTTCACTTAGTCAGTCATTCGTGTGAAAATTATGGTTTTGTGCGCCTTCCTTCTGGTTCATTGAGTGGTGACATATGTTGGACAACTGAATCGATATCACAGGAAATAACATTTGATAGGCTCAAATTTTCATGCAAAAGATTATACTTCGAAATTATGACGAGTAAAGTCGCTTCTTTTAAAGCATCAACAACAACAGCAAAGTGAAACGAAGACAACACAAAAGATCGGAGATTTCGTTTAGAAACTTCTTTCCATTAAAGTCTGACTTTATCAAGCCTCACACAATCAGATTTTTTTATAAAAAATGAAAAATGTTCGCTTTACAAAACGTTTTCACGTGGAAATTAATCATCGCAATGAAAAGTAGAGAAATTGTGTTAACAACTCAGACACAAGCCTAACGAGTCGAGGAAAATAATTCATCACCAAACTTAATTACGATTTTTGCTTTTACTCATGTAGACATATAATTTGATTATAATTTCATGAAAATTCAGACACGATAAAACTCAACTCACTTTCAAAATGATTGTTATGAGATATTAAACGTTAAATGAAAGATATTATGTATTAAATCTTTCATAATGATATATATTTGACAGCAGGTTCACTACGATGGATATACAAAGGTTCAAATCATTTCAAATTGATTATCTGACACATGTTAAAGTATTTGTTTGCATTAAACTGATCCATTGTGATGTTAATTGCTTTTATAAATAAGCAAGAGATTAACGTTTAATTCATTAGATAAATTGATTATGAAATTAAATGACGCTTCAATTTATCTTCTTGACAACGATTGAAATCAAACACACACACGATATCTGCTTACATAGCATCATTAAAAATAATTTTCCTTCGACATTTCAAATTGAATTTTCTGCTTCTTTATTTCGCTTTCATATAATAATCTGCGAAAATGTTTATAATGATATCGTGACACAATCAACAACATGTTAACTGAGTTAGGCGAGACGAAATTAAACGAAAGTCAATTGTGACCATGATAGAAATTGAAAATTTCTCATTCGTTAAATTGATCGTCTCATCGTTTGTATAGAAAAACATTTTAATTTCTTTTCTCTGTCATTGTAACGCTCAAACGCTTTCAATTTCTGGTAGATTTCACTTGATATACAAATTGCTGCAGCATGAAACCAACAACATTCCAATCGATGAGAGCTTTTGGCAATGAAATATTTTCCCTAAGGAAATTTCTGATATTCGAAGAAACGAATGCGAAAGAAATCAAAAACTTTACGCAATTAGCGTTTCTTAAATTTATTCGCAATTATATTTCATGACTAACAGTCTGCAATTTAAATTGATGAGTAGATTTGTGACGTTAATCAAATGTATGAATGCTTCACTGAAATCATAAAAATGATATTTCATATTTATGTTTGATTTCCATCGTAACGCTTTTTAACTCATAAATATTTTGAAGAAAGCAACAATGTCAGTTTTTAAATGAAAATTCATCAAAATCATTTCGAGTTTCATGCTGCGAATAATTAATAATTTGATTGGAATTCACAAGCTTTTTATGTCAGCTGTTCAATGATAAAAATTTTTAATCGTTTCTTTTTCCCTTTTAATTAATGTTGTTGGTTTGTGAGGAATAATTTGAACAAGCAAATGCATTGTTTTGCCTGAAATTAAAGCACCCAACTGATGTTTCAAGGTTCAATCGATTTTTATGTCAATGAAATATTTCTTTGAAGTTGTAATTAACAAGTCAAGCCATTTGAATTCATTCAAAGAGTTGTTTTAATTTTATAAGGTCGATGATCATTTTATTATGTTCAACGTCACTCTCCATTGGAATTCTTCATAAAAAATGTGAATTTTCCGATTAGGGTTAATTCTCATTTAAATTGTTGTCTTAGATGCGGTTGCGGTCAGAGTAAATAAGTATCCGAACAGTGGTAGTCAAGCGATAACCAGCATCGAGCAACCTAAAAAAAAGGTGAATTCGCGGGAGAGGAAATACCGTTAATGATACACGATGATGTGCGGTTTATCAGTCATTTCAACGGTCTCCCGCCTCGAAAATTATAAAGTAACACATTGTCATGAACTCACGACTTGAAAACAAGTAAAATTTTTGTGTTTCTCCTTCATAAGAGTGACAACAAGTGCGCATTAAAAAAGAGAATAAAGACAGAAACAAAAAACATTATCAACAAGAAAAGAGAATTTAAGTACAGTTCATTAAGTAGCGACAAGACTGTTAAATTCATCAATCTTTAAATTTCTCATTTCCACGTGAAGAAACTTTCAATTTGGATTCGAAAACGTGATTTGAAAGAAACATAAAAATAATGTTTTTGTCTTCCTGATTCAATTGATTGATGCAGATTCACTGACCTTTTATTACCAATCAACAATACATGATCAACTGGTTTCATGATATTTTATTTTGATTGTGATTAAATAAAATTAATTTATGCGATATTGAATAAAAGTAAAAGTTGAAACGAGACGTTCGAAACATGTTCGATAAATATTAATAAAGACAAAAACTCCATTAATTCCACGATGGTATGTCAATATGTGACACGATTGCTTATATAATGAAAAGACTTGTTTTTATCCACAACTTAAAGTTTCTTTCACTTTAAACTTTAGTGAAGGATACAACTTTAAGTTTATAAACTTTTTATGCGGTCGCATGTTGACTGTGGCTTTAAGCAGCAAATATCTGCGTATGTGCTTAAATCTTATGACTATCTTAACCTCCCAGAGAGTTCACAAATACTTGAAGAGCTTTTTCGTTTCTATTTAGGAAATTGTACTCAATTGTGATTATTATAGTTTAATATTATAACTTTGAACTTGAAAACATATTTTTTGGAGTCAAAATAGATTAAAAACGGTCATAGTTAGACTGGGAATTTACATAAGCATGACTCTAGAAACGAGTTTTAAGTACAGCCATTGAAGCGAGCGTATTAATAAATGCTAGTGAAAGGAATGTGTGAGCATAATTTAAATGAATCAAGACCTCACTTAGCAAGCAGTGAAGAATAATGAAAATATGAGAATCGTATTTATTATTGTCTGACCCATAAAGAGTAATATGAATTCCAGTTTATTTAGTATTCAAACGATGATTATTTTTGTTAACTCTGCGATATTGTACAATGCGTTACATATATGATATCTGATCTCCTTATTTTGAGGTGTGTTGGGGCATCGAAGGTGAAATTATTTTTCATTTTGTTCACTGAGCCGTTGCTGAGTGCTGAGAGTTTCATATTTGTTAGGCTATTAGGCTTGAATTTTAGAAATGCTTTCGGTGAAAGGCTCATACTCATACGTTTTGAGCTTCTTTCCACAAAATGGGATATAAAAACAGAGAAGAAATTTTTTCCTACATTTTTTGCTGCTTAAACGAGAGTAAAAGAGCCCGACATATGAAAGATGTTTTTTAAGAAAATAAAAACGTGGGTTAAACGACTTTCAAATATCTTCTTGTAAGACTTTACTTCTTCTGTGGTATTATTAATACATGCTACGTCATGTGATGAATATTCAGCCAACGATAAAATATTTGCGCTTCTTCAATGAAGGTGTGAAAATATTATTTATTTATTTTTTTTCGAAACGCGCCTTTTAAATTGTTATAGGATTTGTTCGTGACTAGCGTCTTGTTAAATATTTTTAACTTTAAGCCTTGTTTTTGTAGGTGAACTCTCTCTCTTTATTTCAAACATCGCATTTAAAGCATACAAAATAAGTCATAAATGTAATTGTAATCCCAAGATTATAGCATTGCTTTAAAGCTTATTTCACTTGAAAACATAGAATAATAAAAACATAGAATTATGCAAAAATTTAATCCTTTTGTGATGGTAATCCAATTGGAACGAAGATATTTCTTATTCAACAGCTAAGTATTCACATATTTTATTCATTATTTCACTTCAATTTTTTATATTTTTCTTTGTATAAAATTTTAATATTTTTTACCATTTTCATCCACAGAAATTTTTTAAATTTTTTCCTTGCTTTCAATTTTTTATTTTTTAGTTTCTTTTAAAGTTTCACTGTTCCTTGAACGTATTTCTGATTTTCTTGAATATCTTAGTTTTGAGCACAGTATTAAATATATAATTTACTAATTAGCAATACACGGTCTGAACGAATACACGATGTTGTCTCGTTGGAGTGCTTAAGCGAACTAAGCAGTAAAACTTGCTTTTTCACTTCACGTTTGCTTTTCTCTTCGCTGCTGTTATAGCTGGAAGCGAGTTAAACACAAAAACGAAACAAACATGAAAGAAGAAAAATTTCTTATGTTTCAAGTTTCGCTTGGAATTAACATTCGATAAGTGTTGTGGACTCGAGTTGAAGCAGCATAGAATAAATGTTCGATGAGATTTGCGTGCCTTTCTTGCTTCTCTTCTTCTTCTTCCTCAAATTAACCGGTTTCACTTGATGGAATCTTAAATATTTCATAATGTTTGGTTTCATACTTGATGACGAGATTAACAAAAGTCGTTTTGAGGGCTTAGGCAAAGACACAAATAGAAGAATAAAATTTTAATGTAGTTCTAACCATTCAATCATTTGGACAATGGGCTTGGTAAAAATGTTTAGAACTTTCTTGAACTTTCCCACTAAAACTTTTTCTTATGCTTATTGGATTCATTTAAACATTCCTAACGTTTTCTGCTTTTAACAAACTTAAAGGTTCTTCTGTTGAAGTGGTGCTCATAACATAAAAGATTAATCGAATTGTTGATTTTCTTTTCATAATAAAATTCAAGCATTGTTGGCGGAAGTTTATTGTTCAAATACAAAAGTTTACGAGAAGTTTTAAGAAACCTATGATTTCAATAGGCAACAATCAAATACAATTGAAAATTTATGTTATTGTTCTAATGACTTTAACAGTCAACGAAAGAATTCTTGGTGTTATCGACAATCACTAGCGGTAATTGTAACGTTGAAGTAAGCTTCAATATGTTTTGCTTCTCATGTATAATATTCATATCTAAGTATCAAAAGATCCAACCGTAAAAGAACGTTTAATAAAGTTTTTGTCGTCGCTTTCTTTGGGCTCTTCTTCATCACCATTCAAAGAGAGAAATCTATTGAATTGCCTGCAGGTAAATTAGGTCATTAAGTTTTTCTTTAAATTCATTAAGTAGTCTTCTTGCTATTAAATACAGCTTTACTCAATACTCAGCTTCAATCAAGCAATAATTGGGACAACATGTGAGAAGAATTTTTCTAGTCTCACCTTGCACCAACCTGCTATGACAACTTTTTTTATTACTCGCATTCTGAAACCTCTTTTTGCTGCAGATCGAATGATTTCGTTACAGAAGAAAATCCTACACTTGATTAAGAAATTCACTTCATATTTAAAACAAAAAAGAGATCGAATTCGTTTTATTTATTGGTGAAATGCTATAAAAGTTTCGCACAACATGAGTTTGCATTTTTGTTTTGAAATTTCGATGCATCCAAAAATGGAAAACTTTTTTCTGTTGTTTTAAGTTGATTAAATTTCTAATGTAAGAAATTAAATTAAAACAAAAAGAAAAAAGCGATAGCGTGCATACAATTAAATGATTTTCGATGAAATGATGTTGAGAAGTCGATAAAAGTACATTAAAATCATTTTCCGCATCAAAGATTTGGATGAGAAACTTTTCACTTCTTTCTGATCTATTTAATTCAAGTTTGAAGGTTGGTAAGCAAAGAGTTGTATGGTTAACAGCGGAACAGACTCTCAAGCTCCTTGTTTGCAACAAACAAAGAATGGCAATCTGTCATTCCGATAATGAAATTCAAACGGCCTTTGATAATTGACTTGAGAAACTTTTAAAAAGCGACTCAAAGCCCAGACATTTATTTATAAATTCACAGATGGCTAAGCAACAGGTTTATTAGCAAGCGATATTAAAAATACGCATCAAATTTTCAATAAAAAAGAGTTTTTATGAACATCGTGAGCCAATCAAATATTTTCAAGCCAAAAAAACGCGAGACAGCGGAGAATTTGTTTTGAAGCTCAAATAAATTTGTGACTTGATGAAGACGAGTTTGTCAAATCTCAATCGAGAATTGATTCGATGTGTGTGTTTAACTTAATAAGGGTATAATTAAGAAGAAGATAGAGCCAAATATTTGTCATCAATAATCAAGAAGAAGATAAAGCTCAATATTTTCCATCAACTCAACATTTATGTACATGATTTAAATAATTCATTTTGCAACTACACACAAAACAAATGCGTTTTAAATGTTCAATCAATAAACTTGTAATTGAATGAAATATAAAATAAAAAAATTTACACCTTCAAGAACGCCCTCAATTTCATGAAATTATTCAACTTTACTAATCGATTGCGTCAGTTGATAGGAAGTTGATGTTCTCGATGGAACTCAAATTAAACTTAAGTAAATATTTGTTTTTCATTCCTCATAACAATCATTAAATAAGCACAGTTTGTTGAGAAACTTAATAGGTTTCGATTATCATAGCAATATTTGCTGCTATGTATAACGTTATTGCAATCAACATCGTCACTATAAAAAAATTGCGGTAACTCAGAGTCAATCATGAAGATATTTAATAGAAAAAAGAATTAAAATCAAAATAAAATTTTTCTATTCTGTCTGCATTGCTCAGATTGATCTGCAATTTGACAGAATTAAGAAAATTATAGAAGAAGTTGTAAAATTTAATGTTATGAGCAATTTAGAATATAATTCTACACTTCAACATCAATTATTATCTTTGATTGTGTTATTTATTTGATCTTGGTTGAAATTCGTATTTAACGCAAAAAAAGTGTCGTTTAATAAACAAACAATTTGAGAAACTCATAATTATTTTTAGTCTTCCTTGAGCTATTTATTCAATGAGGTCGAATATTCAATGCTGTTCAAGAAACCTCATTTTAAGAAGAAGTAAACAATGAGAAGAGAAAGAGGGTATTGCGGGGGTGGTGACTTGAATTCAATTCCTACAAAAGAAAGGTTGGAATTTCTGATGTTTTAATGATGTTAATTATTTCAGTTACACGTCACTGTAATTGATATCTATCGTCTATGTCGTCATAGTTCTTTACTAATTTTATCTGTGAAAATTGTCATCATTTATTAAAGAAGGAATCAGGTAGAGAAATACTTAACTTTATTTGAAAAACTCAACACAACTTAACAAATCCAGAATGATGAACTTTAACATTTGGATTGGTGTGATTTGACACAAATTTAACGGTCAGGTAACGGAGATCTCACTTTATCATCGCTTAAGACACGCCCAATGCATCTACAACATATTCGCATCCTGAAATTTATTCATTTCAAGTTAGTCTTATTTTAAACGCTGAACAATTCACTTTGGTTTTCTCTTTTTAATAATGAAGTTAGACTGTACATTTGAAACTTTTGTGCCATGCTTTTTTTCGGAAAAAAGATATTACATGTGCTCCATTAGATCATCTTCAATAACGAAGCCAAACACGATCATTCAAACAATTAATGGAGATCATGACGATGGAAGTAGTGACAAAGATGTCGAAGCGATTAATTTTGAAGGTACAACGGTCAAATACTTCCCTCAAGGATTGAACAAAATTTTTCCTAATTTGAAAGCTGTTGAAATTTTAAATTGCGGATTGAAATCAATAACTCAAAGAGATTTGATGGGACTAGAAAATATTCAGATGCTATGTTGTGATGACAACAAAATCACTTCACTTCCGAACAATCTGTTTCAAAATATGAACAAACTTATTAAAATTTCATTCAACAGCAATGACTTGCAATTCATGTCTTCAGAAGTTCTCAGGCCAATATTGAAAAATGGTTTAAAATCCGTAGATTTTAGCGGAAATCGTTCCATTGATGCTGCTTATTGGGAGTCTGATAATCTGGCCCAGTTCATGGACATGATTGATGAGAAATGTCAACAACCAATAAATGAAAACTGCAATGGAATCGGAAACATCGCTTCAGATGGATTCAAGGAACTTTGGACGACTGGCCGTTTCTCGGACATCACGATTGTCACTGACACTGAAAAATTCAAAGCACACAAAGTTGTTCTAGCTATGCAAAGTTCAGTTTTCGCCTCAATTTTTGAAGATAAGATGAAGGATCGACCATCTGATGTAATTCAAGTGAAAAGCATAAATTCAGACGTTGTGAAGATTTTCTTGAAATTTCTCTACACCGGTGAGATCGAAACAGGAAATTCAAATTTGTTGCAACTTTTCACTCTCGCAGCAAAATTTAAAGTCGAGAATCTAATGACAATTGTTGAGGAGATGATCACAGATGATCTAAATGATGACAATGCTATTGATGTATTCGAATTTGCTTGTCGATTCAATTGTGATTCGATGAAAATGTCAGCATTTAAAGCCATTCAATCGATGTTTGATGAACCATTGAAAGACGAATTGATGAATGAACCAGAAGCTGTAAGGGAACTTGTTGAAGCTAAGAGAAAATTCAATTCCATACTGAATAAACACAAAAAGCTTAAATTATCACCATAAGATAAAAATCAGGTTCATGTAACATGAAAACCTCATCGCCGCATTAAATGTTTCATTTGATTTTTTTTGTTAAATTCATATTTTGACTTGAAAATAGAATTAATAAAATATCAAACTTGAAAAAATTCTGTCATTCGAAAATTCATCACATGTTGTTAATTAATGTCAATAAAGTGAAAAAAAAATTAAATTAAAAATCGAGGGTGGTTATAGACACATTTAGAATTTTCCCTTTTTTCCGTCATAGTTCTTAATTCTTTAATTTTACCTGTGAAAATTGTCATCATTTATTAAAGAAGGAATCAGGTAGAGAAATACTTAACTTTATTTGAACATCTCAACACAACTTAACAAGTCCAGAATGATGAACTTTAACATTTGGATTGGTGTGATTTGACACAAATTTAACGGTCAGGTAACGGAGATCTCACTTTATCATCGCTTAAGATACGCCCAATGCATCTACAACATATTCGCATCCTGAAATTTATTCATTTCAAGTTAGTCTTATTTTAAACGCTGAACAATTCACTCTGGTTTTCTCTTTTTAATAATGAATTTAGACTGTACATTTATAACTTTTGTGCCATACTATCATTGGAAAAAAGAATATTACACGTGCTCCATTAGATCATCTTCAATAACGAAGCCAAACACGATCATTCAAACAATTAATGGAGTTCACGACCCTGGAAGTAGTGACAAAGATGTCGAAGCGATTAATTTTGAAGGTACAACGGTCAAATACTTCCCTCAAGGATTGGACGAAATTTTTCCTAATTTGAAAGCTGTTTTCATTGAAAATTGCGGATTGAAATCAATAACTCAAAGAGATTTGATGGGACTAGAAAATATTGAGATGCTAAGGTGTGATAACAACAAAATCACTTCACTTCCAAACAATCTGTTTCAAAATATGAACAAACTTATTGAAATTTCATTCAACGGCAACGATTTGCAATTCATGTCTTCAGAAGTTCTCAGGCCAATATTGAAAAATGGTTTAAAATCCATAGACTTTAGCGGAAATCGTTCCATTAATGCTGCTTATTGGGAGTCTGATAATCTGGTCCAGTTCATGGACATGA